CCCCCAGAAAGCTCCAGGGGAGGGCCATGTTTCGACACCCCTCAGGAAGATCGTGGCCTCCCAGGGGGGGAGCCGCAATCGACTACCTCCCCCTTCCGCCCCAAGAGGCCCCCAAGAGCCCCCCAAGAGGCCCCCAAGACGCCGCCAAGGAGCCCCAAGAGGCCCCAAAGAGACCCCCAAGAGGCCCCACAGAGCGCTCCAGGGCCGGCGGACTGAGCGAAGCGATTAAAAATAATAATATAGAAAAACGAATGCCATCTGAGGGCTAGAACTTCCGATGGTTCGAAGTTCTCGTTGACAACGTTGACCCCTGGAGGTCTGGGCCACTTGCGTGGGAACGACGTTTCATCCCGAGCAGGTTCTTGACGGCCCCAAGGCCCGACGGACCCCCCCCCCCCTGGAGAGGGCGCGGACAGAAAAGCAAAACGGGACCGCCGTCGTGACTGCTCCGCGACGCGAGGGGGTCCTGGGGCCTCGGAGAGGCTCCCCTCCTGGCTGCGCTGACAGAATGTCTCCATATCCATTGCCGCGGGGTCGCGACCCCAGGGCTCGTTAAACGGTGGATACGCTCTCCTCCAAACGGGCCACGACTCGAGACGGCAAGCGAATTTTTAGAGTCACCATGGCTTGAGGGTTCTATCTTTTCTCAGAATGAGAAATGGTACCTTGAACTTGAGACGCCTTTAGCAACCTTGCTCAATCACATCTGCCCGCCCACGCGGGCGGGCTACAAAAATTATCCTGGCGAAAGACCCAACCATAAGCAATTGTTGGTAACGCGTTGTGGGTGCCGCTTTCGGTGGGGCTCCATATGGGGCCACGAAGCGCTGCCTTGGATGGGGGAACCGCATGCGGACTGCGCCACCGGGGCGGGCCTTCGGTGGAGCTCCCTATGGGGCTACGAAACGCTGCCCTGGGTGGGGGAACCGCATGCGAACACCCCACTGGGGCCTTCGGTGGAGCTCCCGCCACGAAGCGCTGCCCTGGGTGGGGGAAACGCATGCGAACTGCGCCACGGGGCTTTCTCCCCATCTGGGTGGGGGAACCGCATGCGAAGCAGCCACTGGGGCCTTCGGTGGAGCTCCCTATGGGGCCACGAAACGCTGCCCTGGGTGGGGGAACCGCATGCGAACACCCCCACTGGGGCCTTCGGTGGAGCTCCCTATGGGGCCACGAAACGCTGCCCTGGGTGGGGGAACCGCATGCGAACACCCCCACTGGGGCCTTCGGTGGAGCTCCCTATGGGGCTACGAAACGCTGCCCTGGGTGGGGGAACCGCATGCGAACACCCCCACTGGGGCCTTCGGTGGAGCTCCCTATGGGGCCACGAAACGCTGCCCTGGGTGGGGGAACCGCATGCGAACACCCCCACTGGGGAACCGCATGCGAACCGCATCCCTTCTGCTTCTGGGTGGAACGCTACGAAACGCTGGGGCCTTCGGTGGAGCTCCCTATGGGGCCACGAAACGCTGCCCTGGGTGGGGGAACCGCATGAACACCCCCACTGGGGCCTTCGGTGGAGCTCCCTATGGGGCCACGAAACGCTGCCCTGGGTGGGGGAACCGCATGCGAACACCCCCACTGGGGCCTTCGGTGGAGCTCCCTATGGGGCCACGAAACGCTGCCCTGGGTGGGGGAACCGCATGTGGACACCCCCACTGGGGCCTTCGGTGGAGCTCCCTATGGGGCCACGAAACGCTGCCCTGGGTGGGGGAACCGCATGTGGACACCCCCACTGGGGCCTTCGGTGGAGCTCCCTATGGGGCCACGAAACGCTGCCCTGGGTGGGGGAACCGCATGTGGACACCCCCACTGGGGCCTTCGGTGGAGCTCCCTATGGGGCCACGAAACGCTGCCCTGGGTGGGGGAACCGCATGCGAACACCCCCACTGGGGCCTTCGGTGGAGCTCCCTATGGGGCCACGAAACGCTGCCCTGGGTGGGGGAACCGCATGCGAACACCCCCACTGGGGCCTTCGGTGGAGCTCCCTATGGGGCCACGAAACGCTGCCCTGGGTGGGGGAACCGCATGCGAACACCCCCACTGGGGCCTTCGGTGGAGCTCCCTATGGGGCTACGAAACGCTGCCCTGGGTGGGGGAACCGCATGCGAACACCCCCACTGGGGCCTTCGGTGGAGCTCCCTATGGGGCCACGAAACGCTGCCCTGGGTGGGGGAACCGCATGCGAACACCCCCACTGGGGCCTTCGGTGGAGCTCCCTATGGGGCTACGAAACGCTGCCCTGGGTGGGGGAACCGCATGCGAACACCCCCACTGGGGCCTTCGGTGGAGCTCCCTATGGGGCCACGAAACGCTGCCCTGGGTGGGGGAACCGCATGCGAACACCCCCACTGGGGCCTTCGGTGGAGCTCCCTATGGGGCTACGAAACGCTGCCCTGGGTGGGGGAACCGCATGCGAACACCCCCACTGGGGCCTTCGGTGGAGCTCCCTATGGGGCCACGAAACGCTGCCCTGGGTGGGGGAACCGCATGCGAACACCCCCACTGGGGCCTTCGGTGGAGCTCCCTATGGGGCCACGAAACGCTGCCCTGGGTGGGGGAACCGCATGCGAACACCCCCACTGGGGCCTTCGGTGGAGCTCCCTATGGGGCTACGAAACGCTGCCCTGGGTGGGGGAACCGCATGCGAACACCCCCACTGGGGCCTTCGGTGGAGCTCCCTATGGGGCCACGAAACGCTGCCCTGGGTGGGGGAACCGCATGCGAACACCCCCACTGGGGCCTTCGGTGGAGCTCCCTATGGGGCCACGAAACGCTGCCCTGGGTGGGGGAACCGCATGCGAACACCCCCACTGGGGCCTTCGGTGGAGCTCCCTATGGGGCCACGAAACGCTGCCCTGGGTGGGTGAAACGCAGAGAGGAGGGAGGAGAGGGAGGAGGAGGGAGGAGGAGGGGGAGGAGGAGGAGAGGAGGAGAGGAGGAGAGGAGAGGACGCGGGCACCGTCTCTTCAAAACGAGGACCCAACACCACAGGATGGTTGGGAAAAAATCCTTCCCGACGACTCCTCGAGCTCCCAGAGCACGACTCCGAGGCGGCGAATATCTCGCCATCTCTCGGACCTCCATTTCCCGTGCATTTTTCAATTTCGCGCGTGTATTTTTCGTCAGATGGTCCCAGATGTTCCTCGAGGGTCTTGGCCGAGAAAAGATGCACACGTCCGAGCGATGTCAAGATAAGGACATATGCACTGGCGCGGACCAGCCGCACACGCGCGGCCTCTTTCAGCGGGCGCCCCAGCTGCGGCCGCGCGCGCGCCGGCGCTCGGCCAGCCCGAGATCAGTGAGGGAAGGCGCGGAGGGAAGGATGCCCGCGTCAGGACCACGAGTGCAAATACGGCAAGTTCGTGTCGTGTCGACTCTGGCATTGGTTCCTGACACCGCGGGGATATTTCAGCCTTTAACGATCGGCCGCTTCCGAAACGCGAGATCGTTCAACATCGACCAATTCTGGGTCGCCAACGGCGTTCAACGTTGAAAGCCAGCGGCGGGGTCGCCGCTGGTCGACACGACGCGAACCTACCGCACGAGGGCAGGAGGAAAACATATCGGGATGAGGCAGAATCTTGAATCTCTGAGAACCTGCGGGCGTGGAGGCCGTATCGGGCGCCAAGCGATGCCGAGCAATGCCATGCAACGCCAAGCAATGCACAACACCGCCAAGCAATGCACAACAACGCCAATGTCAAGCAATTGCAAAGCAATGCCAATCAACGCTAAGCAATGCAAAGGAATGCCACGCAATGCCATGCAAAGCATAGCAATGCCAAGCCATGCCAAGCCATGCCAAACAATGCACAACAATACAGGGCAATAACAAGCAACGCCACGCAATGCCACGCAATGCCACACAACGCCAAGCAGTACCAATAAATGCAAAGTAATGCAAAGAAAGGCATAGCAATGCCAAGAAATGTCAAGCACTACCAAGCAAGGCCAAGCAATGCAATGCTTGGCAATGCCAAGCAATGCCAAGCAAAGACGGGGCAATGCCAAGCAATGCCAAGCAATGCAATGCAATGCAAAGCAAGGCCAACCAATGCCAAGCAATGCACAACAATGCGAACCGATGCAAAGCAATGCAGCAATGCCAAGCAAAGTCTGGCAAAGGCAAGCAGTACCAAGCAATGCCGAGCAATACACAACAATGCCAAGCAAAGCCAAGCACAGCCAAGCAAAGCCAAGCAATGCCAAGCAATGACCATCAATACCAAGCGATCAATGCCAAGCGATCAATGCCAAGCACTGCCAAGGAATGCCAAGCAACGCCAAGCAATGCCAAACAACGCCAAGCAATGCAAGGTGCACCAATGCCAAGCAATGGTAGGCAATGCCGCCAAGGAAGCATTCCCGTGCCTGGGGTCGCGTCAGGTGCATACAGAACAGCAGCTGGCCGTTCGGTGGGACGCGTGTGCGAAACACTGCGGGATGGCCAGGGGCGGGGCCCTGAGGGGTGCCGGAGCGGGCTCCTGAAGCAAATGAGCGCACGGCTGCGGAATGGCCGTATTCCAGATTGGCGGCATCGGGGCTGGAGGCTTGACCGCCAGAGACGGAGTGGGCGCGGTCGGGGGCCGAGTGCGCGTGGCTCCTGGAGTGGTGATAAGCAAGACCCCGCCTGCCTTAGCGATTTGCGAGGGCGGCCACATGATGATGGGGGAATGGAGGAAGACGGGTGGGGGCGGGAGAAGGAGGCGGAGGCGGAGCGGGAGTATAAGCATAGGAGGAGGAGGAGGAGGAGGAGGAGGAGGTGCAGCAGGCGTCGGCAGCAAAGGTGAGGGTGGAAGGGGAAGCAGGGATGCAGGAGGCGGAGAGGGAACATTTGAGATTTCACCCTCTGCCCTTCATCCAATAAAAATGCGCGGATTGAGTATAGAGGAGTTAGGAGGAGGAGGAGGAAAAGGGGGGGTGGCACAAGGATAAGGGATTGGCACTGGTGGTCCTGGTGCGCGTCTATTAGATTGGGGATGCGCTGACGCGCAAGGTTAGCCGTCGCGGGCATCACCGAATGTCTCACCGTCGTCCATGCCAGGCATGCCGCCGCCGCCGCCGCCGCCACCCTTCTTCTTGCTGATGCCCGAGATGATGTCGTCGATGCGCAGGAGCATCGCCGCGGCCTCGATGGCGGTCCTTCGCAGGAGGAGCGAGGCGCAGGGGACGCAGCGGACGCGACCGCCTGACGATAGAGACGAAGGGCGGATCCCCAGGCCTGTGCCGCACTGACTGCGGAACTGGGACCCCTTCCCCGCACAGTGGAGCCTGAAAGATACACAAGACCAACTTTGCCTGAGTCCCACGGGAGATACGGCACAACCACAGGGGTGGATACGTTCATTCGTTGTTTTCACGCGCGGGTCTCCCGACGCCCCACCAGCCCCATGCTCAGCCACCGAGCCCACCCGCGCACAACGGAGTGTGCATCGGCCAGGCTGCACTGGCGACGACTGGCGCTATGCAGGGCTCGAGAAGACGTCCAAGCAAAGCACCCGGCATCCGCCACCGTGCCCCCTGGCACGCTGAAGCGTGGAAGAATGCCAGGCGCTGTCCGGCAGGGCTTCCTGAGTTCTGGTAAGGGACCGCCCACCCTCTGCCCGCGGACTGCTGCGTGCATAGCCCCTCTCGTCTGAGGCCGCTTCCCTCGTGTCCGCTCGAGGATGGTGCACTTCCAGCGTGGCAGCGAGTGCCTAAACTCCCATTCCACGCAGGCCCGCTCGAGGATGGTGCACTTCCCGCATGGCAGCTAATGCCTGAATCATCATTCCCTGTGAGCCTGCTCGAGGAGTGTGTACTTCCCCGCATGGCAGAGGTGTCCATACCCCCATTCCATGCGCGCCCGCTCGAGGATTGTGTACTTCCCCGCATGGCTGCTAACTCGTGGACCACTCATCCCTCGGTCACCCGCTCGAGGATCATGCACTCCCCGCATTCCCAGGCGCTGCTCCCAAGCGCTCCAGGACCTTCCAAGCTTCCAAGACGGCCCGTGCAGGCAACCCAAGACATCAAGATGGCCCAAAATGCCTCGAAGACTGCTCAAGATGGCCCCAATGCGGCCGAATATGGATTCAAGACGGCCCAAGATGCCTCAAAGAGGGCCCGAAAGGGTCACAAGAGGAACTCTAGAAGGGTCTGAATAAGCCACAGCCATGCAATGCACTTCGGTCTGTGAATGATGTTCGCATTCTCGCCTGTTCGGCCTTTCAGCAGCCCAAGACAGCACCAAGACGCCCTCCAAACACACAGAATGCGGCCAAGGGGGCCCCAAGACGGCCCAAGAGAGCCCGAAGCGAGCGAAAGAGGAGCCCAAGACGGCACAAGAGGGCCCCAAGGAACCTCCAAGACTGCCTCAAAGAAGGCCAAGACAGCCCCCAAGACGGCCCAAACATGTTTAAGCATCATCACCTGCATCACCACCAGCAGCATCGTCATCAGCAGCAGCATCGTTAACGAAATCATAATCATGAGCATCATCAGCATCATCATCATCATCATCAGCATCATCATCATTATCATACTCAGCATCATAACCAGCATCATCATCAGCATCATCATCGTCATCACCATCATCAACATCATCATCATCATCATACGTATCAGCATCCTCAACATCATCATCGTCTGCATCACCATCAGCAGCATCGTCGTCATCGCAACCACCATCATCAGCATCAGCAGCATCGCCACCGCCAACAACAACAGCAGCAGCAGCAACGGCAACAACAACTCCAACAACAACGATAACCACGACGACACCAACAACGACGGCAACAACACCAACCACAACAACAGCAACAACAACAACAATTGTAAGACTGATCGCACATACATGTTCGCTTTCATTTCATTCCGAACCCCCGATACCCGCCCTCTTCGTTTTCGATCGTACCCCCTTGGGGGTATATATCCTTCTGACCTGCAAAGTGTATTTCGTGCAGCCCGTAAGGCAGGGGAAGAGAGGACGGATGGAAGGAAGGGACCAGGGGGAGGGAGGGGGATGGAGCACGACAACGACTAGCAGGACGGGGGTTAGGAGCTGCAGACACATGGCAGAACCAGACGGGCAAATCGGGCGGGTAGATACTAACGGCCGAGGTCGAGCAGGCGGGTTGCTGAAGCGTGCGTCCTGCTTGAACCGCGATAGTGTGCCGAGCGATAGCGCGATTCCCAAATAAATCGTGAGGAAATCCACAGCGAGTGTGTGTTCCTGAATGTCGATGGCGCGGCGTCTGCATACATTGCGAGGGAGTCCCACGCGAGAGCACGATTCCTGCAAGAATTGTCAAGGCGTCCCGCGCGAGGGCGCGATTTGGAAATACTTTTGAGGAAATGTCAGGCGGGAGCCCTTGTTGGTGTTGTAAACCCGGGGCCAGAGGCCCAGTTTGGTGGCCCTTCGCTTCCCCTTGTAACAAACAGGACGCGAGCCTCGGAAGGAACACTTGAATTGAAACATTCAATGGTTGCCGGAGGGGGGATCAACCATAAATGATCCCACTGCGACCCTACCTAGGAGTGAGAGCCCCTAGGCAAACAGCATTAGTAGTAACAGTAAAGCTAAGCTAAAGCTAAGCTAAATATAAGCTACAGCAAAGCTAACGCTAAGCTAAACATGAGCTAAAGCTAAGCTAAACTAAAGTTAAGCTAAAGCTGAGCTAAAGCTAAGCTGAAGCTAAAGCTAAGCTAAAGCTAAGCTAAAGCTAAGCTGAAGCTAAGCTAAATCTAAACTAAAGCTGAGCTAAAGCTGAACTACAACTAAGCTGAATATAAGCTAAAGCTAAGCTAAAGCTAAACTAAAGCTAAGCTAAAGCTAAGCTACAGCTGAGCTAAAGCTAAGCTAAAGCTAAGCTGAATATAATATTAAGCTAACCTAAAGCTAAGCTAAAACTAGGCTAAAGCTAAGCTAAAGCTAAGCTAACGCTAAGCTAAAGCTAAGCTAAAGCTAAGCTGAAGCTAAGCTAAAGCTAAGCTAAGCTAAGATGATATAAGCTAAGCTAAGCTAAGCTAAACCAAGCTAAGCTAAGCCAAGCCAAGCCAAGCCAAGCCAAGCTAAGCTAAGCTAAGATGATATAAACTAAGTTAAGCTAAGCTAAGCTAAGTTAGGCTTAGCTAAGCTAAACTAGGGAAACCCAGGGGGCGCAACTGGGAGAACCGCGGGGCGGATACTGGGGGAACCGCCCGGGGCGAGTTGCACTGCCCGGCCCTTTAAGCATACCGGGTAAGAACCCCTCTAGGCATAGCCTAGGTAGGGAAATCCGCCGACCGTGTCGGCGTGTGCGAGGGGCTTGGCTGTTCGAGTCGTCGTCTCCGTCGGTCGTCGCCTTCCTTCTCAAGCTCGTGAGCGAGAGAAAAATCTAGCAGTGTCGTAATCGAGTCGAAAGGAAACCCCTTCCCTTTGATCCCTCCCCCAGGGGGGGGGGGTCCCGGGGGGGGTCCCAGGGGGGTGGGGGGGCAGATTAGTTTTTCCTCGGGCGGCCTAGAAACCTCGAAAACACTCCAAATGAGGTCCGAATGCCCAAGATGGCCCCCGAGACGGCCCAAGAGGGCCCCGAGTCGCCCAAAGATCGGCCGAAAACGCCCAAGATAGCCCCAAGACCGTCCAAGAAGCCTCCAAGACGTCCCAGGCCCCCTCCAAGAGACCCCCAGGAAGCCCCAAGAGGCCCCCACGAGGCTTCCAAGCGGCCTCTAAGAGCTTCCCAAGAGGCCCACAAACTACCCCCAAGAGGCCCCCAAGAGCGCTCGTCGTCGTTGTCGTCGTCGTCGGCGGCACCGGCCGTAAGGCCTTCGCAATATGTTTGTGGTTGGAAAACAACAACAATAACAACAGCAACAACAACAATCAGTTTAAGACTCGTCGCTCTTATCTGATCGCGGGCCACTCAACACTTACAGCCAAAACCCTCGATACCCACCCTCTTCGTTTTCGATCGTACCCCCTTGGGATCATATATCCTTCTTACCTGCAACGTGTATGTCGTGCAGCCTTTAAGGCAAGGGAAGAGAGGACGATGGAAGGAAGGGACCAGGGGGAGGGAGGCGGATGGAGCACGACAGAGACTAGCAGGACGGGGGTTATAGGAGCTGCTAACACGTTGCAGAACCAAACGGGCAAATCCGGCGGGTAGATACTAACGGCCTGGTCGGGAAGGCGGAACCCGACGGCCAGGATGAGCAGGCGGGTTGCTGAAGCGTGCGTCCTGCTTGAATCGCGCATGTCTCGAGCCAGAGCGCGATTCCAAAATAAATCGTGAGGGAATCCACAGCGGGGGCTTGATTCCTGAGTGTCGAGGGCGCGGCGTCTGGACAAAAATGGCGAAGAAGTCACACGCGAGAGCACGACTCCTGAATAAATTGCGAGGGCGTCCCCAGCGAGAGCGCGAAATGGGAATACATTGTGAGGAAATATCGCACGGGAGCCGTTGTTGTTGTAGTACTACGGGTGGGCCAAGACCCCAGGTTAGTGACCTCTCGCTTTCCCTTTATAGAAAATAGGGTGCGAGCCCCGGGGTAAAACCTCAATTGAAAAATGCCATGTGCCCGGAAGGGGGGATCAACAATGATTGTATAAGACCTGGCAAAAGCACAACAACAGCAACAACAACATCAACATCAACAACAATAACAATAACAATTAATATGCTCCTCTCCGCATCCTCTTTTTTGCCGCTGTCGCCGCCGCTTCGCTTCATTAGGCTGACTGTAGTAGATATATACACATATATACATACATACATACATACATACATACATACATATATACATACATACATACATACATACATACATACATACTCGCCGATCTATCGATGATGCATGCATCAGTACTGTCCGCAGCTATTGTTGTGAGTCAAGTGGAGAAAAGGTCTCCGCGCGCGCGCCTCCCCTCGACCTTCGGCCGGCCAGATCGGCGCTTGCGCACGTATTCACATATTGCTTAACGGACTTTTATTGCTGCCAAAGCCATGGCTCTCCCCAGTAGTTCTCTCCCTTAGCTTCCCCAGAATAGATCTACGACCACACATAGTGAAGCCCCAGGTTTGACTATTGAAGATCATGAGACCCACGTTCCTTTTACATTCAACCACGATTCCCAGAAAAACGACTGGTTATCAGCCGAAACCAGCGACCAAGTCGTTTTGGGTTCGATGAGCCATGCTCAGGCAGTAGATGTGCTCGACACATCACAATCAGAACATCATGTTGAGCAATTTCGGACAGGACGCGGCCTGAAGGGCCGCCCTTCCCCTCTCGACCTCTCGAACGTTCCTCAGATTGATCTGTCTCTCGACGATTCCCCAGGGAATAAGAAGCTAAAGGAAAGGGATCAAACGCCAGGGAGGCAGACCGGCCAAGCCGGCGCTGCGAGACGGAGGCCATTGTCGAGTTGGTCTTCCTCGCGCTTAGTGCCGGATAGCCCGCGAACTCTGAGGGACAAGGCTCCTGCGATTGATTTGTCTCACAACGATGCCCCAGGACGTTCGTTACTGGAGGATCGGGCCCAGACCCCCGCGAGACAGACCGGCAAAGCCGGCGCTGTCAGGCGCAGAGCCTTTGCATCCTGATGCAGCCCCACGCAGCCCGGCCAGTGGAGCCCCAGGATCGCTGGCCCAGCCAGTAGAGCCCGCGACGAGGACGAGCAACCCAGGGAGACCCCCATCGTCCTAGACGATCGGGACGAACCCCGGGGCGCTCAGGTCGTTCCAATTGCTTTGGACGGGCAAGACGGTCACGACAGCGACGGGCGTTTAGGAGACGAAGACGAGGCGAACTCGTATGAAGGCAACTTCGAGCTTGCTGATTTCCATACGTCTCCAGGTCGGGCTGAACCAGAGCTCCCACTCCAGGACCTCATCGATTGCCCCGTCCCAGACGGTGAGCGATCCGAGGCAGAAACAGTCGATTACCAAGAACACGCTGACCTCGGAGATGCCTTATTGGAACCAGAGGGTGGACAGCCGCCCTCGTCAGATCATGTTCCCCTCTCGCGGCAAGGACCGACGGCCCCCGACCCAGTCGGCGCGGTCGGAGGTGCCTCAGAGCCCTCGGGCGCGAATCCGGGGCAAGCTGAGATCCCGCCTGAGGTTAGCCCACCAATTCTTCCGACAGACGGGGCCCCGACCAAGTCGGAAGAGCCCTCGTCTAGGTCTCTTCCGCCGTCTAGGCATATTAAGGAAGCCTTAGGCCGCGCGCCAGTTCCGCAGACTAAGAAACACGAATGCGAGGACGACGACTTGAAGCACAGTCCTCTTGAAGAGGGATTCTTCAGGAGCGTCGTCGGTTCAACCGACTGGCAGCCTACGATCCCTGAGGCAGCGGAAGCGGACGACGCCGAAGACCCCATAGCATCATTTCGCCAGTTGGTTGAGCGTGATGAACAAGACGAGCCAGCGGCTAAGCCGTCTGAGCCACCTCAGCCGCCAAGTACTGCTCACTTGAGGCCCAGAGAGGCGCGATCTCCAGCCTCGAGTCGAGCCAGACCTCGGATCCATAGGTCTGGAGCTCGATCAGGTTCGGGGTCGTCGCGAAGTGTCAGCACGATTTCCATGCATGATGCTTGTTGGGATCCGGGCCCAATGTGCCCGCCTCGAGCTGAAAACAAATGCCCGGGGAAGGCCCGCAAAACGGGGGGGCCCTGCAAGCGCCCCGTCCGCGGGCAATGCTCGGAGGTTTGTCCCAAATGCAGCGTCAGTTGGCTTTGTCGCGACTGCATCAGTATGGATGAACATAACTACCAGTACCTTTTGATCCAGGCCATGCAAGAGCAAGCCAAGGCTGAGAAGGCCCAGAGAGATGAGCAGGCCAGGATCGATCGAGCTCGGATGGAAGCATTTGTTGAAGAAGCTCGGAAGAAGCTCTCCGAGTCAGACGCCCAGAAACTTGCTATCGCCCTTCGGTCCAAGGCCGAGGCCGAGAAGATCGCGATTGCCCAGGCCGCTCAGCAGCGTGACCAGCAACTCGAGGCTCAGTTCTCCGAGAAGGCCGCAGCTGCCAAGCAGCTTGCGGTGCAGGCGGAGGTTAAAACAACGGAGATAGCGAAAGAGGCCGAGCAGCGACCCGCACTCCAGGCTGCGGGCCCACCGGCTCAGCCGGCAGGGATGCAGGGGCAGCAGCCGCCAGTGGCCAAGCCGCCAGGTGCCAATAACCAGGCCTGGTCTAGTTTGGCCCCACCCAAGGGGGGGGGGCCGCTATTGCCCCCACCTCTCAAGGCACCGGCACCGGCCAAGCCGGCAGCTGTCCAGCCGCCGCCGCAATCGACCTTTGATTGTCCCTTGCATGTTAAGGCTTTTCCACAGCCTCAGCCCATTCGAGGGGGCCCTGCCGAGAGCTGCTACATTTGTACTAAGCCAAAGATTGGATTTTGCGTGACTTGTGGTTCTCCCAGCTGCAAAGAGCATTTCGACATAGGCACGAAGCGATGTACTGCTTGTGCTCAAAAGAACCATTTGCCAGAGGCTGAAGCAGCTTGGGATGAAGAATGGAAGCGCGACAGCAGAGATCCCCATCGTTTGGCCCAGCAACAGAAGCTTCTCGACGATATTCATGCCGAGAAAGCTGCCATGGAAAGGTTGGTAGAGCAGGTCAAAGACCAGCTCCGTCGAAGCTCTGAGACATCAGCAGCCGACATTTTTGCAAAGGAAGAAGCCTTGGCTGCAATGGCCGCTGACAAAGCTGCATCTGACAGAGAGGCGCTAGCCCTAAAAGCGGCCATCGCTGAGTCCCTCAAGAAAAAGGACCTTCACATGCAGTCTCCGTCGCAATCAATCACTTCTAAGCCGCCATTGATTCCCCATTTCACTGTGACAGGACCCGCGTTGGAGAAACCGTACCAGCCGGGTGTGTCAGGCAACGACGTACCTTTCAACGCCGAGCTTTATGGCGCGGCCGACGACTTGAACCTTACTCATTTTCACCATTTCACCCAAGACCCGCCGCGGAGGACATCTGCGGCCCAGCCGTCAGGTGTTGGTGGGGGCGGGGCGCCAGCGGCCAGGCCGCCGGGCGACGCAGGAGGTCCAGGCCGACCTGAGCCCTCGCGCGGTGGAGACGGATCGGGCGGGCCTAACGGCCCAATAAAACCTTACAGCGCTGATCCGTTGGACCACGGGCGACAGGTTGGCAACAACGCAGAGATCGATTTGATGGGCATCCCAGATGTTACAAACATCCGAGAATGGCAGATGCATACCATCCGTGCTGTGGCTGGATCGCCCCCTGAGATTCAGGAGGCACACTTTTGGATTATGGAAACTATGGGCCCCGCCGTGCCCAAAGAACATCCTCGAAACCCGGGCCGCTTCCGGCGTCTTGACATCATGATTGCCACCAACTTGATTGAGAATTTTACGAAACTACGTAGAAATCGCAACCTTGCCGTTCATCACAATCATTTCCTCCGCCAAATTCAGCGCATGGAGTTCGCTGCCCAGAATGAAAAGAGACTCCTGACAGGGCGCGAAATGGGAAGGGCCATATGCTATTGGTGCTCAGTAAGATCGGAGCTGGGTCAGCATCGTATTTCGCGCGATATCTTCAAGGTCGCTATAGATCCCAATCGCCCAGATGCTGATCTGTACCATTTTTGCAATGAGTGGACGGATGTGCACCGGCAACTCGATGGCGTACGACCCCCTTCCGACGAGATGCGAGCTTCGATCCATGCCCACTTCCTCGAGCAGTGCAGGAAACCAGAAGTTGAGCACGGCTTGCCAGTTTTACGATACGTCCTCAGACAAGCCCGGCACGGGCATGCGTACATACGAGTGGCTCATAGCTCAGATTGAGATGCTGATGTTGCGAGAGAAGGAAGATTATAACATCGACGAGCACGAATCGACCCTCAATCAGCGAGGCCGGGTTTGGGGTGCTTTGCCTACCGGCCCAGCCGGCGGAGGCGGAAGCGGGCAGACCGCTGCCCCGACTCAGCCGACGGCAGGAGACGGACTCTTTGCCCAAGAGGACACAGACGACGCACTGGCTGCCCCAGAGGACCCGGCGGGTGAACAGATCGACGCCGCTGCTGAGGAACCGGCCAACAGCGGCAGCTCGCGCAAGGACCGCCGCAAGGGCAAAGGCCGCGGCGAAGGCAGAAAAAAAGATCTGCTACGCTTTCAGGGACACGGGCGAGTGCCCACGCGGCGAGGAGCGTTGGCATGCCGAAAGTACCCCAGGCCACCCTTGACGTTGGCTGGGCACTGGCGGCCCTGCCGCCAGTGCCGGGGGGGGGGCTGGAAGGTCGAGGCAAGCCCCTCGCGCTGTTTCTCATTCTCCTCGTTCACAAAATGTCGACGCCTGCGTCGGCCAAGCCGGTCGCGGGCAGGCGAGAGACAGACCGCTGGTCCAACCAGTCTGGGCGCCTACGCGTGCTCAACCCCGCTCGCGCGGGGCACCCCAGAGCAGAAGCAGGCCGGCTCATATTTTCAACAGGCCTCTTACAACAACTTACAATATAATTAATCATTTCCCCTACGGCTGCCCCCGCCTCCGATTGGCGACCCCAGGGCAGCGTTCGTTCGAGCTTGTTGAAATCCTTAGATTGCTGAGCTTGTACGCGGATGTCTTGTCAGCGCCTGTCAGAGTGCGCCAGAAGTCCTGTTTGGTCGAACGCCGACGCACACAGCCAGCAAGCTGGTGCACCCGGCCCGGGCGCCGCGGTGCTCGCGCGCCTGACCACCCAGCACAAGAACGCAAGGAAACCATTGGAGAACTCGTCAGAATCCTTGTTCTCTTGCCCCATTTTTCTCGGAACGACGCAGTTAGACGCTGGCTTAGCTGTATTGCAGCCAAATTTCCCCAGTGCGCTGTTCTGCGGCGTGCCCCAGTCAGAGCTGTCTCCGGCACACCAAGAAAGATCGTCGCAGCATCCGCGTCCGAATCGACCCCTCGATCGCGGAGCCACCATCACTTGACGGAAGGTGCGCCGCCACAGTCTCATAGAGCTGCCGTTGAGTCAAGCATAGGTGGTAGTTCCGTCCCACACAGCGTGGTGGGCATCGACGTGCGTCAAACCTTGTGAGTGGATTTTGGCAGGCATCGTCGATGGAGGCTTCACTCATGGAGTCAGCCCTTGCGAGTGGATTTTGGCACCCATGATTGGAGCCCGAGGGACGAAAGGTCGTTGATTCACACGGCCCAGCCGTAGCTGGGTGCAAGGACGCAGGCCCCGTGTGCCCCCAGCTGTCGAGTTTCATCTTGACCCAGGATGTGGGCGCAACCTCAGTGCTGGTAGAGATGCAATGAATTTGGTCTGCAGGCTCTGCAGACGGTCACTCTGGATACTGCCGTGGTTCCTTCTTGGCCCTCGGTTCAGTTGCGTCGCCAGTATCAATGTTCAACTTTTGCCCAACGGTCTCAAATGAACCAAACCGTTGCGAGCAAGTCTTCGTGCTTGACCCCATTGGGCAAAGAGGCGCTGGGTCAGTAGATGTGTGCGGCTGCCGCCGGTAAAGTCTGTGACTCCCGGGCGGTTGTGTTGCGTGGCGTTAGGGTCCAAGGCAGTCCTGGGCGATATGGATTTGGTGGGAGGTTCCCCACCCCAGTCAGTTCAGAGTCACGTAAAACCATAGACTTGCATACACATGCGCTGATTGGCCCCCGCAGCTAAAATGACGAACGGACGGCTAAGTCAATGTCCCGTTTCCCGTTCTCGTTAGACTCTGTGCCTGCCATCATCTACTTCTATTTGTTCGCCTCGCAAGGCACCCGAATGCGGTTGGAGTCGGACACCCACCGATACCGCTGCCTTTATAAGCCCCTCTCAATCACCCGGCCGTGGCCAAGCCACAGGCTGCGTGGGCGCACGCACCCCGGCGAAGCCGGGGACTGCGTCGCCGCGCATGCGTGCCCGTGTACAGACGGAATCTCAGGATACGAAACTTCCTTTCGGCTAAGATCCGAGGTTGGATCCCGACGCGTGCGACGCATCTACAGCATCAGTGGCTGTTGACTGCGAGGTCTCAGATGGCGTCGGCGCGGCCAACATCGGCGACCCATCTGATTCTGACCCAGAAGATGCTAGGGTTGAGGTGTCGGTAACTCCTGCCGAGCGATTCACAACGGTCGCAGCCTCCCTCACGCGCCCCCCAACTCGTAATCCCAGGACCCCTTTTGTTCGGTGTGTATCCGGGCTGAGGCTATATGGCGCCGACTACGTGGACGACGCGCAGCAGAGGAACTTGCTCACAGGTTTCCTCATCTATTCCTGGTTGATTTGGCAACGTTGGTTTCCTCAGTTCCTCCTCTTATTCATCTGACGTAGGAAAAAATATGACGCGGACACGAATCGTTTTTGGTACAACTGTGTTTTGTCTTTGTCGCAATGCGAGGATCCCTGAATGTGGCCCAACGGCCAAGCCGTCTGGGCCCAGACTGTTGCGCCTATTTGTACATGTCTGGGTGCACCACGCCTCCTTTGCCGGAGCAAGAAGCATTATGCGCAGGGGCCCTCTTTGTTAGGTGCGTGTCTGGGAGCCCCAACCGAGCGCGTATAACTGCCCAGCGTGGTGCGTATAATGCTCCAGCTTGTCTTCAGAATCCTATATGCGCTATATGCCCCGCCAGAGTCGTTGTTCAGTGTTGTCATAACTGGACATATGATGATCACAGGGATGCACCCAGGTATGTCGACAAAACGGGGGGTACGATTGGGCCAGGGAGTTACATCGTGCCTCTGGTATTTGGCCGGAAGTTTACAATGACATCTTAGACGGTCCACGCAGAGGACCGAGAGCCCCAACTTCCCATGGGGAAAGCGCATGACAAGACCACGACCGAAGTGCGCTCAGTGACCGCCCCGCCTGCTGCGGCCTCAGCCGCCGCAGACGGTGCGGGGGCCAGGTCTGGCGCGCAATCGGCCCAGCCGTTTTGCGACGAAGACCCCGGCTTGCCACTACCACCGCCCCCACTAGGAGGCGAGGCCGCGCAGCGCCACGACTCCGAGGACGAGTCCAATAATGACAGTCCGGGGGGATCGAACGTGCATGACAGACCTGTGGCCATGCGAGGCCGGGATCACCAGCGAGATTCCAGACCGATTCAGTCGGCGAGGACCTTTGGCTCAAGGGAGGTCCACCGACCAAGTCGGCGAGGCCTGGGGAGGCAAGCCTTTCCTCGAGATCGGCGGCCGCCGTCCTGCGGCGTAGCGTGCCTCGTATGCCGCTGCAGCTCTGCTCGGCTACCTCGCCCAGTCACTCAGACAAAGACAGACTGGCTACCTTGCCCAGTCACCTTTATTTTGCCGATTACCGAATCGCACTCGACATATACTTAGCTGCCAGATTGGGTCTTGCTTAGATCACAAATCCCACGTAGAATGCCGATGTGGAGCGGTATGCGATATATCATTTGCGCAGGGGGAAGCTATGATATTTGTGTACCTCCCTCACGCTCATCGCTGTGACGCCGCTGCCGTATCTGCGCAATTTCCCCAGGTATGTTGGAACTCTATTTTCCGACGGCCGCCCCCTGAAACCCGGGGGGAGTGCGGAGAGGAGCTGTTGTGATAAACGAATAACTGAACTACGCTAGGAGGCACCCTGCCAAGGGTAAGCCCGCTGGGCCTGTAGCAAAACCAATAAACATGCCGGCGGCACCATCCACGGGCCTAGCCAGAAGTGGTGGTTATGGTGCCCCATGAAGAGTGGAGGCAGTGCAATAAGGAGTTGGCCGACAGGCCATCAATTGCAGACGACGTAGACGAGTGAAGCCATGCTGCTCCCGCTCCTGGTTCACCCAGTGTAGCTGGCGACTCATGACTTGAGCGCATTGGATCTGTCACGAATGGGACGTGAACTAGCGAGGGCGAGTACCCAATGCGCCGAGCTAACAGGACACATCGGCACCAACTTCACTTTCATGGACTTTCTTTGTATATCATGGACGGGCCTCGGCCGACTGAAGCGGCAATGAGTAGAGCACCATGCAGCAGTGACCCTTGAACGGCACAAACGTTTGTTGATGGAAGAAAAAAGGTCCCAACATGTGCAACAGTTGTTCTTCCACTCGCGCGTTCGGTGGAATCAATCAACACCATCATAGCAGCGAAATTCGTGACATGTTCGTTGCATCTTGCATCGTGGTGCGACGTATTCCCCTCCCAGTGGCCTGATTTGATTTCCCAGCTTCGACTTGCAAGCGACGCTGGCTGTGTTTTTGCGGTATGCCAAGCAGCAACGCGAGGCCCGTGATAACGATCATCAGACTGTAAGTGACTCTGACGGCCAAACCGTTCAGGGGACGGATGCCGACATGACGCCAGCGGTCTCAACGCCCCTGCGTCGCCGGTCGGCCAAGCCGTCCCGGGAACAGCTACTAGCGCGGCGGCTCCACCGTCCGCCCCGCAGGCCTGCTGCGCCCATCATTCCAACACCCTCAGTGTGGCTTTGGGCCGGCCAGCGGCCCAGCCGCCGCGACCAGAGACACTGCCAGGCGGCCCCAGCATCGAATCGATAAGCCGGATCGGGTCGACCGGAGCATCGAATCGGCAGAAATCTGCTAAAACTGGCAGCCAAATCGAAATCGGCTGAGGTCGGCAAGTCCGAGCCGGATCGAGTCGGAAACCGGACCGCGTCTAGCCGGATCGGAATCGAAATCGCCCCCCCCCCCTTGGGGGGGCGCGGGGCCCCGGGGCTTTTGGGCCCCCCCCCCGGGGGCGGTTTGGGGCCCCAGGGCTTTTGACCCCCCCCCCCTGGGGGTGGGGTTGGGGCCCAAGGGCTTTTGCCCCCCCCCCCCCCCCTGGATGGAGGGGTCCCAAGGCTTTTGGACCCCCTCCCCCAGGCCTGGGGAGGGTTCGGGGGTCCCGGAGCTTTCGGAAAACCCTCCCCTGGGAAGGGTTTGGGGTCCCAAGGCTTTCGGAAAACTTCCCCTGGGGGAGGGCTGAGGTCCCGGAGCTTTCGGACCCCCCCCCCTGGGGGGGGTTGGGGTCCCAGGGCTTTCGGAAAACCTCTCCCTGGCCTGGCTGTTAAGGCACAGTAAAGCGACCGGCGTGCTGACCCCCCCCCCTTCGCGACAAGAGGTGCGTCGCGCATTCGCCCCCCGTGCGCCGCCCGTGCGTCGGCAGCGAGCCAGCCGCCCTCTCGAACGTGCACGTCGCCCTCGCAAGGGGGCAAGTTGGTGGGCGCGTCGCCAGCGCGGCGGACACCCGCGGGGCGGATCGCACGCACGTCGCCCTCTCCACGGCCGCTGAAAAGGCCGGTCGCCTTCGGGAAAAAGACAGTCGCCCACGCTGCGGCCCTCTTGGCGAGAAGAAGGCGGCCGCTGGGCTACCTCGGCAGATCGGCAAATCCCTCTAACATTACAAATGCAGCGATGCTACTGAACGCACCCCGGCGATAGGCCAGCAGGTCCCCGCAGCCGCCGCCACAGCCGCCGCAACCGCCGCCAGCGCCAAAACTACCGCCGCCACGATCACCACAAACGGATGCGACCGCAACCACATCCACCGCGACGATTACGACCAACACCATTTACCGCAATCACCACCACCACGACCAACACGCTTCTCGCGACCACAACAACGACCGACACCAGCGCGATCACCGACGCGACCACCACCAGCCCGCCCACCACCGGCGGCACGGCCGCCGCCAGCGCGACCAAGGCGACGAACGCGACCGCGACCATGATCACCAACATGACCATTACACAAGCACCCGTCCACGCCCTCCTCCCCCCCATCTCCCCCATTCCCCTGCCGGGCCGCCCTTGCCGGCGTTCCCGCCTCGCGCTCCGCCCCCCCCCCCCCCTCCTCTTCTCCTCGTGATCCCCCTCTTCCACCGCTAGCGGCGGGGCCGTTCGCGGAAAGCGAGGGCGCCGCTCTCGGCGACGCGCCGCCGCCGTGGAAAGGGGGAGCGAAGGAGAAAAAATGAAGAGGGACACGGGGTGGCAAGGGGCGAAAAAAACAAAGACGAGAGAGGAGGGGGAGGGGCAGACAGAGGGAGGCCGGTAGAAACGAGGAGGAGAGGGGAAGGAGAGAGGAAGACGAGGCAGGAGAGAGGACGAAGGAGGAGGAATGACAGAAGAGGAGGGACGACGAGGAAGGAAAAGGGAAATAACAAAGGCAAGCACCGCCCTTCCTGGCGCAATGGAGGGCGCAGCCGCCGCCACTTGTGAACAGCGCAAGCACGGCGGGCCGACGGCCGTTGCGCATTGCTGCTGGGGGAAATGCGAGGGGCGGGCCAAATCGCGACTGCGTCGCGCATGCGTCGCGCGTGCGTCGCGCGTGCGTCGCGCGGGTCGATTGTGCGTCGCGCGCTGGCAGGGGTGCTTCGCGCGCGGGTCGGGGTGCGTCGCGCGCGCGTCGCGCGCGCGTCGCGCGTGCGTCGCTCGGATCGTTCGCGCGTCGCGCGCAGGTCGCGCGCGAATCGCTCGAAGGGCGCCGCGGGCTCCTGACGGCATGTGAACTGCGCGGCCCGCTGGCGAAACAATCAGGGGACGCGCGCGGCAATCGTGGAAATAGCGAGACACGCACGTGATAACTACGAACGCGTGGAGACCAATAGACGACGTGGAGATGCAGCGCGCACGGACTGATCCATTTCAAGTGCACGCCCCGTCAGAATTTGAACATCGGTCCGTCGCTGCAGCAATTTGGCGACGTCTCGCCCGCCGATGCATTGGGGGGAAAAAGAGGATGGAAGTGAGGCGAGGGAAGGGCGGGCGGAAATTTGAACGGACGGGCGAGGAGGGGGCGCGCGGGGCGGCGCAGCGGCGGTGGGAGCGATGGAAGGCGATCGAAGGGGGGCGGCGGGGGCGAGGAGGGCGAGAAGAGGGTGGAAGGACAACGGGGGGTGAGTAGGGAGGCGGACAGGACGGCAGCCTGACGCAAAATAACTGCATACAAATTTCGCAAACGGGACAAAACGTGCAGCGCGTTGGACGAGGGGAAGAGGAAGGAAGAGGGGGGGGCAGGGGGATTGGCGCGAAACGACATGGGGGCGCGGGGCGCGATGCGACGGGGCGAAGTGGCGCCGCCTCGCGCGACGCGACGCCGCCCCCGCCGTGGCGCGACACGCACAGCCCCCAATCAACGCGAGGCGTCTTCGTCCTCAGCAACGGTTGGCGCACCCGGAAATGAGCACCAGCAAATCCTCTTGCGCCGAATTGGAGACAGAACGCGCTGGTGGACCGTCGAACTGGAGTGCGCCGCGACTGCCAAAATGGCTGCTGGTACATCGGCGTCGGAAGCTTATATTTCGCCAGAGAAATTCCGAAATCGCGCCAAATGCCGCCCACGCACTCTGGGGGGCCGGGATTCGGCACAGAGACGCAAACCAGGGCCGGCGCACGGGCGACGCTCGGGCGACGCACTGAACGAAACTTAAGGGGGGGTCGCTTCACTGGGCCTTAACGCCCCTGGGAGGGGGGGGGAAGGAGGGGGAGGGGGGGGGGCAAGGATTTCGGGCCCCGCCCCTGGGGGGGGGGGGGCGGAGCTTTTGGACCCCCCCCCTGGGGTGGAGTTGGAGCCCCAGGGCTTTCGGACCGCCCCCTGAGGGGGGGGGGGGGGGGGGCGGAGCTTTCGGAAAACCCCGCCCTGGGAGGGGGTCGGGGCCCCGGAGCTTTCGGGCCCCCCCCCAGGGGGGAAGTTGGGGTCCCGGGGCTTTTGGAAAACCACGCCCGGGGGTGGGGGGTCCCAGAGCTTTCGGAACGGCTGGGGCCCCAGTGCTGTGCCCCCCCCCCCCCCACCCCCTCCTCTGGGAAAGGGCTTGGGGTTCCAATGTTTTTGAAACCCCCCCCTGTGGGGGGTTTGGGGTCCCGGAGCTTTTGGACCCCCCCCTGCGGGGGGGTTGGGGTCCCAAAGCTTTTGGCCCCCCCCCCCTGGGGGGGGTTCGGGGTCCCGGAGCTTCTGGAAAACCCACCCCTGGGGGGGGGGGGGGTGGATCCCCCCTCTCGGGCCCCCCCCCCCCTCCCCCCCCTCCCCATGGGGGCCAGACTGGATCGGCAAAAGCCGGCAGGAATCGGCTGGCGCATCGAATCGGCAGAAACCGGATCGGGCAAACTCGAAATCGGAATCGCGAGTCGGAATCCCGGAATCGAGTCGGTTCGAAATCGGAATCGCGGAAATCGATTCGAATCGAACCGGCGGAGTCGGAATGGCCCCTGCACTGCCCACTTACACCTTTCGCGCACCAACGTTGCCTTAACGTTCTGAGGATTTGATTTGATTTGATCACCACAATTACCTCAACGTTCACAATATAACATTTGATTTGATGTTGGACAGCATGCGCATTCCATCTCAATGCGACAATCTATGTTTGCCAGCCGTGTTAGCTCGATTTGCTTTTGCCTGATATCCCACTCAGTGTTGTCCGTTTGCTCTATACCCGGCAACGTTCTTCCGACGCTTTATGGAGCTTGCCCGCGCTGTTGGCGAAGCGGGGGGGCACTGTTTGTCTTGATTCCTCCTGCCTCTCATTATGCGTGGGCGACCAGCGGTCAAACCGCGACGGTCGCAGGAATGATGGCCGACCGCCGTCGATGTCATCGGCCGCTTCTTCTGCGCGACCTCGCTATGCGTGGGTCGGCCAATGTCCGGGCAGCAGGTTGATGAGCGCTATTCCTCGGCGCCTTCTGGCGGCGCCGCCTCGGCGCCTTCCTGGCGAACAAGGACAAGAGCAAAACCAAAGGCACTGGCCAGCCGTCGGTCCGATCCGGGCCGTGCGCCGGCCCCGGCAAGGGCGCAGCCCCTGCGGCAGGCCGTTCCTATGAGTGGTACTTCCGGTGTAACAAGAACTGCGCCAAGGGCAAGGGCGTTCAGCCGCACGATGGATCTGAATAGACGTGAAGCCAGCTGTTGAGCGACAAGGTTGCACAATCTACCTTCAGCACGTCTGCCTTGGGATCGAATCCCTCGTCTAGCACTCGTCAGTGAAGATCTTTTGCATCAAAATGTCTATGCGCCGCTGACTTCCCCGCCGGCGCCTGCGGCTGATGGAAGAGACATGGGCCGCGGCAAGGACGAGAGCAAGGCGAAGCCAGACTAGCATCACCATAGAGGTGCACGATATTATAATTCTGACCATTGCTGGCAAAAGAAGAGATGGTAGTCAACTGTACGGCATAATCATCAACAGGTCAACCCCTGACGACTCAAGTGGAAGATCTTTTAGAAATGAATGGCCGGCTCTATACGGAGGTGGGGTACGTCGGGTTGATTCGATCTATCGCCCCGCAGCGGCTCGGAGTTCTTTCGGCTCCTCCGAGTTGTACATATGTGCAGAGCTGCGGTGGTGTGGGTCGACGCGATGCTACGCACCCCGCCGCGGGGGGAGTCAATATGCTCCTCTCCGCGTCCTCTCTTTTGCCGCTGCCGCCGCCGCTTCGCTTCATAGGTTGACTGTAATGTATATACATACTCGCCGATCTATCGATGATGCACGCATCAGTACTATCCGCAGCTATCGTAGTAAGTCAGGTGGAAAAAAAGGTCTCCGCGCGCGCGCCTCCCCTCGCCCTTCGGCCGGTCAGCTCGGCGCGTGCGCGCGTATTCACATATTGCTTAACTGGCGCTATTGCTGCCAAAGCCATGGCTCTCCCCAGTAGTTCTCTCCCTGAGCTTCCCCAGAATAAAACAACGACCACGCATAGTGAAGCCCCAGGTTTGACGATTGAAGATCATGAGACCCACGTTCCTTTTACACTCAACCACGATTCCCAGAGGAACGGCTATAACAGTCATTACAAGACTGATCGCCCTTAGCTGCCCACGCGCCAATCAGTGCGCATGTCCTATAAGCTCGTCATCCGCCCTCGTCGTCTTCGATCGCACCCCCTTGGGGGCATATCTTCCTTACCTGCCACGCGCATTTTTAGTGCAACCCCCTAAAACAAGGGAGCAAAAGACGGGTGGAAGGGAGACGGAGAATAATGGACCACAAGAACAATTTGCAGGAAAGGCGGCAAGGAACAGAAAACAAGTGGCAAGACCAGACGGGCAGATCGGGCGGGCAGACCCATAGCGGGCAGGTCGGGAAGGCGGGCCCAGGCGACCAGGCCGAGCAGGCGGCACTTCAATTGAAAAATACAATGGCCACCGGAGGGGAGGGATCAAATTCTTCAGTCTTCAGTGGTGAAAATTCAACAACAACAACAACGACAACCATTTTAAGACGGTTCGCTCTTATCTGCTCGAGCGCCATTCAACGCGTACTTCCCAAGCCCTCGATACCTGCCCTTTTCGTCTCCGATCGAACCCTTTCTGGGTGGTGAAACTTTTTCCTTGCAAGCCGGCCCCCGGCAAGCGGCGGGGCGGCCGCGGACCGTCGGCCTGGCCAGCGGCGGCGCTGATCGGCGGCAACCCGACCCCAGAGACGGACAGGGCACTGACCACGACGACGACAATAACAGGAACGACGACGACGACGACGACGGCGACGACGGCGACGAGCGAAAGTGACCACGACGACGACAGTGACGGGAACGACAACGACGACGACGACGGCGACGACGACGAGCAAAAACGAGAGCGAGACAGAGAGCGACAGCGGGGCCACGAAGGGCAGCGAGGGAGCCACGAATGGCGACAGCGGGGCCACGGAGGGCATGCATATGGGGCCACGACGGGCGCGAACGAGCGGGGGCCACGAAGGGCAGATAATGCGGGGCCATAGAGGGCAACGACGGGGCCACTGAGGGCAGCAACGGGGCCACATAGGACAGCGAGGTCGCCACGAAGGGCGACAACGGGGCCACGAAGGGCATGCATGTGCGGCCACGACGAGCGCGAACGAGCGGGGGCTACGAAGGGCATACATATATGGAACCACAAAGGGCAGCGAGGGGGCCACGAAGGGTTGCAACGGGGCCACGAAAGGCAGCGAAGGGGCCACGAAGCGCTGCAACGGGGCCACGAAGGGCTGCAACGGGGCCACGAAGGGCAGCGAGGGGACCACGAAGGGCTGCAACGGGGCCACGAAAGGCAGCGAAGGGGCCACGAAGCGCTGCAACGGGGCCACGAAGGGCAGCGAGGTCTCGATTCCTAAGTAAGCTGTGACGGAACCCTAAGCGTGAGCGCGACTCCTGGGTGCCTGAATGTCGGGGGCGGGGCGCTTGAGTAAATTGCGGGGAATTCCAACGCAAGCAAGCGATCCTTGAGAGAATTGCAAGCAAGTCTCCAGCGAGAGCGCGACTCAAGAGCGCCCCAAAGGCCGATTCGTGAATAAACCGCAAGGGAGTCCCAAGCGAGAGCGCGATTCCTGAGTAAAACGCGAGGAGTCTCAGGCGAGAGCGGGGGTCCTGGTGCGAGGGAGTCTCAGGCGGGAGCCGTTGTTGTTGTTGTAACCCGGGGGCCAGGGGCATAGTTTGAGCCGAGTGGCTTCCCCTGATAAAACACCAGACGCGAGCCTCGGAGGAAGCACTTCAATTGATAAAGGGGTGGGGAGCCACAGTATTTTTCTTCAATAATGAGAGTTCAGCTGCAACAACAACCAATACCACACCAACAACCACCACCACAACAACAACAATCAGCTGAAAATTTTGAAGACGGCTCGCTCTTATCTGTCCACGTGCCATTCAACACGTGTATCCCAAACCCTCAATACCCGCCCTCTTCGACTTCGATCGTGCCCCCATGGAGGGCATATCTTTTTTACCTGCCACGTGCATTTCGTGCAGCCCCTAGGGCAAGGGAAGAGAGGACTGATGGGGGGAAGGACCAAGGGGCAGGCGGGCGGTTGAAGCTTGTGGCCTGCATGAATCGCGAGGAAGTCTTGAGAGATAACACGATTCCCAAATGAATCGCAAGGAAATCCACAGCCAAAGCGGCGTTGGAATAAATGGCGAGAAAGTCCCACGCGACAGCGCGATTTCCGAATAAATTGTGAGGACGTCCCCAGCGAGACCGCGATGGGGGAAAACAGGTTAGGAAATGCAAGGCGGGAGCCGCTGTTGTAGCAACAACAACAACAAACACAACAGCAACAACAACAACACAACCACCACCACCAACAACAGCAACAACAGCACCAACAACATCACCAACAACAGCGATAAATGTAAGAGAGTTCGCTCTCATCTGCTCGCGTTCCATTCAACTCGTGTGTATCCCAAACCCTCGATACCCACCCTCTTCGTCTTCGATCGTACCCCCTTGGGAGTATATATCCTTCTTTCCTGCAGCGTGTATTCTATCCAGCCCCTACGGCAGGGGAAGAGAGGATCGATGGAAGGAAAGGGCAGCAATGGGGGACGGAGGAGGATGGAGCACGACGGCAAAACCAGACAGTCAGATCGGGCGGGCAGACCCTGAAGGGCGGGTCAAGAAGGCGGAACCCGACGGCCAGGGCGAGCAGGCGGGTTGCTGAAGCGCGCGTCCTGCTCGAATCGCGAGGAAGTCTCAGGGACAGCGCGATTCCCAAGTAACTCCTGCATAAATTGTGAGTCGTAGTTTAGAGACAGCGCAATTCCCAAGTAACTCAGAGACAGCGCGAACCATTGTTGTTGTAGTTCGGAGCCCCACAACGCAACTTGATGACCCCTCGCTTCCCCTTGTATGATAACAGGGTGCAATCCCCAGGAGGAACACTTCAATTGAAAAATTGTGTGGTTACCGGGCAGGGGGATCAACAATGCAGATTGTTGAACAATGGGAATTCAAGTACAACATCAACAACAGCAGCAGCAACGACAACAACAGCAAGCACGATCACGACAACGACAACGACTACGACAACCACGACGCCATCGTCGGCGTAACCAGCGTCAGAAACATCATCATCGCAAACATCATCGGCAGCAGCATCAGCCTAAGCCTCCGCATCATCAACATCATAGCATCGTCATCGTCATCACCACCACCATCATCATAATCAGTATCAGAACCATCACCATCATCAGCAGCATCATCAGCAGCACCATCCTCATCATCAGCATCATCATCATCATCATCTCATCATCACAATCAGCATCACCACCATCATCATCACATCATCACCATATTAAGCAGCATCATCACCGACATCATCAGCAGCATCATCATCACTATCATTATAATCATCGTCATCGGCATCGTCATCGTCATCATCGTCATCGTCATCATCGCCATCATTCCGATCAACCTCATAATCCTTATCATCCTCATCAGACTGGAGACACGAAACTTCACTTGTGACTTGAGGTTTCTCTTGCCTGTCTAGGCCCTGGTATGACGTTTGATGGGTTTTGATGGTCCGAAACAGCCATCAGGTTTGGTGGCCCCCATCCTGGCGTGAAAGTAGGGTGATGGACACCCTCGGGGGGCTCCGCGAACAATTATCAGCCCTTTTGGGCTGAGGCAAACGCTGTAAAAAACAGGCATGACATTTGATGGCCGCCAGGGTGGGTGGCCCGCTTGCGGGCCGAGCCCAAGACCGCACATTCATGGGCGAACCCACTGGCACAACTGAAAGCCACGCGCATCAACATCAAAAAAATGGTGGCAAGGAGGAGGATGAGGAGGAGGGAGGGCGAGGAGAAGGAGGGGGCTAGAGGAGGAGGAGGAGGGAGGAAGAGGAGGAGGGAAGAGAGGCAGGGAGAGGGAAGGCGGAGGCGGGAGGGGGAAAGGAGGCAGAAGCAGGGAAGGAGGCGAGGTGAAGGAGGGGGCAGCAAGAAAGAAGGTTTGGGTCGGCAGCAGCGGCGGCGTCCTCGCTTCGTGCCTGGCTCGGGCTCGCGTCCTCCTCCCTCTTCTGTCGTCGTCTCTCCTCCTCCTCCCTCCTCCTCCCTCCTCCCCCCTCCTCCTCCCTCCTCCTCCCTCTTCCTCCCTCCTCCTCCCTCCTCCTCCTCGTCTTCCTCCCTCCTCCTCTAGGCGGCGGCGGCGCAGCCTGCTGCCTGGGGCCGCTCACTCGGCCAAGCGCCTCTGGACCTCTTTCCAGAGGCCCGTGGGGATCTCCTCCACCGCCACCGCCCTCGCCGTCATGGCGTCGATCGCCCTCGTCAAGGTGTCCGTCGCTGACGCACCCTTCGCCGCCGCCGCCTGCGCGAGCGACGCCACGGTCATCGTGACGTTGCTCTTCTGGACGGCATCCGTCCACTTCTTCTCCGACTCGAATTCGGACTCGACCACTGCGAAATCTGCGCAGGCCGCCGCAAACTCACCACGCTTCTCGGCTACGTCCTTGACCAACGTTTCGATCTTATTGCTGATGCCGATCTGACGGAACAGCGTTTTTTTGAGATGGTCCTGGAGGCTTGGCCAGTCGTCATCGCTGCCAGTGTAGGTGTCCATGAAGCCGCTGCCGTCGGCCATGCCGCCAGCGATCTCCTCCAGCCTTGACGCCACGCGGCTGGCTGCCGCCGCGGCCTCGGTAGCACGCATCTTCGAGTAGACATCCGTCGCTTCTTTCGCCGCTGGGATCCACGGACCCACCTTCTCTGTGAAGACCTTCCACGCGTCGAAGCCGAAAGGAACCAAGTGCGCATCCTCGGTGTCGGAGTTCACGGCTGGCACGCTGATCGTAGCTGACACGAGCTCCTGGTGCACCGCCTTGAGCGCCGCGTTCTCTGCGTCCTGCTGCGCCGTCACCGAGATGAACTTCTCGAACTGAACGATGTGCCCAATGTGCTCCTCCACGTCCGCGCACCGCATGTTGACCGCATTGTTCAGGAGGGAGGTGTCGCCGAGGTGGCTGATGGTCTTCCGCAGGCTATCGGCGATGCCCTTGCGCCACCAGGCGTTCTTAATCAGAGTGCCCATCTCAGGGCTCCTCACCATCTCGTCGGGGTTCTTCACGTCGAGCACCTCGATGCCATTGAAGATGATGGCAATCGCCCTGGCGATGTTCTCGCAATCGTCCTTGACGCTGATGCTAACCTTCTTGTTGGTCCTGAGGGCGATGTTGACGAAGTCCAGGTTCTCCTCGCTGGGGTCGCTGAGGTACTTGGTGACCGACGCCATGATGGCCGATGAACTCCTGGACGCCTCGGCGGCGGTGCGCTTGTCCAGCAAGCGAGCGTACGCACCGTCCAGCTTATCGGTCGCCTCGTCGTCCAGGGAGAAGTCCGCAGCCACAGAGTATTGGGTCATGACCACCTCGAGCTTGCTCAACATCTCCAGGTTCACGAGGGCGTCGCTGCTGTCGACTAGAGTGCTGGTCATCCTGATGATGGTCTGCTGGACTGCTTCCTCCGCCTTCACTGTCGACGATGCCTTGCCACGGCACGTCTTCCTCCAATGACCGATGGACGTGATCGCAGAGGTGAGGGCATTCAAACCATCTTCATCGAACTCAGAAGCCCTCAGCTCCAGCATCAACGAGTTCATCTTCGGCGCCGATTGGAGGTCTGTCGAAGCAGCCCGTCGAAATGACGACTTCCACTCGGCCCAGGGCTCGCGCTTTCCGAAAGCCGCCGCGAGCGGCGCCCACTCTGGATCGGAGAAGCCACCCGTCAGCAAGTTGATCAATAATGGCATGTGCGGGGCGCAGGCCGAGAAGGACTCAGGGTCGTCGTTGCCCAGGTGGGTCAGCAAGAGGCCCACGCCAACGACCTTCTCGAAGTAGTCTTTGACGCTTGGGCTCCACTCCGGCAAGCTGCCACCGAAGTGGTCGGCCAAGGCGACCCCAAGCTGCTGCAGGTGCTTGACCATGGAGGGGTCCGCCAAGCCAGGAAGCACCACGATGTCCATGAGGATCTCTCGAGACACCGCAACTCTCGAGTCGATGTCGCTCTTCATGCTGGAGAGCTTGGGCTCGTACATGTTGAAGGGCTCTGGCGTGGCTGTGACTGGCAAGATCGCATCCGCGATCTGATCGATCGAGGGGTTGCCCAGGAGCAAGTACTTCCTCAGCAGGGTCTGCGTGAAGTTGTAGGCGCACTCGACGTCCCCGTTTGTTAGTTTCTTAAGCTGCCCACAGATCTGCTCCCAACCCATCTCGTTGATGTTGGTCACTAGCGTTGTCGCTGTCTCAGCTTTCGTGTGCAGTGTCTCGGCCATGATCGCCATGCTGGCTGAAGTAGGTCGGAACCTTTTCAAGCTGTAGACCCGATCGCCCTTCGGCAAGCCGTCGAGGATGTCAGGGATGACGACGTCATGCTTCAACTGCTCCCACCGCACCTTGTCGCTAGACAAGGCTGCCGCCGACGCCTTCGGTGCAATCTTGCGCCCAGAGCTCACGCGCGTACCCGCACTCGGCGCTGGCGACCTCGAGCGGCCACGATCTCTACCAGGTGATACCGATGAGGCTGCTGGCGACCCCAAGGCAGCCAAGTCCCCTGACGAGAGCCTGCCCGTCCGCGGCGCCTGGGGAGTAGCACCGCTGGCGGGCGCCGCAGGGCGCGCGCCCGAACCGCCGCGGGTGGTAGGGCCCCTCGCGCCCGCCGACGCCGCTGCGGCCTTGGAGGCAGCCCGAGGCGCCGCGGCCGCGGCCTGCGAAGCGCCACCGCCTCGGACTGAGGCTTGCTCCACCTCGTCGGCGCCCCCGTTCTCGATGGCGAGGAACTCCGACGGAACAGCAGGCGAGCCCTTGGCCTTTGGCGGCCAAGCCGAAAGGCCACGGCTCACAGCCTCCGCGTTGGCGATCTCCTGCAACTGGGTGAGCGTCGGCACCTTGGCGTGCCCTCGGAGGATGGTCGCTTGCTTCTGTCTGATCTTCGTGATCTCCTGCTTGAAAGTCTGCTGCTCCCCTCTTGAAGTTGCCGCTTTCGCCGCCGTGAGCTTGATGGTGCTCAAGCGTACTTCCGTCCTGGTGTAGTTCTTGATCTCCGTGAACGGCTTCGACGGGTGCTGGCACACGACGCCAGTCGAGCTCACGCCAGGCTGAGAAGACGAGACAACGCGGGTCTCTTCCACCTTGCACATCTCAGGCGTGATGCCAACCGCGCCCTTCGGGCAGACCCTCTCTGTCCACTGCTCCTTCGTTAACTGGATCGACGTCTTGCTGATCTCCTGGCCGTAGAGTACGTCCACCTCGACGCTGCCATGCTCGCCGATAGCATCCTCGATGTTCGCGGCAAGCTCGCTGTCGGCCTGGATCTTGCTGTCGCAGTCCTTGTTGAAATCCTCGTCCTCGCGGCACCTCTCGCAGAAGTCCTGCCAGGCCATGTCCTGCTGGAAGTGGCGGGTGAAGCACGTGAAGCACGTGTCGCACCCGTATGTCGGAGGGGCGCCAGGCCCAGAACCCTTGCCACGATGGCACGTCGACCGATCCACGGGCTCGTCGCAGCGGTCGCAGGCCACTGCGTCACTGCCGACGCCTCCAGCCTTCCCTTTGCGAGGCTGAGCCACCTTGACGGGGGCGCCGCTGTCGCCGTCTGCACTCGTACGCTTTCTGCCGCCCATGGCGGCGCACTGCCTCTGAGCTGCCAGCTCCACGCGCGGGCTCCAGTACGTGATGGGCCACTCTCGGAGCCGAGGACGGCGCCAGCGGCGCCTTGCTGTCGAAAACTCCGCGCCGAAAAAGGCTGCGTGACGGGGGGGATGGGGGTTGGACGGGCGCCCCCGCAGCAAAGCTCGCTGGCTAAGCCCCAACATATTGCACCACATCGATGGCACCACCTAGGCCATCAGCAAAGGCCCCATGTCCTAACTTACTCTTGGGCTCCAAGCTGGAGCCCCAAGGGAAAGGCCACCTGGTGGACCCCAAGGGAGGCTGCCTTGAGGGGCAGGGGTCCCGAATGAAAGGCCTGGGCGCCACGGTGGAGCCTCAAAGTGAGTCCAGAAGGGGGGCGCACTATCACGCCTACTCTTCACTGTTCTAGTGTTGCCCTACTCTCGCGCTGCATGGTGCGCGCAACAACCACCTACAGATACCTACGGCTTTCCTACTGCAACCGATGCGCATTCAACAGCGTTTCCTGCTCTGTATTTCCTTGTTTGAGCGCTTTGAGGGCACGTGGAGCCATGGCGGCATCGCCTACCCTCTCTTGATCGCACGGCCACGGCTCTAGTAGGACCCAACAACCCAGTAACGCATCCTTGCCAGCCTAACCTCCTACGATTGGGCTCCAAGGATGAAGCCCCAAGGGTTGGCCCCAAGAGGCTCCAGGGGAGGCGCCTTGAAGGGCAGGGCCCAATGCTGAGTCCCAAAGGGCCAAAGGACGGGAGCCCAAAGTGGAGTGCAATGAGGGCGCACAACCAAGACACACCGAACGCACCTACCAACCTACTCAACCTAAATGTACAATGCGACGCTCCCCCCCAGAGCGATCGCCCCACCCTGAGAGCTGATGGCCAATGCAACGCGTGCAACAAGCAACGACAACTTTCGCTTGTGCGAAAGGGAACCAGCATTGGCTGCAAAGGGGAGCGGGCCGAGACTAAGCACTTGAATCGCAATCATTGTACAACACAGCATCACATAGCATGGCACAGCTTTGAGCTGCGAGGTTACCATGCAGCGCAACATACATAGCACGTGAGCCCTGACAAAACGAAGGGGAGGCGCGGAGATGCCGCCATTTCAGACCTGACGCGAGTGTTCTTTCGCTCCTACTCCTCATCCTGCTCCTCCTCCTCCTCTGCTCTCTGTCTGTCATCCCTCCCCCCTCCTACTCACCACCCTCCCCTCCTCCAAATCTTATCCTTGCCTCAAGATGTTCCTCTCCCCCTCTTCCTACTCCTCCACCCCTCAATGTCGCACCGTCGCAATTCGACGCGGTCGACCCTCGGTGAGACAGCAGAGGGGGGGGTGAACGAGAGGGATAAAGGCCTGCGCACTCCAGCTCTCAGCTGTTGCGCCCCCCGAAGGTCGAAGGACAGCCCCCCCTGTTGCTTGTTGTTTGCTGTAGGCGGGGGGGGGGGTGCCCGAAACGTCGGAGGTCGGGCTCATCCCCCTCATCGTTCCTCTCCTCCTCCTCCTTCTCATCCTCCTCCTCCCTCCCCCTCCTCCTCCTCCTCCTCCTCCTCCTCCCCCCTTCTCCCCCTTCACTATGGGACGACAACCTAACTTACCAAGCAATCAACATCGAATGCCTGTTGCGACAAAGGCAACCCATGGCTCTGAATATGCGACAGAAGAAACTGGCAACATTATGAAAAGAGTTGCCACGTGCTCCGTCTGTGCTCAATTGGCGCCTGCGAACATTGAGAATCACACCTTCGGCGGTCACCGCTGCAACATGAGGAGAACGAACGTGCGCGGCGCCCGAGAGCCAAACTACCTTGAAACGAACACCTGTCGCACATCCTGGTCGAGGCCAACATGCTTATGTCAGAAAGTGTTTGATGTTCACGGACACGCGTGGCTCGTTCAAAGAGTGTTTGGGCGATGCTAAGAATACGAGCGCACGCCAACCAAGTGCTACATCTCAGGAAGCACGGAAAGGCCTTCAATGGTCAAGCAAGAGACAACTGATCACTCGAGTGCAATCACGTCTGAGGAACCCAACTATCATTGCGAAGGCAAAGCGCATCAGCACAGACCGCGCCTCCGGCAGACTTACATAACAACGCGGGGCGACGCGTGGCACATGACCCTGGAACGTACCAGCGTTTGACCCATCATTGCTGCACTTGTCGGTGGCGCGCACAGCTCTATCCAAAACAACGGTCTATCGCAGCATATGCCGAGGACTGTGCCGACGCCGCGTGGACGCAAGTGACTGGACGCAAACAGTGACCCCAGAACGGCAAGGATGCGACGGGCAGCGGGCGTTCGAACACGGCCAGAGATTGAATAGCACAACGACAACGCCACATCATTCGAAGGTGGGCCGTGGCATCGTTATCCGCAGCCCGTGAAGGGCTTGCAGCGTGTGGGACCCTTTGGCACAAACGCACATTTACCTCGAGGGAGCAAGCCTGGAATGGCACATGTGCGGCCTGTATGTGCAAATTCGCCCGGTGGGCGCATTGCCACCACATAGTGGACGCGCAAAACAACACCCGCACTAAAGGCAGATGTGGGACCCTGCCGTGGACAGACTCACGGTCCTGATGACGGGGCGGCAGACAATGCAATCAATTTTGTCGCTTGCCGTGCAACCAGCATGCGCTTCGCGCCCTAAGTGCCTGACCACGCCTCCCCCCCACCACCGCCCACCCCCCCCCGCCCGCGACTGTGGGGCACGGCAGCCGCCCCTGGATTTACATTTTTGCAATGCAACCAATCGCGTTTTCGATGGGCGCTGCCAAATTCAACCAACCCGCGCATGATGAGAGGCGGCAAGCTCGCGTGGCCGATGGGCGCCTGGCATAGGAACGAAGATTCGCGTAAACGTGCGCGCATGATGGGGAACGCTGGTTAAACCAAGCGCGCGCCAAGGCGCGATATTCCCTGGATTGAACGGGCCGCCGCCAATTTACGGCGCCGCCGCGCATGCAATCACAACGTGCGCGGGCCGTGGCGCGCGGCGCCATCCAATGGATCATGGCGGCACGCAAGGCGTCCAGAAGTTTGAGTAACCGCGGGCGCCACCGCGCCGAGGTGGCAGCTGAAATGGCGCGTGTCTCAATCCATCGCGCAGCGCCGCGGAGGGTCCAAGCGGCGCTCGGCTGCCTCGCGCTGACTGCGCGCAACCGCGGCCGCGTCGGGCCGATCGACTGGCGCGTTTCGCGCGCAGCCGATGCCGCGCAAGCGATTGGGAACGCGGCGCCCATCGCGCGCGACCGACGCCCCCCACTAGCAATCGGTGAGAGCTGTGCGCGCGCTGCCCTGGCTGCGGCGTCGAGCCGCGGGGCAGCCGCTCGGGCGCGATTGCGCCGTCGAGCGCGGCCGATCGGCGGAGCGGGCGTCGGACGCGGGCGCCCGAATGCGCCAGGGGGGCAGAAGAACGCCGAACGGGCACGAGGCCGCGCGCGCGCGGAGCCAAGGGCGCGCGGGCGCCCGACAGGGTGGATCGCGATGCTAGCTGGATTGGCCGCGGAGCAAGCCCGCGCGCATGCGCGTCGCACGCTGCCGACGCCGCCGCGCGAGGATCGCGAACCGACGTCATGGCGAGCGGCCGCGCGCTTGTCGAGGCAAGCTACCTGCGCGCAGCCACCACCACCCGCGGTTGCCATTGGCACGGTTGGCATCGACGTAGGTTGGCTCGCCCGCCCTGCGCCGCCAGGCTGGCGTTTCGTTGGGCGCGTGGCCTCAGCGAGCGACCTGGCCGTTGGCCGCCAATGCCCCAAAGCAGCGCCGCCATGTTCCGACGACCTGAAGCGAAAGGCCCCCAACCGCGCTCGCGCAGCGAGCGCTCGCGGAGACGCGGCGCTCACTGTCGCGCCGCATGTGCCTGCATGCGTCAGCGGAATGCGCCCGAGGCGCGCAAGGCACCGCGATGCGCGCGCGAGCGCGCCGCGATTTTGTTCGAAGGCGCAATCAGATGCCGCCGCCCGCAGCGGTCGCGCTCCAAATCCGTCGCGCGCGCGAACAATAACCCACCGCCTGCCGCCATTTGGAGCTCGCATATTCGACCACTCCCGCCGCGAGCGCTTTTGGGGACCCTCCTGTAGATTGACAAGATTCAGGACTCCCCCCCACCACCCGTCTTGTTTCCTCGATTGCGATGCTTAAGCCACGGGCAAGCTGCCAGCGCGTATCCCTAGCAAAACCCGAGCATGCGCGCGATGCTATGGCGCGCCTGGCTCGGCGCCCGACGCCGCGGGTCGCTGGGCGAAAGCGCGATGGCGGAGCCAGCGAAGTGGCTGATGGGCAGGAGAAAGGGAGTGCGGCGCGCTGCGAACGCGGCGCCAGGAGAGCCCGACGCCGCGCGCGCTCCGCGCGGGTGCGGGCGCGCGGGTGAGGGGTGCGCGTGGAGAGGGGGGGGGGGGGGGGGGGGGGGGGGGGGGGGGGGGGGTGGGGGGGGGGGGGCTCCGCGCATGCAGGCAGCACCTGGCAGCCCAGCGCCGCTGGCCGAGGTGAGAGGGGCGCCGAGCGCGCGCAGCGGCGCCTGCCAGCTGCCCCAGGGGGTGGGGGGGGGCACTCCAGGGGGTGGGGGCGGGGGTGGAAGTGGGTGGGTGGGGGGGCACTCCAGGGGGCTGCCAGCTGCCCCAGGGGGTGGGGCGTGTGGTGTGGGTGGGTGGGTGGGGGGGGGGTCTGATGGCCGCGTGGGGGGGCTTCGCCACCTGGCGTAGAAGGTCCGATGACCTTTCGATGGGCTTTGATGGCCCCCATCGCGTCGCCGAGATTTGGTGATGACTTTTGATGACGTTTGATGGCGGGGGCTGATGACTTTTGATGACCCTCCCGCGCGCCGTTGGAAACGGTGATGACTTTTGATGGGGTTTGATGACTTTTGATGGGGTTTGGTGACTTTTGATGACGTCCATGGGGCGTCCTGGGCGGCGGGTTGCCGATGGGGTCTCGATGGGGTTTCGATGGGGTTTCGATGGGGGTGGTGATGACTTTTGATGGCCCCCATCGCGCCGTCGAAATTTGGTGATGACGTTTGATGGCCGCCGCCGCGTGCTTTCCCCCCCAGCGCTCGGCCTGCGATGGGCGATGGGGAGGCAAGCGGCAGCGGGCGCGGCGTGGCGAGTGCGGCTCGGTGGCCAAGGGGGGGGGAAGGGGGCGGGGTCCTGAGATCGACCTGCCCACCTCAACTGGCGAACCTGGCGCGCGGAGATAGCGGCCATCCTGTACTGCCGTGCCGCAGCTCGTGACGCATGCAAGTGGAGTGGTCATCCCCTCGCCAAGCGTCGTGGACGCGTTCGTCGGCGACGCACTCGGGTCGGGGCGGTTGTCGTGAAGCGTGGCGCACACTGCCCTTTGAACCATTGGCGGGCCCACTAGCGCTGGGCCCCTGGCATTGAAGCGCCCGCTCAGCCATTGCCACGCGCCATTCAGCCACGCACGTTGGACACCGATGTCGCCCGCGCCATGCCCGCTGACATCGGCTTTGCCCCTCGACCCAGGCACTTGCATAGCAGACGTAGCTGCTGCTTCGCCCCCTCGGACCCGCACCGCGAGTGGTCGCGCTCGCTTGCGATGGCGCCGCAACTGGCCTTACTACCGCTTGCAGCGGCCACGGCACCCACACCGCACGTTGCGCCATCCCTGAACAAGCGCCCGCACCGTTCTAGCGGCTACCTACATCGCCGCAGCGCGCGCAACGAACGCAGCAGCTGCAGTCGGCAATGGGCGATGGCGCAGCTGGCGCTCGCGGCGGCGCGCGACTGATGCGTCATCTCGCTGCAGTGGCACCGACCGCGCGCGTTGTCCTTCCATTGCGCGATGGGGCCCTACGGCGGGATCGACACTGCGGCTGCGCCGATTGCGCGCAGCGCCATTGGTGTTCAATGACGACGGTGCCGCGCCCGAAAGTCGCGCGCTCGCGCGCGCGTCACCGCGGATGGGTCGGCTGCGCGTTCGCGCGAGTGCGCTGGGACACGCGCGGGCGCACGCGACGGCTAACTGAGCCGCGGCGCCGAAGCGCTGCGCCAACCGCGCTCATCGGCGGGCGGCGTCGCCACGGGAGTTGAGCGCACGCGCCTTCGAAAACGCGCGCAGACCGTGGGCGCCGCCCTCGCAGGGCAGTGGGGGCGCGCGCCGCGGCGCATCGGATGCACAGGCGTTCGCCAGCGGCAAAGCCGATGTCATCGCGGCGCGATGCTCGCGCGACCCAACCGCCCCCAACTCGACCGACCCCGTGCAACTGTGCCGCCGCGGCTCGCGCTGCGTCGCCCCAAGCAATGAGCAGCACTTGCGCAATGCTGCGCGTGGTGCGTAGTCGTGATGCGAGCGAGCGGCCGCCGCGCCGCCTTTTGAGAGCCACGCGGTGGAGCGTTGGCCGTCGGCGCGTCGCCCGATCGGGAGAGGGCGCGAGATTGTTGCGGAGGCATCGTCCTCACGTTCGCATCGGCGTGGCGCGGGCGCGGCGGGCGCAAGGCCGCGGCGAGGACGTCGGCCGACGCATGGCGCGTCTTGCACGCGGCGGGTAAAACTTTAATTGGGGGACGGCGGCGGCGCGCACGCAGGTTGCCGCAAGCTTGAATGCGTGGCACGCGCCTGATGCGCGTCGATGCTAACGCGCGCTGCACGCTGACGCGCGGTGACCCCCCCTGGGGCGCCTGGGGCAATCCAGTAACAACTGCAACCCCACGAGCGGGCAGTCGCGCGGCATACTTCGCGAGGCCGCGCGATGGCGGTCGCGGCATCGAGGGCGCGTGGCGACGGCGACGATTGCAACCGCGGTGGGACGGCGGCCTGCCGCGGGACGTGGCGAGGGCGACCGTCGGTTACGGCAGAGCGTTGACGTATCAAGCCGTCGCGTCGTAGAACGCATCTTCGAGCCGTCGAAGGCTTCGCGCCTTGGAACGCAGCCCTGTCGCAAACCGCAACGCCGATATAACGCACTGTCGCCTCTGTCGCGCGGGGCGCCCTGCCGCGAGCGACTGCCTCGCCCAAGAAAGCAACCCTTACGCTGACGGCCAGAATCGGAGCCGCTTGTCGGTGGCTGGAAACGCGTGGCACGCGCGCATCGCTTGCCTGCCCGTGGTGTGCCTGCCCCGCCAAAGGGGATGGCAAGGCAAAAGAACTGGCCGCTCTGCCATCCAGGAGGACGGCCGTGGACGCCGCACCAGAAGGAAAGGGCGGCCGCCTTGGGAGATACCGTCCAGCCCAGCGTGAGTGGGAAACGACATGCTGCCGCCTCGCATTCCCCACTGCCCTTGCTCATGATGGGTCGTGGCGCCAGCGCGGTCCGCCATTCTGGCGCGCACCACTGCGTCGGCGTGCGCAGCGATGCGCGCGCACCACTAACCGAGCGCGCCGCATTGCCGCCCTAGCAACTAACGGCACGCGGCAGCGCCGCCGCGCGCAGCGCGGCATGCGCATCCACAGTCGCACAATTACCACCACCCACCCCTAGCAGCAACGCTGCCACTGCCCCCCTTCAAGTCTGAGAAGGATGGCGCCGAGATGACCCAAGCTACGCCCAAGGTTGCTCCAGGAGCCACTGGGCCACAACAGGTAGCGTCATAGCTCGGCGGCGAACAGAGGACAGCCACCTAGGAGCGCTATTGGGCTTCCAATGCCATACCATGGCACACCCAGTGGCCATCGTGAACCAAGGGAGCCACCACAGCTCCTCCCAGACACCCGCGGGGGCCCCGACTGGCCCCGACGAGGCCATGAACACGTTGAGCGAAGCGATATGCCTAAGGGGCACAACGCAAGCACCCGCGGCGCCCCGAAAGCTTCCAACCCCCCCCCCCCCCCCCTCACCTTTACCAGCTCAGACTCCGCGGCGCCACGAGACCCCAGCGAACTTTCAAGGGACTCTGCCGCGACCCAGGCGCGGCGTCTCATCCCCCCTCCTGCCCCATCAGCATCCCCATCATCATGGTCCTCATGTGCCACCCTATCCCCCTCCTCCCCCTCGCATACCTTTCACCCCCCTCCGCGCCCACCTCACTTGCCCAGTACCCGCCGCCATCCTCGGCATCGCGTCGTCCCCTTTCGTGGTCATTATGCCTCCCCCCCCGCCCCATCCTCCCCTCATTGTCGACGATCTGTCCTCCTCCTCACCGGCTGTCTCGTCGCACGCCGTTCCCCCTTCTCCCAGCGAGATGTCCCGATCCTTCGGCAGAGCCATCAGCACGGCGTTGCCGTCGGCTTCCTCCATTGGGTCGGCGGCACTGCACGTAAAACCGCAATGGGGGTAATCGGGTATAGCCGCAAGGCATGTGAATAACAAGACCAGGCAAACAACATCACGGACTCTAGGATTGAGAAGGCTGGACTGCCAAGCTAGGGATGGTCGGTGCTCTAGTTTCGACGGCACTGGGGCCAACCCCTCAGAAGGCTTAAGGGTGGAGCGAAAAATGACCCTGGGATACCCTTGGGGGGGTCGGTGGAGGGCGTGGCATTTCGGTGGTAACTCAATCTGGGACCATCCTCATGTTGACCTTCCCCCTTCCCCTTCCTATCACTGCCTTGCCATCTTGGCTCGCAAACGTGTTTACGTGGCTCAAGGCGGAGGCAGGCTCAACCCATGCGAGCCTCCACCTGGGCACGATCATGGGAGCCCCAGCGGCTCGCCATCTCGATCACCATCGTGCTCGGGTCGTTCCTTGGAGGCGAAGGCGGCAACCAGATCGAGGCCAAGGCCCATCGCCCCCCGCCTCGCACGCCGCCGATCCTCCCAAGATGGCTTCCACTTGTGAACGTGGTCCCAACGCGTAATCTCCTCCGCGCTCGAGACCTCGAGCCAGCTGCAGAGGTAGCCCAAGCAACGGCCCTTGGCCCTGCTGACAGGGCTGGCCCTCGCCGACCGCATGAGGACGCAGCCTGGTCCTTCCTGGTGGCCTGGCACAAGGCACTGCGCCACCATCACCTTCGTGGTATCATAATATCGGATGACGCCGTTCTTGTAGTGCCAGACCAGCTCAGCTGGAAACCTGCCGACGCCCCTCGGCACAGGCGCAACCGCAGCTGGCTCAGGCGGCGGGGGATCGCCACCGCCGACCGCAGGCGGCTCAACGGGCCCCGCGCTGCCAGCGGGCTGCGGCAAAGCAGGCTCGTCGCCGCCAAAGGCGATGCCGATCGCAGAGTCGAGGGCGCTCTCGACGGCGCCTTCGATGCCGTCGGCGCCGACAGGGATCCAGTCGTCCTCGTCCTCGCAATCGCTGCCGCCCTCGCCGCGTCCGCTGCCCTCGGCCTCCGAGCCGCCCTCGGCGCTCGAAGTGTCCTCTGCACCATCGGAGGACGACGCGTTCGGGTCAGGAATGCCGTCGCCGTCCGCCTCGTCGGCGTCGGAGCTCGATGAACTCGACGAGCTCGAACCCGACGACGCCGAACCCGACGCCGAAGGCGATCGGCTCGCAGGCGGGGCTGGGCCTTCAGCATGCCTCGCCCGCCCTCTCCCCCTGGATCTGCCAGCAGGCCCGCGTCCTCGGCCTCGGCCTCGGCTGCCACGGCCTGACCGCCGAGCGCGGGGCCTCTTCAGCTGAGGCCCAAACTCTTCAGACAACCTGCCAATGTACAACTTCCATGGCTCAATCAAGTGAACGCGCCTTGATCGGCGAAGAAACTGCCAGAAAGAAACTGTAGTCATAGAAGGCTTACGCGTAAATGATTTGACCATCTCCCACAATGAACGAACAAAAACTCAGGCTCGTGAACTCGCATGGGGGTCACACCGAGGGCCTCTGCATCATCTCTCGAAGGATCCCGCGTCAGTTCGACAAAAGTCGGCCCAAATGGTTTGGAGTAGTTGAATGCAACATGGAAAAAAACGATACTCCTCATCGGCAATTGCCACCAACGGCTCGTCAGAAAACAATTCCTTCGACTGCTTGCGATCAGCACTGCGCCACCTGGTGAAAGCATACCTGATGTGTGCCTCGAACCTCGCTAACTCCAAGCCGTCGCCCATGTGAATGCACATGCCAGCTTCATGGCATCGCCGACGCACGACGGGGACCTTTCGGCAAGGACCGCAACTGGCAGCCGTGAACGTCTGATGCATCGACTCCCACGCTAAAGCCCTCTGCGCCGTGGACATATTCCCATCCGCGCTGATGCTGCTGGCCGACTCGTCTGAAACAAGCTCTGGCCGCCTGCGGTACTGCAAAATAGTGCCAGCATCAACGTGGACATCAGAAACTCCATGATGCTCCAACGTAGTATCCACGATCGCAAACGTGCCGTCGGCTGCTGTCCGACGATCCTGCCTGATCGCGCTGCTCGCCCTGCTCACCAAGCCAGCCACCGCGTCGTCATGCGACGCCCGCTGGCGCCGAAGGGACGGGGCGCGACCTCTGGCCGCGAATGCAGCATCTAAAATCGGCGAGGGCACATCTGCGAACGGAGGCTGCTCTCGGCGGCCCTCAGCTGGCACGTCATCAGGTCCAGGCCGCTCCTGCTGAGGCGGCAGGAGCCCAAGGGCAGGCACGCCGCGACCGACAGCAGGAATCGCGACAGCACGCGGCTTTTTCTCAAAAGCGCGCTCGCCATCGCGATGCCGATCCCTGGCGATCGCAGCAAGCAGCTGGTACTGCTCCAGCTCCTCAGCGCCCAGCTGCCTGAACTGCTCCGACAGTGCGGCGGCCGCCTCCTTGTCAAGCCAACGGCCGTTCACGTGCGCGAACGCCCGCCACATCCAGATTCGAAGGCTGCCGCGCCCGCCCCCAGGCTGGCCACGAGGCTTCGGCGCCTTGGGCTTGCGCCCAGCGCGGCCGGGGCCGTGGCGCGCTGCGTCGGGGCCCCAATCCCCAGCAGAGTGCGCAGCAAAATGCGCGCTGATTTCCTCAACGGTCTCAACGCTGGTCCAAACCCTGAACCGCGCATGCCGTTGATTGACCGAATGGAGACGCTCGACGTCGGCCGTGTCCGTGTCGATCAGGACGACGGCGCCCTTGAGCTCGGCCATGGCGGTCGCCGAGCCCAAGGCACCTCTGTAGAATTCAACAAAGTTCTCGGTGTAGGCGTCGAGGAGGCACGGAGCTGTGCGCCCCAGCTCGGCGATGACCTCTGGGTCCTTCAAGGCATAAAACAACTTCATTGGCCACGCACGGTTGCTGGTGTAAACCAGCTTGTACGCAGTAGCACCCATTCTCGCCATCAGCAGGTAAATCGTCAACGCGGTCGACTCTGAACGATCCTGAACAGGCGTCCAAGACGACGAATCGAAGATGGCATCGTAGACGTCCTTGAACAGGCATCTGGTGTCCACGTCCTCGTGCGCAAGCCACGCCTGGTACGTGCGCTCCTGACCCCGACTCACCTTCAGCTGCTGCAGCCGTTCGAAGGAAACGCCAGACGTTGCCAACTGCTTCAAAAGGTAAGCATCTGTCAGCGACACCATGCGAGACGCGATGAAGACATCGTCGGCCACTCGGCCGCTGTTCATCCACGACCTGGCGCCGACGATCCTGGCGTCCTGCTCCTCCCGCCACGCACTCGGGGCGTCAGCGCCCCCGCCGTCGCCGTCGGAGTCGCACCCTGGAGCTGGGTCCCCTCCGAGTGGCTCGCCGCCCCCCTCTGGCCAAGCAGCAGCAGCCAGCCGCTCCCGCTCGGCTCGCGCCCGCAGCTTCTGCTCGCGCAGCCGCTTGGCCTGAGGAGGCTCTGGCACGCCGCGAAGGTAGGCGGCCTGGAGAAGCCCATGCACTGCAGCAGGGAGGCCGATGCAACGGTGGCTCTTCATCTTGTTCGTCCAATTCGAACGGTTCAAAACGTCCACGGGCCCAAACAGTGCAGCCACGCCGTAACGGCGCATCAAAAAAACAGTATGGTCGCGATTACGGCAACACCCGTTGCAGTAGTGCTCGATGACACCAGTTTTCTTTATGTCGCCGTTGTAAAGCTTCCTGCATACGGCCGCTCTGAACTGCAAGCTCGCGTCAGTGGTGTCCGCGAAATACAACTCGAACACCCGCTCCCTGTGAGCCGTGGCCGCAGCAGGGCAATTCCCAGCGTAGACCACAACCTGCTCATCGTGGAGGAGCCTGGCGTGATGCCTCACTGAAATGAGGTGTTCAGCGGACAAGCTCAACTGACATCGTATCATATTGGTGTCCGTCGGGCGGATGACCATATACCCCTGCTCGGCAACCTTCTTTTTGCCATGGGCGCGGCAAAGAACAATAATCTGAGCTCGAAAAGGGTGCTGCATCTGAAAGAGCCGCTCATTCTTGAGGTTGCTGCCTGCAGCGTCACACCCTATGACATCAATATGCCGAGGGACTCGCTGGTCAACGAGGGTGTCATACACCTGGCTGAGTTGCTGGCGCAAGCACGCGTTGATGATTTCACCGTTCGGCGTCTCTAAGACACTGATGTGGGTGGGCGTGTTCGCAAGCACGTGAAGGAAATCGTCTCTGTCACCAACGCGCTTGCGAAGCACCATGCTGAAACCAGCTTTGACAACGAACAACTCCCTCGTGCCAGTGCAGCGCTCTACGATCGAGTCAGTGCCGTAGTGCTGCGTGACCTGGGTGGTCACTCGCATGCGAGTGCCGTCGTATTTCCTCTTACGGAAGAAGATGACAGCATCCATCCGAGGGCCATCACCACGTGGACCGTGGGTTGCCGCGCAGGCGGCCAGAAGCCTCGGCACTATGGCAGCAGCTTGCCTCTGGCCAGACGCCAAGGCGGCGTGACCCACGGCGTACACCTTCTCGCGAAAACGATTCGCCAGGATGCCGAGCCGAGACGCCAAGCGCGTGGCGCTCTCCAGGCCAACAGTCTGACCGCTGTCGGGGTACACCCGCCGAATCAGCACACCCGCCAGCTTGGCAACGGCACCCCTCTCGGCCCGATCCGCGACGCCATCCTCCAGCGGCGGCGGCGCGATCGCGCCCTGCGGCCCCAACGGCGCGACGGGCTGAGGCTCCAGTGCCACCAGCTGGCCGCCGCCGCCCGCGAGCCCAGGAGGCAGCTCGTCGGCCGCCTCTAGCCAGTTTTCCTCCTCCTCTGGAGGCAGCGCCTCGCCCGCCTCCTCGGGCGGCGGCGCCTCGAAGACAGGCGTCGGCAGGCTGAGCGGGCTGAACGCCTCGTCGCTCAGCCACTGCTCAGGCGAAGGGGACGCCATGACGTGCAACAGTGCACAGGCCGATGATGGTTTGAAAAAAAATGGTTACGGAAACGGTGCCAACAATGAATCTGATGTCAACGTGAGCATTGTTGTGTTACTCTGTTTGTGTTGTTCGCGCACACGTTGGCTGCATCGTACAGCAGTGTACCTACTCAGGTCCTAAAGGTTGCACCACATAGCTTGCACCATGGCGTAGGCCGTCGCGTTATACCCTACTTCCCTACTTACTCGTAGGCTCCAAGCTGGAACCCTAAGGGAGGCTCCACAAGAGGGGACCCAAGGAGAGGCGCCTTGAAGGGCAGGGGCCCATAGGGGGACGAGGAACCACTGTGGACCCCAAAGGAGTTCCAAAGATGGGGCCCAACAGCTTCGCACGCACGAAAAGCGCACGCACACAGCTAAGCGTGTCGTTCCTGAGAACTGGTTTAACTTGTGCTGCATGTTTTCGGTGGTATCTCAGCCCCCCGAAAACGATGATCAACACTTGTTGGAGGCGTTTGCCTACCCATCGGACCCCCAACTAGAAGAGTGAGGAACCGCGCGGCTAACCATCGAACTACCAACTCCGAAAAGGCAACCTTGAGGCCATCAAACACCACCAACTGATGTAACCCCAACAGACAGGGCGGGGAAACCTCAACTTGTGACGGCCTCCCGTGCGCCCTCGAACAGTCGCCACCCAGCAAGCCTGGCTGACATGGTGGAGGGACTTGCCGCAGGCAGCTGGGTAATCGTTCCGACCGGCATATAGTTCACAGGGGTAGACGCTCCTGCAGACCTAGCACTTTGACGTGCCATCCTCTCTCCTCTTCCTCCTCCTGATCCTGCTCTCCCCTCTCCTCATAATGCTGTGTTGTACGCGGGCGCACCCGCTCCCGCATGTGTTTTGTCACACACACACACATCCACACAAGAGTTCAACAATGTAGAATGCGAATGTGCTTGTGCTACCGGACTGTTTCGACCCTGAAAAACTACACTCCCGCTGCAACGTCGGCGGCATCTTAGAATCGGCGCTTGGCTCCCGTCGCTCAGAATTGCACTCTCGCCCCCACGCAGGGCACATTTCTGTGTTCCTTCCTCCGTCTTCCTCTATCCATCCTGCTCTTCCTACTCCTCCTCCTGCCCCTGCTGCTGCTCTGCTGTTCCTGCTGCTCATCCGCCACTCCTCCTTGTCCAGTGTACTACAAAGCCCTATTCCGCATCACATGATGGGGTCATTTGGAAGATCGAGGTCGTCTACGACACCCCGCCCAGCGGATAGAAATGGACTCAGGGCAGTGGAAAGGGATGTGTTGGAGGGGAGGAATGTCAGATATGGCGCGAGCTCAGCTAGCTTGCCCTCTCCTCCTCTACCTGCCCCCCTCTCCCTCCATCCCCATCCCTGAAGGCCCGAAAACGCAGAATCATAAGGAGTCGCCCAAAATGACGCTCTGCGATTCGAGGCGTAACTGAAGAAGCCGAAGAACCTACTCAACGAAAGGAGAGGAACGAGGAGGAAGAGGATGCGTGAGAAGCGTTGCTAGACTTGTTCGGAATTAAGGGCCCTCGTCCTCAGAGTCTGCTGCTTCACTGCGAAAGTGTCCATGACGCCCAGCGCCTTTACGTCGGTCACGACGCCCTTCTGGCCGTCGATGCCCCAGTGCGCGCCACCAGCGACGGCGTGGCGCGCGCGCAGGTCCTGCGGGGAAGCCCACAGCGCAAAGCCTTCACATCGCATGGAAGAAGTGTTCAAGCTAAGCTGCGCGAAATTGTCCTCAACACCCCTCTCTGGGGTTCTCTGGTGGCGTGCGGAGGTCCCTGGAGGCCTCCGAGCGTCCAGGAGGCCCAAACGAGGCCACACTTTCTATATGTATACATCCGCCTCCGTGCCTCTGGGCACGGAATGGGCGTGTCCTCAGGTCCATTGCCAATCCCTGGAGCCTCAATCCTCAGTCCTGAGGTTTTTAAGGGGCCAAGACCCTTCCAAGACGGGCCAAGAGGGCCCCACGAGGCCCCCAAGACGATCCAAGAGGGTCCCAAGTCGCCAAAAGATCATTCCAAGATGCCCGGGATGGCCTCAAGATGGCCCAAGAGGCCTCAAAGACGCCCCAAGAGTTCTCCAAGAGGCCTCCAAGAGAGCCCCAAGAGGCTAAAACCAGTGATATTCCTTAGGTTGTTGAAGGCGTTTTGGCGTTCTCGCCTTTTTGCTTTCTGACACTCCGAGACGGCCCAAAAGGCCCCCACGGCCAACGAAAAACGGCCCAGGAGGCCTCCAAGAGGGCCCCAAAACAGCCCAAGAGGCGCCTAAGACGACCCAAGAGGACCCCAGAGGGGCCCAATAGAGGGAACACGAACTGAAAATCAGAGCCTTCCGCCCCAAGAGGCCCCCAGGATGCCCCAACAGGCGCCCAGGAGGCACCAAGAGGACCCCAAGAGGCCCAAAGAGGCTCAAAAGAGACCAGAAGAGGCCCCAAAACGGCCCCCAAGAGGCGTCCAAACTGCCTCCAAGAAGGCCCCGAGAGGCATCCCACGAGATCCCGACTGCCATCACATAGGCTTCATACACACAACCCAGGCACGGTGGCTGGATGGGCCGAAGGCCTTATATATATATATATATATATATATATATATATATATATATGTATATATATAAGAGAGAGAGAGAGAGAGAGAGAGAGAGAGAGAGAGAGAGAACAACAAAAAGAGAGAGAGAGAGAGAGAGCGTGATCCACCGCCGCTTTACTGTGGAAAATTGCCGCCCTTTTCGAAGGGGGAGGGGGGGGGGAGGGGTTAGGGGAGGGGGGGGGGGTTGCCTGGGGAGGGGGGGGGGTCCAGCAGGGGGGGGGGATTTTCGGAGGGGGGGGGAGGGGTTCGAACCGGTAGTGACCCCCTCCGGTTTTCCGCCAGCAGCGGTAGAACACGCTCTTTCATATCTGTGTGTATATATATATATATATATATATATATGTGTGTGTGTGTGTGTGCCCCCCCCTGTGCTCACACATGTCGCCTTCTTTCTCCTCATCCTAATCATCCTTCTCCCCGTCCTCGTCCTCGTCGTCGTCCTCCTCCTCCTTTTCCTCATCATCCTCCTCTCCCTCCCCATCATCTCCCCTCATCCGTTCTTCTTCTTTTCCCCTATTCATCTCCTTCTGGTCTTCCTCCTCATCCTCGTTCTCATCCCTGTCCTCCTCCTCCTCCTCTTCGTCCCCGTCCTCCTCCTCCTCCTCCTCGTCCTCCTCCTCCTCTTCCTCCTCCTTCTCTCCCTCCCCATCCCCTCACCTCCTCCTCCCTCCATGCCCATTCCTCTTGTCCTCTTCGTGTCTTGTTCTTGTCGTTGTCTATCTGCCGACGGCGGCTTTAACTATTACTTGTTTTACTTTGTTTACTGTGGTCCTTGCGGGGCGTTCGAAGGTTGACGGTGAAACAGCCTCCTCATCTTCCTCCTCTCCCTCCCCATCATCTCCCGTCATCCTTTCTTTTCCTTTTCCCCTACTCATCTCCTTCTGGTCTTCCTCCTCCTCCTCGTTCTCATCCCTGTCCTCCTCCTCCTCGTCCCCGTCCTCCTCCTCCTCCTCCTTATCTCCCTCCCCATCATCTCCCCTCCTTCTCTCTCCATGCTCGTTCCCTGTTGTCCTCGTCACAGCTTTTTCTTGTCGTTGTCTCTCTGCCGACGGCGACTTCAAATATTGTTTGTTTTACTTCGTTTACTGTGGTCCTTGCGGGGTGCTCGAAGGTTAAAGGTCGAACAGTTTCTCTCGAGGACAGACAGAGAGAAAACACAACATGTCCGTAGGCACGCTGGCTCAAAGACCTTTGTTTTAAGCTCGGTCCCAGTCAAGCCTGCTCCGGGCCATGATCCCGATCACGGGCGGCGTGACGCAGATCGACCAGTGGGGGGTCTGCTCGGCTTGAGCTGCACTTCGCGTGTGCTCAGCCCCAAGGGCGCCCCCCCCCACGCTCAAGGAAGTCCTGGACCGCACCAAGACAGAAAATGATGGGCTGGTTTTCCGCCACCACGCGTGCCGTTGACATTGTGTTTTCCAAATTTTCCCAATATTCCAGATCTCACCAGAGACTACCCTGGTGAAAAACCTTGCGTTTTCCCAATCTCCCCAGAGTCTAGCCTGATGGAAAACGATGTGGTTTTCCAGATTTTCCAGATCTGTCGATGGTTTTTACTTGGACCAAGGGGCTACAGATTAGCATGTACAGTCAACACGCCTCCAAGATGCAGGCGAGCGCATCGCCTTGCATCTTCTCTGTACTGCGGCTCGAGCCTCCCTTCTGAAGGCTCAAGCTCAAGCCAAAGCGGGCGTCCCCGCCGTGGCTCCGCGCGCCTGCGCCTGACGCGCGCCCTCGGCTCAAAGGAGCGGCCTCTGGCCGCGCCCTCACCCGTCTTGGGTGGCCCTCAAAGGGTCTTGCATTCGGCACGGACCTACCTCGTGCTGCTGAGAAGCGCGCCTAGGTGCGAGCCTAAACTCGCATCCGAGCGGAACGCTCGGATAGGCATCCTGCCTGGAACCAGCCGCGCGGCCCATGCCGCTGCAGCCAGCCCCTCACTGCTGGCCATGTGCTGGCCGCCGTCCCTCGTCAGACGGACGATGAGGTCCGCCTTCAAGCCGCCCACTGGCAGCTTCCGCCACCTGAGCTCCTCCTTGAGCTCTGCCACGGTGGCCTCAGCCAGCATCTTCCCGAGGTACTCCGTACCGAGGTCTCGCCCTTCGGCGACCTGCTCAGGCGCAGCTATCGCCGCTGCCCGAGAAACGACATGCCCCTCAGGCGCGTCCTTCGACGCCGCCTCGGGCCTCGCCGTGCCGTCGGCCCGCGGGGCAGCCCTCGCCGCTCCCGCTGGTGGGGCAGCACTCGCCGCCCTCGATGAGAAGAGCTGCACCGCCCCTCTCGTGCACACAACTGCGCCCTTGACCATGAGCACCAGCACGACGATGAACATGATCATGGCGAGAACGATCGAGCCGATGTTCGACTCGACCTCGTCGTCGGTGGCTGCGGAGCACTGCTTGTCTCCATGCTCGGCCGCCTCTGCGAAAGTGACGCCCACACCTGCGGCGAGCCCCTTGGTCAGAAGCCGCAGGTTGGACATCTCCAGCAACTTGAGCACCCGCTTGCCGTCCAGATGCTTGGTCCCCAAGTCGCTCCTGTTGCTCTCCGTGTCGACTCGCCCGAGCTGTAACTCGCCGAGCCTGACTCGTTCCTGCACCCACAGGTCTCGTATCTGCAGATGCCGTACTTTGCCACTGCCAATCCGTGTCGCGATCGCCCTGCCTGCATTCGAGTCGCTGTGAACCTTCGACGCGACCTCGATGCCACACTGCCGATAGAACTGCCGCATCATGATCGCACTCGCCGCGCCTCGGCCGATGGCGTAGAACTCGGCCTCTCCGCTGCTGAGCGCGACGACGGGCTGCGATGCCACCTGGGTCTCCAGGAGGTGGCTGCCGAAGAAGCCATACACGGAGCTGGTCGATTTCCTCGTGATCTCATTCTCTGCCCAGTCCGAGTCCGTCTCGTAGAGAACCTCCTTCGGCATCTCCTGCTTCTCGTAGAACCACCCGAGCTCGCGCCGACCGTGGAGATACCGCACACACCGCCTCAGCCTAAGCATGCTGATGACTGTGGGCTTCCCCATGTCCGTGAGGATCACCTTCACCGCGAACTGGATGTCTGGCCTGTCTACCGCCACGTAGTTGACGAGCCCCGCGACCTGCTGGTAGAGCTTCGCCTCGTCGTGTGGAAGTGGGTCCAGCGCCTCCCGGACGCTCTTGCCCGTGGCCTTGCTCCCAGGCGTGTCCGCTGGCTTGCACCCCGTAAGGCCCAGCAGCTCCACGCATCTCGTCACGTGCTTCGTGTCGCCGATCCAGACGAATCCCTTGCCTGTCCACCTGATCTTGCGCTTGAGGTACGGGAGCTCGCGGACGCCATCCGGCCCGACACGACCGATGCACTTGACGTCCATGCTCGCCATCAGCTGCTGGTCCAGGACATCCAGGGACTCCTCCTCGCCCTCGGTCAGGATGTCGTCACCGTGGATCGCCGAGGTCATGTCCAAGAGAGGCTCGTGGTACACGCCCGCCGCCACTGCGATGCGCGTCCAGTTGTTCTTCTTGAAAACCCCGGCCACGTACTCCTGCCAAGCCTGTGCCGCCTTGCGCGTGCCGTACATGGCCTTCCGGAGCTGCCACACGTACCCGTCTCTCCTGAGTCCTGGAGGCGGGACGACGACGATCCACTCGTCGAGGTCGGCGTGGAAGAACGCCACGTGCACGTCATGCACCGAGAGATGCCTCCGACCCTTCTTCGTAGCCGCCAAGGAGACGATCGCCCTGACGATGGCGATCGGCGGCGTGCCCGCGTTGCAGTCCTCTCGGCCGTACGTGTTGATCTCCATGGCGACGCCTCGGGACCGGACAAAGGGGGTGCCGTCCTTGGTGCGCAGGTCCTCGACCCACTTGAAACGCACCACCTTGCCCCGGCTCTCGGCCACGCGGACCTCCTCGAAGACGCCGTGTCGCCGCATCTCCTCGATCTCGGCCTCGCGCCCGCGCCTGACCAGGTCCCTGGGGAGCTCCTTCCCGCTCCTCGCGTCGTACACGTGCTTCTCCGTGTCTGGCAGGACCGTGACCGCCGACGGCTCGACGGAGCCGACCTCGAACATCCCGATCTCCAGCGGCTCGCAGCTCTCGATCTCCGTGACCGTCTCGAGCTCCTCGTGAGACTGCTGGTCTAGGCCCTCGTACGTGCAGGGATTGATCTCCACGAAGGCCCCGACCGCGAGCGACCCGACTGTGATCGCCGCTGTCTGGCGCGGCCTCTTCGCCGAAGCCTCGCCCTGGTCATCGCGAGGTGCCATGCTGGCATCCCCGGACGATCCTGGCCTGCCGTCTCCAGCTCCAGCCGCTGGCCCCGGCGCGGCTCCAGCCGCCGCCGGCGTCGGCGCAGCCCCCGCCGCTGCCGACGAGGGCGCGGCCTCCGCCGCTGCCCTGGCCATTTCCTCCTTGCGCAGCTCGTTCTCGATCCTCTTCCGGCACTCCTCGCTGTGCGATCCCATGCCTGTGACGCACCTCGGGCACATGGGGGTCCAGCCGTACTTGTCGATCAGCGCTCTCGTGATGTACGTCGACCTCAGCCCTGCGCCTCCTGGCCCCGTGGGCGGCGCCGGCCCGACCATCGCTGGTGGCACCAGCGCCTCCGGGCCCGCGGCTGGCAAGACCACTGGCGGTGGCGGAGGTGGCGGCAGCAGCCGCTGCTGGTTCGGCTCCACCTGGGGCGCTCCCGTCGGCACAATGCCGATCTGTGGAGCCCGGTGCATGTCCCACGGCACCCCAGCGAACTTGTCCAGCTCCTCCAGCACGAACCGCTCGCCCTCTGGTCGCCGTCTCACCGTGCGCACCCTCGTCGTGCGCGTTGGACCCGCCACCAGGTGCTCGTCCGAAACCTCTGTCTTGCCCAGCCACGCCGCCGCGTGCCACCGAGGCTGCAGCTTGGAGGTCGGCGTGGGGTCCCTCGCCCAAACGCACTCCGCGAAGTTGACGAGCTCGCCCCGATACGGCCTCCCCTTGAGCACCTCGTAGGTCGTCTTGCCGTTGCCGTGCACCGTGAAGCGGTTGAGCTGCCAGCCAGCGTGCCGAATGGGCCAAGGTAGAAGCCCATGCTCGGCTGGGAGCTCCCGCTTGTAGTTGTCGCCCACCGAGAACAGCAGCGCCCTGATCTGCTTGCCGAGCTCCTCGTTGGCGCGCTCCACTCCACCGACTCCTTGATGGTTAGCCCGCTGAGCTGACTCGATCATCGTGGGCGCCTTCCGCTGAGCCTTGATCTCCCTCGCCAGGGCCGTGATCGACGCCTCCTGGTCGTGCTTCAGCACGATGCGATCCAGCCCCCAGTTCTCAATGGTGGCGACCGCTGTCTTGACCATGTAGGCGTCGGTACCCTTCGGCCCCATGATGCCATGAATAGCTTGGGAGTTCATGTGCACCATGTTGAGGATGCTCAGCTGGCCCAGGAAGTAGTAGTCGATCTGGACCTCGTCGCCCGTGCGCTCGTGCCCGGCCTTGTAGTGCGGGTCGTCCGTGAACTTGGATCTGACGCACACCCAGCACCAGGACCTCGCCGGAATGTGCACCAGCTCGTGCGTCCTCTGCTCGGCCAGGCTTGGCTTCACCGGATCCTTCTTGACTCGAACTGGCACGGACTCCTCGAGCACTGCCTGCGCTGCCGGCTCGCTCGCCTCGGCCTGAGCGCGGGTCGCGGCAGCCCCTCCGCCGCCGCCGCCCTGGAGCGCGGCCCTCGCCGCTGCCCTGGACGCGGCTGATGCGCCACCAGGCTCGCCTCCTGGCTCCTCGCCCCGCACCGGCATGACGAGCGAGTTCTTGACGCCTTCACCGTACCTGTCCATCTTGAGGTAGAACAAGTCGTTGCGTCTGACCAGCGGCACGGCGTCTGGGTCCGAGAACTCGATCGGCTTCGGGATCATGTAGCTCCCGCTCGGCGTGAATACCCACGACGCACCCTTGTCGACCGCCTGCGACACGCCCAGCACTGGCCTCTTGACGTCGGCGACCTTGTAGTCCACCCCGATCTTGCGCCCGCCCTTCGCGTACGTGACGAAGCGCTCGCCGTGGCACGGGATGTCGTCGCCGCTCGCTCCGACCAGCCTGATGCGCTCGCTCAGGTCTCTGAGTGTCTCGTGGGCCCCGTGACTCGGCGGACACACCGATCGTGCAGCACCTGAGTCCACCATGACCCAGTGCTCATTGATACCGACGATCTCCTTGCTCTCGAACGTCTCGTGCTCGTTTGCTGCCCCTGGCTGGCTCAGCTGCTCGATCGGGCTGGCCCCGACCAAGAATGGCTGCCTCGGCTGCTCGTGCTCGTTTGACGGCCCGCTCGAACGAAGGTGGATCGCTGTCGTCGCTGGTGCTGAGGGCGTCGCTGCTGCTCCACTCGATAACGACTCTTGCCCTTCTTCCAGCTCGATCGCGAGGCACCACAGTGGCTCTGCCCCGCTTTCGGTCGCGATCGCCATCACCGGTGCCGCGCTCCCCGCGGCGCTCGCCGCTGGTGGAGCCCCCGTCGGCTTCGACTCCTGCTCGACTGCGTTGGTGCCCTTCTTCTTCTTCTGCTCTGCGAGGAACTTCCTGCACTCGCTCTTGACGTGACCTGTCTTGTGGCAGTGGAAGCATCGTTTCTCGGCCCTGTCCTTGGCCGCCTGGCTCTTCTGGTCCGTGGAGTTGCCGCCGCCCTTGCCCTTCCTGCCCTTGCCTTCCTTGCCCTTCTTTCCTTTGCCCTTCCACGCTGCCTCGCGCCTCGCCTTCTCCACCGCGCTCGTGTCCATCGGAACTGGTGGCGGCACTGCTGAGATGGCGCTCCTCGTCGAGATCACCATGTGCACTTCGTTGCGCATGAGCTCCCACGTGACTAGCCTCGACGCATTGTGGACCAGATGCGCTCGAAGAGCCTCGTCCTGAATCCCCCGCTGGAGGATCGCCATCTTGATCCTGTCCCCAATCCTCTCGTGGCTCTGGCTCTCGTACTTCGTGACTTTGAAGTCGAAGTCCGCCAGCATCCCCACGATGTTGTCCTCTGGGAACTGGAACGCGATCAGCTCTTGCAGCAGTCCTGCATGGCGACCTGGTCTGTCGGGCTCGTACATGTCTTGCAACGTCCTCCACGCCCGATAACCTTCTCCGACGCCGACTGGCTTGATGAGCTGCAGTGCGGCTCCTTCCAGCAGCAGGACGAGGATGAAGTACAGCTGGCGACTGCGCTGACTCGCTCCCTCCTCCAGGAGTCTCGCGTTCCTCACTTCCTCCAGCGGGAACGTCATGGCTGCTGTCAGCTCGTTGGCCATCTGCTCGTCGAGGGCCCCGAGGTACGCGAGCATCTTGAAGCTCCACCCTGGCCACTCGTCCTCGCTGCCTCCGAACGCCTTCGGCTTCGCCAGAAGCCGAGTGTCCACCAGATCCTGAGGCGCGGCCCTCGCCGCTGCCACGGGCCTGTTCACGGCGGCGCCTGCGCTCGCTGCTGCTGACTCCGCCGCCAGGGCGCGCTCCTCTGCAGCCTGCACCCGTTGTTCTGCAGCCTGCAACGCTCCCTCGAGCGCCTGGAAGCGTCTCTCGATCTCCTCCATACTTCAGATCGAGCTTCTCGTCGAACTTCCTACTCCTCAGGATGTCTGCTTTGTTCGACCTCGAGCCACGCTTAGTCTTCTTCTTCTTCTTCGGCGGCGTGCTGGGCTATGAAGGGCCGGCTGGCGCGGCCCTCGCCGCTGCCAGCCGCCAGGGCGCGGCCTCCGCCGCCGCCCTATCGCGGGCGCGCGCGCCCGCCGCGGGTGGCTGGAAGGGAAGCGGCAGCGGGAACGAACCCACGCCGCTCCGCTACCATGTCGATGGTTTTTACTTGGACCAAGGGGCTACAGATTAGCATGTACAGTCAACAAGATCTCCCCAGAGGCTACCCTGGTGAAACACAATGTGTTTTCCACATGTTCCAAATATTTCAGATCTCCCTAGGAACTCACCTGGTGAAAAACCATGTGTTTCCCCCAGGTTTTCCAGATTTTCCAAATCTCCCCAGAGACTCCCCTGGTGAACAACCTTGTGTTTTCCAGGTTGTCCAGATATTCCAAATCTCCTCAGAGACAACCCTGGTGAAAAACTTCATGTTTTCCAGATTTTCCAGATCTCACCAGAGACTACCCTGGTGAAAAATCATGTGCTTTCCAGATTTTCAAAATTTTCCAGATCTCCCCAGAAACTCCCCTGGTGAAAAACCATGTGTTTTCCGGATTTCCCAAATATTTCCAGAGACTGCCCTGGGCTTCCGGGTTTTTCACCAGGGTAGTCTCTGGGGAAATCTGGAAAATCTGGAACATCTGGAAACACATATGGTTTTTCTCCAGGGTAGTCTCTGGGGGGATCTGGAATATCTGGAAAAACTGGAAACACACATGGTTTTTCACGAGAGTAAATTTTGGGGAGATCTGGAATATCTGGAAAATCTGGAAAACACAAAGTCTTTCACCAGGGTAATTCCTGGGGAGATCTGGGAAATCTGGAACATCTCGAAAACACAGCGTTTTGCAACGGGAAGTGTCCCGAGAATGGGACACCGACAGAAAGAGAGAAAGAGAGAGAGAGAAAGAGAGAGAGGAAGAGAGAGGGAGGGGAGCAGGAGGAGGAGAAGGAGGAGGAGGAGGAGGAGGCGGCGCGATCACAGGAGGAGGGTGTGGACGGAGGAAGAGGAGGAAGACGAAGAAGAGGCAGACGAGGAGAAGGAGGCTGTATGATCAAAGGGGGGCGACCATACATTTATGTGTATGTATGTTTGTATGTTTGTATGGTTGTATGTTTGTTTGTATGTATGTATATATGTACGTACGTATGTATGTATGTATGCCTGCATGTATGTATGTATGTATGTATGTATGTATGTATGTATGTATGTATGTATGTATGTTTGTTTGTTTGCATGCATGCATGCATGCATGCATGGGTGTATGTAGGTATGTATGTATGTATGCATGCATGTATGTATGCATGTATGTGTACGTATGTATGTGTGTATGTATGAATGTATGTATGTATGTACGAATATATGTATATGTATATGTGTATATATGTATGTATTAATATATATGTACCTATATATGAGAGAGCGTAATCCACCGCCGCTTTACTGTGGAAAATTCCCCCCCTCTTCCTCCAGAAACCCCCCCTGCTGGACCCCCCCCCCCGCCCCTCCCCTCCCCCGGCAAACCCCCCCCCCCCCACTAACCCATCCCCCCCCCCTCCCCCTCGAAAACCGGGGGGGGTCACTAACGGTTCGAACCCCCCCTCGAAAACTGGAGGGGGGGTCACTACCGGTTCGAACCCCTCCCCACCCCCCCCCTCTGCCAGCAAACGACTCCCGGTCCCTACCACCGTCCGCACCACATCCCCCACTGTTGCTCCCAGCACCACTGTCCTCACCACACTGTCCCCACTGGTTCCACCTCCGCCCCTACTGTCCCCACCAATGCCCCCACCATTGTCGCACTGTCCCGACTGTCCCCACCACTGTCCCCACCACGGCTCCACTCTCCCCACTTCCTCCACGGCCCCAACCACTGCTCGACTATCCCCACTGTCCCCACTGTCCCACTGACTCCTCCGCTGTCCCACTGAGCTGTCCCACTGTTCCCACCACTGTCCCCACTGTCCCCACCACTGTCCCCACTGTACCTCTGTTCCGTTGTCCCACCGCCGTCCTCGCCACCGCCTTCACCACTGTCCCCACCACCACTGTACCCTCCACTGTCCTACTGTTTCCACCACATTCCCACTGTCCCCACACCACTGTCTCCACCACCATCGTCCCCACCACTGTCCCACTGTCCCCACTGTTCCCACCATTGTCCTCACCACTGTCCCCACCACCACTGTCCCACTGTCCCCACCACTGTCCCGCTGCCCCCTCACCACTGTCCCCACCACCACCGTCCCCACCACTGTCCGCACCCCCCCTCCGGTTTTCGGGGGGGGGGAGGGGGTTCGAACCGGTAATGAACCCCCCGGTTTACGAGGGGGGGGTGGGTTCGAACCGGCAGTGACCCCCCCCCTTTTCATGGTGGACTGGGGGGGGGGAGGGGTTCGAACCGGTAGTGACCCCCTCGGTTTTCCGAAGGGGGGGGGAGGGGTTCGAACTGGTAATGACCCCCCCCCGGTTTTCCGCCAGCAGCGGTAGAACACGCTCTTTCCTATATCTATATCTGTATATATATACATACATACATACATCGGCAAACATACATGCATGCATGGATGCATACATGCATACACACGTACATAAATGCATACATGCATACATGCACGCATAAGAACGAACAACTACTTGAATGCATACAAACATACATACGTTGTATACGCTGCATTCCATTCCATTCAATTGAATTACATTACAATAGATTGTACTGCACTACATCGCATTCCGAATTCAACACATTACACTACATAACGTTACACTAAACTGCGTTACGTTACATTACATCACAGTACAATGCAATCCGCTCCAAAACATTACATGCTTGCGTACCTACCTACGTACATACACACAGACAGGCAGACAGACATGGGCACGAAGAGAAATATATATACATATATATATATAGAGAGAGAGAGAGAGAGAAAGGTAAACCAACGACTGGGAGATACCGACACAGACATCGGAACCGATCCTCCTCACCATCCTCACCCCACATAAACTCATCTCCCTCATATTTGTATGACTCCTCCTCCTCCCTCATCCATTATCCCTCTTCCTTAGGAACCTGATCGGACAAAAGCGGGACGCGCCGATTTCATTGGGCTCGTAGGGGGGGACAAAAAGAAAAGGATGATGGCGACGACAACGCGGCGAATGTCGAGGATGGCAGCGTAGATGACGGGGAAGGCAGCGAGGGGGGCAAAAGGACAACGAGCAGGAATACAAGCGCGTGGACGAGAAAGAGTTGGAGGAGGACGAGTACGAGGAGAACCAAAGGGGAGGAGGAGGAGGAGGAGGAGGAGGAGGAGGAGGAGGAGGAGGAGGCCTTGGAGGACAAGGAGAAGTACGACGACGACGACGACGAAGGACGATATGGAGGCCGACGAAAAGCACGTAGGAGAAGAGAGGGGTCCTCGTGATCTTTGAAGTTACCCTGTGGGCTGTTGAGGCCGTCTGGGGTTATCTTGGGGCATCCTGGGGGCCTCTTGGGGGCCCGTCGGGTTCCAATTTGAGACTTGTGGGGTCTTATTGGGCTGTCTGGGAATGTTTTCGGGTTCCATAGGGGCTCCCTCAGGCCATCGTGGCACCATCTTGGGCTGTTTTGGGCCGTCCTGGGACCTTCGTGGGCAGCCCCGGGGCCTCTTCGGGCGTTTCTTGGGGCCTCCGGGCGGTTCTTGGAGGTCTCTTGGGGTTCTCTTGGGGCGTTTTGGGCGTCCCCCTGGGGGGCCTTCGGGGGCCCTTTGAGGCAGTTTTGAGGCTGTCCACGGGCGATTCCAAGATACTGCTGGTTCGGAGCCCTGTGTGGCGCCGATGTTGAGAATGTCGACCTCAACGCAACTGCCATGTTTCAGAAACCTGACCGGACAAGAACTGGAAGCGTCGCTTCTGTCTGTGAACCTTGTCATACATGAATTCATAAAAATGTCAAACAAATCCGGAGGCGAACCACAAACGACCATGGCACTTCATTGTCTTGGGCTGCCGTGTTCCTGTTATCTGCCGTGTTCCACTGGTTCGCCTTGCTCATCTGGTCAGCCGTGCCCTTAGGGTTTGCCGTGCTATTGCGGTCTGCCGTGCTAATCTGCAATGTTCTTGTGGTCCCCCGTGCTGGTTCTGGTTCTGGTTTTGCGGGGCCTATAAAAGCTGGAGGGCACCACTGAAGCGCCAAAGCCCGAGGCCTCCATTGGGCCAAACCCACAGGGCCTACAAGGGCCGTCCCCGTACAGAGCAAGGAGCTCCAGGAGGCAAAACACCGAACCCCGAGGCCCAGAGGCGGAGCGCCTTGGTCCCATGAGAAGGCCCAACCTCGCCTCAAGGGGTCTTCCAGGGTCTCACAGGCAAAGAGACACACCTGGGAAAAACACGCAAGCGGTGCAATGCGAGCCAACACTCAGAAGGCCGCACTCCTGTGGTCGGCCGCTCTGGTCTGCCGCACTTGTTTTGGTTCTGCGGAGTCTTTAAAAGCTGGGGGGACCACTGAGGCGCCAAAGCCCGAGGCCTCCACTGGGCCAAACCCAGAGGGCCTACAAGGGCCGTCCCCGTGCAGGGCAAGGAGCTCCAGGAGGCAAAACACCGAAACCAGAGGCCCAGAGGCGGAGCGCCTTGGCCCCATGGGAAGGCCCAACCTCGCCTCAAGGGGTCTTCCAGGGTCTCACAGGCAAAGAGACACACCTGGGGGAAAAAACACGCAAGCGGTGCAAGGCGAGCCAACACTCAGAAGGCCGCGGCAGCCACTGGGAAGTGGAAGACAATCGATGCCCCACCCACCTCCGGTGGAAACAGACGTGCAAGGCGAACCATCACTCAGAAGGCATTCCGAACACGCATGCACAAGACGTCTCACAAGGAGCACCAACAACGCTGGCGCCGTCAAATCCAAAGAAGGCCGCGTCGGCCTCGCCGCCGAGGATCTCGCCGTCGGAGTCGGAGCACTCGCCGCCAGCGCGCGACGGCGGCGCCAGAGCGCCCGCAGCCTGCACGAACTCCACCTCGCAGCCGACCTCCGACACCCCAGGGGCGAGAGGGGAAGGCACGTAGCACTCGCCGATGAGGGCGCCGCGCCCTACACAGGCGCGCCCAGCCAGCTCGAACTCCCCGCCAAGCTGCTGCTGCTCCTCGTCGCACTCATCGAGTCGATCTGGGCCTGCGCCGCCTGGGCACCGCCGCCGCCGGCAACGACGGGGTCAATCCCAGCTGGGGCGAAGGGCCTCGCAGCCGACCGCAGCGGCGTGCGCAGAGCATCAACGCGGCCAAGCTGCGGCACCGCCTCCGCCACGCAAATCTCCACGTGGCACTCGATCTTGCGCTCTCGCCTCGCCCCCAGCCTGGCGGGCCGCCGGGGCCGCCGCAGGGCGAGGCCGCGCGCCGACGCCGCCCGGGCCCCAGGGGCGTCGGCGTGGAGAGCCACATTCCTCCGCACTGCATCCTCCTGCTCGGGGGCCACTCCCCGCAGCAGGGCCGTCAGCGCGGGCGCGATCGCCTCCGGGCGGTCGGCCAGCTCGGCATCGCCCACGTAGGACGCGATGCACCGCCGAAAGGCCTCCAGCCCGCTGCGCAGGGCCGCTGCATCCGCGAGCGCCGCCTTCACGCCCCTGTCCGCTGCCTCGAACGCCCGCCTCCGAGCCGCGGAACGCTCCGCGCTCGTCCGCCGCGGCTCGCCGAGGCAAGCGCGCGCAGCATCGGGAACGCTGCCCAGCGCCCCCGCGCGCGCTATCGCGCCCAGGCGCCCGCGCGCGCGCGCCCGTGCCAGGCTTGAGCCAAAATGGCTTGAGCCAAAATGGCTACGGAGGTCTGCCGTACTGCTGTGGTCTACCGTGCTGGTCTGCTGTGCTAATGTGGTCTGCCGTGCTGGCAGGCTCTGCTATTATCCTGTGGTCTGCGGCGCTGGGTTGTCGTGTTGTTGTGGTCTGCCGTGTTGGTGGTTTTTGTGTTGCTGTGGTCTGCCGTGTTGGTCAGCCGTGCTGATGTGGTCTGCCGTGGTGGTCTGAAATGTTGGTCAGCTGCGCTCCGGTGGTCTGCGGTGCTGGTCTACCGCGTTCCTATGGTATGCTGCGTGTTCTTGTGGTTTGCCGTGTTGATTCGCCTTGATGCTGAAGTCTGCCATGCTGGTATGCCATAAAATTCCAATGGTTTTCCGTCCTGCTGTGGTCCGCCATGTTGCTCGGTTTTGCCATGTTTCCATTGTCTGTGCGCTGTTTGCCGCGTTGCCATGGTATGCCGTGTTTGTTTGTCCTGCTCCTGTGGTCTGGTGCGCTCATTTGCAATGTTTACGCGGCCTGACGTGATGGTCAACCGCACTGTTATGGTCTGTCCCATGCTCTTGTGATCCCCCGTGCTGCTGGGGGTTGCCGCGCTGGTTTACCGTGCTCCTGTGGTCTGCCGTGCTCCTGTGGTCTGCCTGCTCCCGCGGTTTGTCGTGCTCTCGTGGCCCGCCGTGCTAATATGCCGCGTTGATGGTGTCTCCCGTGCTCCTGTGGTCTGGCGTGCTTGTCTGCTGTGTTTCCCGTCTGCCGCGCTGGTCTGCCGTGCTCCACTGGTCAGCCGCTCTGGTCTGCAGCGCCGTGGTCTACCGTGCTGGAAGTGGAAGTGGCGGGGCCTTAGGCAAGAAGGCCCCAATGATGGGGCCGAAAGGCCGACGGCAGGAAGCGGGCCCCCGAGGGCCCCGTGGCCAATTCGGGCCGCGCACCCCCCTCCGAAGGCCAACCGAGACCACGGGGGCGCACCGTGGCACCGAGGGCGGCTGGAGGGCGGATGGCGCAAGCCATGGAAACCGATCACCCCGCAATTGCAGCCCAGCCGCGATCAAAGCTCATCGGACCAGGAAAAGAACCTCTTCTCGGCAAAGCCATGCGCGCCTCACCTCGCAGGGCGAACAGGGAGCGATCCCCACGCAACACTGCGAGGCGCCGCAGCGATAACACAATCCCCGAAGACACCGACGAGGACGCACGGAACAACGCTGACTTGCCTGCGCAAATCACTGTTTCTCTTGTTGCGTGCACCGCCACTGGCTCTGGCTCAGCGAGGCGCCCCAGCTCGTTGCCAGGGCGCGCGCCAGGCTCGCGGGGGCGGGCAGCTCTGCTTCGGAGGGCGAGGCCCCGCCCGCGCAGCCCCTCCGCGCAGCGGCTCGCTTCCCCGCCGCGCGCCTCGCCAGGGGGCGGGTCGCGGCGGGCCCGCGGGGCCCTCATCCTCCGCCGCTGCTGTCGAAATCTAATTACTGCTCCTGCAGGCCTGCGCCCCAGGCGGCGGCGCGCCCTCCTCGCTGCGCGGCCGCCGCGAGACGCCGGCGCCCAGCGCCCCATCTCGGCCTCGTCGAAGCAGCTCGCGTCGAGGCAGGCTGCTCGGCTGCCAGCGGGCGCCTCTGCAGCGACGTCGCGCGCTCGCAGAGCGCCTCGTGGGCCCTCGGCGGCCGCGACCGCGCCGCCGAACGCTGCCGCGGCCCGATCGGGGGGCCGCTCTCCTCCACTGGCCACGCTCGCCTCGCTCGCCCCGCCCTGGTTGCCGATCCACTCCAGGCAACGGCCCCCGGCGCCCTGCAGGGCCGTCTCGGCCTCGTCGAAGCAGCTCGCGTCGAGGCAGGCTGCTCGGCTGCCAGCGGGCGCCTCTGCAGCGACGTCGCGCGCTCGCAGAGCGCCTCGTGGGCCCTCGGCGGCCGCGACCGCGCCGCCGAACGCTGCCGCGGCCCGATCGGGGGGCCGCTCTCCTCCACTGGCCACGCTCGCCTCGCTCGCCCCGCCCTGGTTGCCGATCCACTCCAGGCAACGGCCCCCGGCGCCCTGCTGGGCCGACGCCCCCCCCCCCCCCCCGCAGCCGCGGCGCGCCCGCCCCCGCCGCTCGCTGCTGCCGCCGCCGCGGCCGCCCTCCAAGGCGGGGGCCTCGCTCTCAGGGGGCGCGCCGAATCTTCGGCGACTTGTCGCCGCGCCCATCGCCCTGGCAGCCGTTCTTGACATCGGCGCGCCCTCGCCCCCCGAGCCCCGCGCGCGCGCCGCGCCTGGCGCATGCGATCGGCTCCTGCGCGCCCGTCGCGGGCGCAAGCCACCGCGTGGCCCGCGACGGCGACGGCCGCCGCGCCGACGGCTACACCGCTGGCCCGGGCAGCAAGCCGCGCGCCGTCGAGCCGCCGTTGCTCGGCCTGCTGCTCGCCCACATCCTCTATGCGGGCTCGGCGAAGGCGACTCCCCTGCGCTCCGCGCCCCCCGGCAAGCCCTCGCACCCCCCGGCCTCGAAGCCCTGCCGGATGATCGAGGCCTGGGCGGTCCACCTCGCCAGCTCGTAGACGAACTCTGCGAAGGCGCAGCGCTCGTCGACCCTCGCGTCGCAGACCCGGCGGAAAGGCGCCCCCGCCTCGGCAAGCCCGTCCGCGCGCCGGCGGCCGCGCAGCCGGCACTCGGCAGAGGCGGTCGAGAACGCCCGCGTGGGATCGGTAGGCGGGCACCTCCACCGCGGCGACGGCGACGGCCTCGGACGTCGCGTGGATGCTGGGCCACGGGTGCGAGTTCGGCCCGTCGGCGGCCGCCGAGAAAGCTCGCCCGCGTTGCAGGCGGGCGACGGCGGAGGCGCAATCGACGTTCAGCACGGTGACCGCTGGCCCCCCGCACTTTCCGAGCATCCAGACCGCGCGGCCACCCCCGCCCCATGGCCGTCTGCCGCGGGCAGAGGGAAAGCCGCGCGCCGCCGCGAACGCCTGCCGCCAGGCCACCGCTGTCGTCGCACTGCACGATCGACGACCCCGCGCGCCTGAGGGGCCTGCGGCGCGGTTCGATGGCCGACCCACCGAAGGACAGGCGACCGCCGAGCAAGTCGCCCTCTGGGCGCCGCCCCCGCATCACGTGCGCGACGTCGGCGCGCGTCTCCTCCATCGCCCGCAATGGCAGCCGGCGATTCGCGAAGCGCTCGCCCGCCGCCTCTCCGCGCGCTCGAGCCCCGGCTGCGCGGCGGCGCGGGCGCGCAGAGGTGGGGCCCCCGCGCGCGCCTCGAGGGCAGGGCGCTCGAAGAGCCCGCGCCAAAGCGTTCCTCGAGGGGCCCCCCAGGCGCAGCATCTGCAGCGCACCCTCTCGCTCGCGTTGAACAGCCTCGCGCGCCGGAGAGGCAGGAGGCTACAGCCGCTCGCCCCCTCGCGCGCAAATCGCACCGCGGTCCCAGGACGCCGCCGACCGCGCCCCAGAAGAGCGGCGCCCTCGCGCCGCCCCCCTGGCAAGCTGGGCCAGTCGCTGATATCGGAGGCTCTTCGCGCGTAGGGCGGCCTCGACGCCGAGCTCTCGGGGCGCCATCGTGGCGAAGTCGGGCCCGTCGCCCCGGTCGGCGACCACCGCCCTCGCCGACTCGAGCCGCGGGCCCATCCTCGCCACAGTCAGCGCCGCCGCGTCGATGGGCGAGGCACAGCGCGCCCAGGGGGGCGCAGCCGTCGCGCGGCGGGCCTCCGCGGCCGCCAAGCACCTAGAAAGCACGCGCTCAGGCAGCCCTCCTGTCTGCAGCAAGCTCGACACCATTTGCCCGGCCTGCCCTGCGACGGGCGGAAGCCGAGGGCGGAGCCGCCGGGCAACTTGCACGCCCCGCGGGCCGCCGCCAGCCGCCATGCGTGGAGCTTGCCATCGGTGACCCCTGTCGCCGCGCGGCCCCCGACGACGCCCGCCGGGGGCCCCGCCCTGTGGATCAGGCCCGCCTCCGCGCCCGCCGCCTGGAGGTACCTCGTTCTCCCGGCCCGAGAAAGCGCGCCCGCGGCCCGGGCGGCGCGCTCGCGCGCGCCGCGCCTGGCAACGCTGGCGCCTGCGCAGAAGCCCGCCTGCCCGAGCAGCTGCTCCGCCAATGCGTCGACGCCCGCGGCCTGGAGCGCGACGTCGCCCGCGACGCTCCGCGCCGCCGCGAGCGGCCCGCCTCCGCCCGAAGCGGAGCGAAAAGCATCCAACACGGTGGGCTCGGCCACCGTGGCCGACCAGGCGCAACCTGTCAGGGCAATGCACAGCGCGGAGAAGGACTCGGCAATGCACAGCGCGGAGAAGGACTCGGTCGCCATCCCGCGAAGCTGAAACGCGGGCCAATTGCGCGTGACCAGCAGGCCTCTGAGGAGGTGCAAGTGGAAGCCGCGAGCCACCCCGCTCTTAATTGTTTGGTTAAACGCTGGGCTCTCCCTGACCCCAGGAACGCGGGGGCTTGTTTTCCCTCGTCCTTTTCCCTTTCTCTTCGCTTTCCCCTCCTCTGTGTCGTCCCCGCGCGCGCTTTCTGGGTCAAGCTGGGGGCCGGCCCCAGGTGGCCAGGCCAGGGCGCCCCGGAAGCCCGCTCCGGGAGCCCAGAAGATCCCGGGGCGACCCGGGAGCGCCACGCGCGGCTGCGCCATGTCGCTGCGCGGGGCGCCCCGCGGCCGGGGGGCGGCTGGGCTGCCGCCGCCGGCCGTGGCCAGGCACGCGCGGGGAGGAGGTCGGCGGCGCGCGGCGCCGGGGGCCCCCAGCCGCGCGCTGCTTCGGGCCGCCGCGCTGCTGGCCACGGCCGCGGGCTGGCCCGCCCCGCAGGCGCCCGGGGACTACGGGCCGGCGCACTGTGACGACGCCGAACCGGACCCGGCTGCGGAAGGGGCACCACGGGAGCCCGATGATAGGGGGCAACGAGGGCCCAGCGGAGTCAGGGCTAGGCGAGCACGGGTTGCCGCCGGCGGCGCCCATCCCGCCCGGCGCGCCACTCGCGCCGCCGGCCGCCCCGCCAAGGAAGGGCGCCACCCAAGCCCCCACCCTGAAGGCACTTCAAACACCTCCTGGATTGGGGGGTGGGGCCTGGGCTTTCTCAGCTGGGGGAACCTTGGAAACCACCTGGTCTTGGAAAGCCGCGGGGATGGGGGGCTGGGCACACTCTTCTGAAAACCTCAAAAGCGCCTTCTCAACCCAACAGGATACCGGCTGGCTGCGCTCCGACGGCGGCTGGGTCCTGTACCTGGCCGACAGCTGCGGCGTGCGCCTGTTCGGCGCCGCCTGGCCCATCGTCGGCCGGGCCCTCATCGCCCTGTGCTGCACCGGCGTCATCGCCCTGGCGGCGCACAGCCTGCGGACCATCTTCGCGCCGTGCGCGTGGGTCTGCTGGGTCATTGGAGCAGCCGCCGGCTCCTGCCGCGCGTGCTGCTGCTGCGCGCGGAAGCTGCCAGGCGAAGCAGAGGTGGACAGCATCCTGCCGCCGGCACCGCCGCGGCCTGTCACGGTCGTCTGGGCCAGCCCTGCAACGGGCCCCAACGCGACGACCTCCTTCTACCAGAGGACCGTCCGTGCTCGCGGGACCGGCAAGAAGCCCAACGATCTCCTCGTGAAGCTCGACGGGCACGCGGCGCGGGTCGGGCTGGTATTCGACGAGCCAGAGCGCGTCGGCAAGAAGGGGCTCTGGGTCCAGTACAACAAGATCAAGGGAGCGAGCAGCAGAGCCCTGCGGCAGACGCTCGAGCAGGGGCAGTGGGCACACCTGTGCCGATGCGGAGACTGCCAACCCCAGGACGAGAAAGAGCTCCACTGCGTGGAGTACGCGGCTCTCGACTCAGCGGCCATCGTCGACATCGGCACTCGCGCTCGGCTGACTCCCTGCCGGTTCTGCGTCCTCACGGGGCGGACCCTCGCCAGCGGAGCCCGCCTGTTCGCCGCGAGCCTGATGTACTTATTCTACCTGGCCTGCTGCTGCGGGCGCTGCAGCCGCCGGCGACGCCGCCGCCGTGAATCGGCAGGCGCTGCGGAGCCAGGTGTAGCTGGGGGAGTGGCGGAGCTCTTGGACCAGGAGTCCTAATCCGAGGTCGAGATCGAGGAGCGGCCCTGCGAAGCCGTCAAAGTAGGCGTCCTCATCAAAGGCGCGATGAGGCCGCTGGCCCCAGGTGGCTGTCGCGACGCCGCCGACGCGACCCCCGTGACGTTGCCCTGGGGGGACGGGCAGGCCTCCGACCTGCCACCGCCAGCCGACGGCAAGAACGCCACGGTCTGTCTCTGCGAGCACCACAAGCAGGTCTATAAAGCCCCTCGGCTTGGCGACAAGCGTTCGATCGTCACCTGCTTCCACAAGGCGGTCGGATCCTCAGCAGGAGTCTCTCTCTGTCCCGTCCATCTTGGCGGAGAGGCCGGAAGTGCCGCAGGGCGCTCGGCCCCGACCGCCGCGCACCCCACGGGAGAGTTCGCCGGCATTCGGCAGCGGGTTGCGCGAAGCGGGAGGGGCCCGGGAGCCAGCGTCCCAGCGGCTTTGGCGAGTGGCGGATACAGCACTCCCCCCAGGCGTGGCTCGCCCGCCCCAGCGGGAGGCCTCCAGTCAGTACGCTTCGAGTCGCCGACAGTGCCCGCGCCAGCCATGAGCCCCGAGGACGTCGACCTGGTACCTAAAGTACCTCCTCCCCAGGGCTCGCGTGAACTGGGCGAGCGGCGCCCAGTGGATCATCTTCCTCTGCCAGCGCCGTGGAGGCAACGAGAAGAAGGATGAGGCGCTTTGGGCTGGAGTCACTCACGGCCCCGAGGGGGCCAGCCTCGACTTCACCCTGAAACTGGACGAGGCACAGGCTCATCCCACCCTTAGCGCAGCAGGCAGGCTGCCCCCAGGGCTTCCTCGAGGAGCTCCTCTACCATCCGCCAGCTGGCGCCCGCGAGATGGGGATTGCCATGGTGGGATCTGCACTGCCCAAGGTCGTGTGGGAGAAGCTGCAACCCTGGCAAGGCAAGCCTGTCGGGGGGCAAGCATCGCTCTCTCAGGGCCTGGCAATGGCAGCTCATCCGAACCCGAGGTAGCACCATCATCAACTGGCATCCAGCGGGGTCCGCCTCGGCCACAGGGGATATGCCAATCGGGGAGAGGAGCGAACTCGACGCCGCGATGAAGGGCCTGGACGATCACTGGAAGCGGCTGGACCGCAGCGGATCGCCGCGGGCCCCTTCTATCTTCTATGGGGGGGGGGTCGGGGCAGCAGCAGCGGGAGGTCTCCGTCCCAGACGCCACCACGCTCGGATCGGCGCCCGTCACGCGAGAGGGACGGCGGGCAGGGCCACGAGTCCGAGGCCGACGACCTAGATCAGGGGGGGGCCATGCTCAGCGTCTACCTCGAGGCCAGAGGCAGCGGGTCCGACGAAGCCGACGCCCTGCAGCGCGTCGCCTCGGGCTTCGACGAGGAGATCAATACCGTTGTTGAGCGGCTCGCCCACTAAGCGGATCACTTGGCCAGCTACACCGAGGCGGAGGACGACAAGCGCGTGCGCTCCATGCACGCGGACCGCTGGAGGATAAAACAAGGCTAGGATCGGGATAAATCGCTCCAGGGCGTTCCGGAGCGCTCTCAGAGCGTTCCGGAACGCTCTGGAGCGGCCGCGGCGCCCAATGCATGCTCCAAGCCCGCCGATTCTCAGGGATTTCGAACTATCCCGATCCGATTGTGCCCCCATCTTCGCGCCGTTTTAGAGGGGCCAGCTGGCCCAGATGCGTATCGCTGGGGCCCGGCAGGCTGGAGCCACCCCTCCTCGACCGGCCGCGGCGGGGCTGCTGCAGCTTGAGGCGCAGCCACCAGCTCTGCAAGCCACCGACGCAGCAGCTGCTGACACGAACCCGTTGGCAGACACACCCTCCCCGAGTGTGCAGACACCGCCGGCGGATCGACCACCTGGCCTTGTCTCGCCCACGGGTTTGAGGTTCGGCGTGGCCAGCTCCGTCCCAGGCGGGCCCCCGAGCGTCACGGGCGTCGCCAGCCTCTTTGTCCATCGGGGCAGCTACGCGGACACGGGCCTGGTCCAGATCCCCGGACAGCCCGATCGACAGGGGGCCGTGGGCGCCGCCGGCGACGCCGCAGCTATGCAGGCGCATGCCCAGGCGCTGCAGGCAGGCCAGGCGCTGCAGAACCAGGACCACAAGCAGCTCCTGCATGCGATCGAAGAAGGGCTCATCCAGAAGGGCGATGGCAAGGTCGCGCAGCTGGGCCGGGTACCCTGGCAGCCATCCAGAAGGCTGAGGAGTTGGACGTGTCCCTGGCGCGGGGGTGCGACACCACGGAAGTCGAGATCTGCAAGGGGCTCCTCGGACGCGACCTTTTCCACGGTCTCCGTTGAGCCTGCGAGGGCAGCAAGCATCTGATGCTGGCCGCAGGGTGCCCGATGACCGTGACGAACAGGATAGCATGCGGATCGGCGACCCTCTCCCGGGGAGGCAAGGACCACCGCGAGCTGCCCAACTGGAGCTTGTCCGCGGCCAACTTCCCAGTATGTCGGGGCGAGGACTTCGAAGACTACGCGACGCCGGCAGAAGTCAAATTGGGGCCGCGGCCGAGGCGCCCCGTCGTGTTCAGCCAATGGCACCGACAAGCCCAGAACGCCATCAAGTTCTGGTGCCTCGTCTACGGGCGCCAGCACGGACCCGAGAGGTACTCCGCGCTCGAGGGCCTGAGGAAGTCGCACGAGCACGACGACGACAGTATGTTTACGGACTGTGGGATGAGCTCAACGCGGCTCGGTGCGAGCAGCTACGGGAGAGGCGCTGGGCGATGCGCGTTCTTCTCGGCACTCAGCACCCTAGGAGGGAGGACCTGAAGCTGCGCGCGCTGGCCCCCACGGGCCCTGGCGGCCAGGCAGCTTTCAAGTTCCCGAACGTCTTCGACTTGGACGAACCTGGCGGCTATTACCATCTGCGCCCCCCGGAACGAGCGAAAGCTGCGCAAGCTCTTCAACAGCAGCTTGCACGGCCTACGCCTAGGCCCGAAGGGCCCGATCCGTGCTGGAGGCGCCGAGGGAAATGAAGTGCAAGATGCCGGACGTTTCCCAGGCGCGCGCTCCCCGCCGCCCGAAGCAGGCGAGAAGGCCGGCGCCGGGAGACGGCCCAAGAAGCCTAAGACACCCGCGGGCGGGACACCGCCCAAGAAGCCCTACCCGGCGGGAAAGAGGCTCGCCGCAGGAGACATCACGCAGTCAGTGCAGCACGCCCCCCGCAACGGGGCAGGCGAGATCCTGTGCTGGGATGCACGTGCGTGGATGGGCTGCCCCAAGACCAACCAGACGTGCGCGCGCGCGCACGAGGCCATCGAGGACACGGGGGGCCTGCGCTGGACCGTGCAGGCGCAGCTGGTCAAGCGCGGCGGCCTGAAGTCCGGGACTCGCGTGGAGCCGAAGGACGTGGACGGGCGCGCGCAGCAGCTGCGCGCACAGGCCAAGAGCGAGGGCGAATCCAAGCGAGCCGGGGCCGCCCCAAGGCCGCCGCAGGGGCTCCGCCGAAGCGCGAGGGCTGTGCCGGACCAGAGGTCGACTGGAATGCCCTAGCGGCCTACGACGAGATCCAGTGCACCGCGATGGAGAACGACTTGAGGGAGGCGGTGCAGGGTCCAGATCACTCCTGGCTCCTCGACGCCCATGCGGACTCTCTCTCCCTGGGTGCACAGTACCAGCCAGCGCAACCACCCCGAGGCCATCAAACGACAGACCCTGATCGATGAGGCGCAGAACAGCGGCGTACTTGACAAGCCCCCCGAGATCAGCGACTACCTCAAATCCCACGTCTTGGCCCGGCTGACCCAGGCCAAGGCAGAGGGGGCCACGCTCGAGCTGGAGCAGGCGCCGCTGGAGGCCACCCGCGACGGAGGACCGACTCTCGCGGAGGAGGCAGGCGCTGTATTGGACAGGATAGGCGCCGAAGCAGGCAATCTGGGCGGGGAGCCTGACGCGGCGATCAGCCCCGCGACGTGGGACGAGCCCCGGGAGACTGCAGTCTCGCGGGTCTCGGCCAGACGTGAAACTGCTCGGCCAGACCTGGCGGTTTTGGGATTACCAAGACAAGGTGCCCTTTGAGCCTGAGCTCGCGGCGCGCCTGGGGCTCCCGTCCGACGCCCAAGAGGAGAGGCAGCGCTTGGTCTGGCACCTGGCGGGCGCGCTCCTGGGCGAGCACGGCCGCCGCCCGTCCATCGCCGAGGTGCGCGAACTGGTCTTGGTCCTCCGCTGGCCCCTCTGGGACCAAGCGACGACCGCGGCCGCTTCGCTGGGCGACCCACCGCCCTTCGTCCGCGCGAGGCGGAGCTGAGGATGTGCTGCCACGACGCGCTGATGCCTCATCATGACAAAGATTTCCGATGCATCACACTGTTCACCCTCCCGGAGCTCCAGGACGCGACGCTCCGCGTCTGGCACTGGAACCAGCTGGGCATGGACACCCCCCTGCCCCAGAGGGTCGGGCAGCGCGAGCTCCACGCGATGATTCGCAGAGGTCACATGCGCATGCTCCGACCCCCGCCCGGCGTTGACGGGCGGCGGGCCATCGGAGAATCCAGACCTGGGCCATGGCCGGGAAGGAGTTGCGGGAGCGGCTCACGACTGGCTGGGAGATGCACCTGGAGACCGAAGATGCAGCCGGCCCTGTCATCCCCAGCCGCCCCCCGCCTTGCGCGCACTGCAAGCGCCAGCAAGCGGCCGCCTGCGAGATCAGGGAAGGCGCCGGCGGTGAGACTCCGACGACAGCCGAGGAGGAGGAGGACGTTGACTTCCAACAGCTGGTGCCCCTGCTGCGCCGGCCCGCCTTCGCCTGGGGCGTCAGGGCGAGGGAGATCTTCGCCGGCGCCGGGCGCTGGTCCGCGGCGATGGCCGACGCTGGCTTCCTGGCGTCGGAGTCAGTGGAGCTCTACGAGCAACCGCTCTCACAGACGGGGCCGCGAGCAGACCACGACGTGCTACGACCGCAGGTGCGGGGGCGCATCCTACTGGACGCGGGCGCGACGCCGGGCCCAGAGAAAGCCAGCGTCTGGCAGCTCGGGCCGCCGCGCATCACCCATGCGGCCTGGAGGTTGACGAACGGGGGGGCTCGGACATTCGAGGAGCCCGACGGCGACGGCACCGACCCAGAGGAGGTGGCCTCGAACATCCGCACCGATCTCGCGGCCGACGTCGCCGACGGCTTTGCGTGAACGACCGGGAGTGGCTCCTCGAGCCCAGCTGCCGAGACGGACGGTGCCCCAAGATCTGGGACCGTGAGCGAGCGACTCATTGAGAGGACAGGCGCGAATATCATCACGATCGCGATGTGCGAGTGGGGCTTGGCACCCCCGCATCAACCGAGCAAAAGGTACCGGAAGCTAATGATGTGGCTCGTGAGCAAGGCTGTCCGATCCCCCAGCTTGGACATTCAGAGTCCAACTCAGCTCGCGCCAGAATGATCCACGACCACTTTCTGCCAAGGCGTCGCTCGACCACCTCCTCCGGAAACCCGCCCTCGCTGCCAGTGAAGCACGCGACGCCGCCGACGTTCTGGATGACGAGCCCCCGTAGCAGACCCAGCATCACTTTTGTATATCCAAAAACCGAGAGGCATTGTTTGCCATGAAAAAGCGCCGTGATAAACTCACTTAGGGAATCGAGCTCCCTGTGGGCGATGGCGGGGTCAACTCCCTCATTGTCCATCGGGCGCGCGAGGGCCTGGGCTTGACATCTCTCTGCGCTAACCCATTGCAGCCGCGCTTTGGTCCGCTCGGCTGCGTTAGCCTTGTCTTTCCAAGAAAGGGGCGTGCAAATGGTGGCGTGAATGCGCAGGCGTGTCCGCCTTAATGGCTTGGCGAATCTTTCAAAACGGCGTTTCGCTGCTTTCATATTCGCGCATGCCGACCTCGCAACAGTGTTCCGATCTGCCTTTATGGATCTGCGAAAAACGCGTCTGGCGTCGCGGCTGCCATGGGTCGCCCTGGCCACTGGGCCCCGCCCCTGGGACATCACGAAGGCCACATCTTTGATGAAATCGTCGACCGCCCACGGGCGACTCACAATTCTCCGGGGCGCGTGGGTTTTGCCCTTGATTGCCCACTCTAGGTTTGGCGCCAGAACGTTGCGCGATTGACTCAACGCCCTGGCCCTCGTCATCTCTGCGCCCAGCATCTCGTCTCCAGCGGAATGAATCGCAGCGCACATAACAGAGCGTCGCAAATGATCGTCCAAGGAAGTGTCTAGGCGAATGAGACCCCGCGCCTGCTCGACAATCTCAGGATCGCGGAAACTCGTGCGCATCCGGCGCGCGGTGCGATCAGTCGCCGCGCAGATGGCAGTCGCGCCAGTGCCAAATCCCTCTCCATGCACAGAGTGACACGATGGACATCCAAAGCGGCGCTCGCATAATTGAACCCGATGTGCAAGCGGCCCGCGCGCTCATCCCGCACCGGAGCGATGTACTTTGCACCCGTGATCGCCGCGCGGTCCTGAACTTCGATAGCTTCCAGCAGACGCCGTGCAATTTTCCGGCCAGGCTTGCCAATCTTCGCGAACGATTCTCCCTCGGCCACTCGTTTGGCAATATCCTGGAACTCGTTCGTTTCTAGAGCGGGCTTCGACAGATACTCGGTAGTCACGGATTTGCGCGCGCGAAGCATCATGATTCACTAAGCGGCGCAATTTCAACACATCTGGAGATCGAATGCCGCGCGCCCCAAAAGATATTGGCAATCCACTTGCATGGCAACGCTTGCATCCAACGCCGAGCTCTCGCTTCCACATGCTCTCAAGCCAAATTCCTTTCGACGCATTCCCCGGCGCCGGCCGAATTTGTTTGGCCCGCCGCGGGGGCAACCGACGCCATCGCATATGTGCTACGACGACTGGGTCTACCCCTTGACCCACGGTTGCTGAGGCCGGCCAGCAGAAGTAGCGGCCAACCCTCCAGGCCAAAGTGGCAATGGAACGAAAGGCGAGGAGCGCGAGAAGGCAGGAGCAGCAAGTCGGAGTAAGAACGTCGGAGGCTTCAACGGAAGAACGACTAGGGGGAGAGGGCTCGCAGGAAGAAGAGGGAGTGAAAGAAGAGGCGGGGCGAGGAGGAGGACGAGGTCAAGCGGGGAGTTGGATGGCGAGGCACACGGTCCCCCACGCAACAGGAGGGAGTGGGCGGGGGGAGGGGCAGCAAGGGGGGGAATAATGAATATGCGGGGCCCTCATGCTTCAATGCTCCTGCATCCTCATCCCCCCCCCGCGCACCCCCCCCTCCTCCGCTCGCCCTCCGTCTCCTCGCTGCCAGAGGTCCAATTTCAACTGGGTGCCCGAGACGACTTGGATCCCAAAGCAGCTTGCGGAGTAAACGCTGATCCGGCGCCAAAGGCCCCATGGCCTCTTGGGCAATCGAATGATTCGGGTTTTTTGGATTCAATGGTAGCGGGGGCCACATTTGGGCTAGCATGCCCCCCCACTGCAGCGTTACCTCGGTCGGCGACAACGAGAGAAAGCCGAGCAACGCCGAGCGCAGCTGATTAACAGCAGCAGGGGCCTACCAGGATCAGACTCCCATTCTGGCGCAAAGCCGAAGCAACTTATCGCGTCTACGGCGACTACCTCGCGCGCAGTGAGACACGATTGGGACTCGCGGCTTCTCCTTCGCGAGACCAGTGCTCCAGCGCGCCTCCTGAAGAACGCAGCCGGCCATGTTCGGGGACAGAGAATTGCCGACCATCATGCCGACCTGGCGCGGCGTGTTTTTGAGCATCCCGCAAGGGGCGCCAAGCCCTGTGACGGCTGACCAAGCCTGCGCTCAGCGCAGCGTCGCTGAGCTCCACAACGCGCTTGGTCGGCTTTCCCTGGGCAGCGGGGGTGGCCCCGTAGGCCCGTAGCAGCGGCGACTTCGAGGGCCCCTGCGCGGTGACGCGGCGCCCGCAGGTGCTGATCCAGGGTCCGCGCGCCCGCCGCGCACCCAGACGACTGCCTTGTATTCGACCACCCCGTAAACAAAGATCCCCCCCCTGAGCCGATGTCCACCGCGACGGGAGTGGCCCGGGGATCGACGCCGTTCTGGCGGCACTCCTTGCAGGCCCTGACGCAGCGCTTCCTGCCGATACTTTTCCGGGGGAGGCGACCAGGCACGTCGGCCGGGGTCTCGGGGCCCACGATGGTCTGAAGTGACGCTGCCTCGTGGGCCCCAGGCCACTGGGACTCACGCTTGAAGAAGTCTTAGCATATTGCAACAATGATGAAGCACCCGCGGTCTTGCGGGAGGCCGCGGGCATTGGCATTCATCGCCTCGTCAGACACCGCGTGCCCGCTTTCGCGGAGGTACCTGGTGAGCCCCCGCAACGCTCGGCGGAATTTGGCATGTGTCATGGCAAGAACATTCTCGAACACGACGGGTCGCCGCTCCTTCTCGCGAGTGCGCTTGAGGGCCACGGCCATGAGTTTCCCCGTCGCGCGGGAACCATTGGCGCCAGCCTGTTTGAAATTAGATGAAAAGTTCTGGCATGGCGGTGCTAAGACGTAGATGTCCACGTAAGGCTTATCATTGATGGGCACGTCCACGATGTCAGTGTAGAAGTGATTCGGCTCGCGCAGCCCCGGCAGCTTGCGGCGCGTCTCGTTGCTGCCCGAGACAAACTGCACCGAGAAAGAGACGTTCAATCGTGCCGTGGCGATCACGGCGCCGTCCATGCCAGGGAAATCAGACTCGAACATGGTATCCTTCAGGCACCTGGGACGACGCTTTGCCTGTGGCTAGGGACTTTGGCGCCGCCGAGCGGCCCATCTCGCTGCGCCAGGCTGCAGCGCTGCGCAAGGTCGCAATCAGCCGAAGCAGCAACACATATCCATTGAGCTCAAGCGGCGTGCAATCAAGGACGGCACCGAACGGCGCATGGAGCTGGATGGGCACATCCAGCTCCTTACGCCACTCGGCGCCGGCCTTGATTCCGAGCCGCTGGCCAAAATCGAGGGCGGCACCGAGCGGCGCAAGGGGCTGGATGGATACATCTGGCTCCGCGCGCACGCCAGGCCAGAAGATAAGAGACAGGTCCATTTCGTCTTGTAAGCAAGGGAGAGATGATCCTCTTCCCCCAGGTCTCTTCGACCCGTTAACAATGATGGACAATGAGGAGCAAGAAGCTGGATCGGCACATCCAGCGCCTTACGCCATTCGGTGCCGCCCTTGGTTCTAGCCGGCGGTTCGGATTCAAGGTCGGCGCCGAGTGGCGTAAGGCCTTGGAAGTGCCCGTCAAATTCTGCGCGCCTCTCGGCGCCGCCCTTGAATCTGGCAACGCACGCGCGCGCGCGCATCCTGGATTCAAGGTCGGCACCGAGTGGCGCGGGGAGCAGGAAGTACCCATCCAGATCCTTACGCCACTCGCTGCCGTCCTCGATTCTGGCCAGCGGCTCGGATTCAAGGCCGGCACCGAATGGCGCAAGGAGCTGGATGTGCCCAACCAGCTCCTTGCGCCGCTCGGCGCCGACCTTCAATTCCGGCGGCAGCCGGGCCTGGCATCTTGAAACATATCCATGGGCCTCGCGAGGCATCGGTGAAACAAATCATTTAACCTGAAGCTCGATGCCCGACTCCGCGCGCGCCAAGTGGATGCCACTTAGATAGCCGCCGTCCTCGTCTGATGCCCCCGTTTAGACTGGGGTGGTTTTGAGGCCAGGCGCAAGGAGCTGGATGCCACCCAGTTGCGCGCGCCGCTCAAGGCCGCCCATGACTGGCTCAGCGCAGCGCTCCAGAGCTGGTTGCGAGCTGGATGTTCAGAAGTCGACGTTCGCATCCAGCTCGCAACCAACTCTGGGGCGCTGCGCTGCGCCACTCACGGGCGGCCTTGAGCGGCGCGCGCAGCTGGGTGGCATCCAGCTCCTTGCGCCTCCCTCCGAACCTTGGGCGCATTCATAGATGCCAGTCGGTTTCCAAACTAATGCGCTGCCTGGGGCGTCACTGGACCGGCGCTCGGACACCCCCAAAATTTAAAACAAACAAGCTGGCTAAGGCCTGGGCCCCCGCAGCAATTGCGAAGGCCAGCCGTCGGAAAATTGAAGGAGGATCGGAGGCGGGAGAGGAGGGGGGGGGGAGGAGGAGGAGGTTTCAATATTACTGTCCACTGCGGGGTCCTCGCTCGATCGATCGCGCCACATATCTGGAAGTGATGCGACCTACCAAGACGGGCGCGAATCAGGGGGGGCAAAAATATCACCCCGCGAAAACTTTTCCCAGAGACACCAAAGCTCTGACCCCCAGACGGCGAGCGCAAACTCAGGAAGACTTGGAGGAGGAGGAACATGTTTTCACCTCGGCCGCAGCAGACGTCGAGGCGCGCGCGCCAGCCGAATCAGCGAAGAGCTGATATGCAGCAAACTCCCTGGTGGGCACAACCACTCCCGATGCTGTGCCAAGGAGCGCGCAACCGACTGCGAAGTCTACACCTAGACCTGCGTGCTGCGGCGTGTGTGTTGTATGTGTATGCGTGGGCTTGTGTGTGCGCGTGCGTCTGTGCGCGCGCGAGTGGGCGCATCTATATCTAGATCCCGGCAGCGAGCGGAAACAACTCATTAGTCAGGATGCACTCTCACTCGTCCTTGTCTGGGTCCCACGCGCCGCACTCCTCGTCTTCATTCGGGAGTTCTTCCGACGCCGGCTCCGGCTCCGCCTCCCCCGTACCCCCCGGCTTCGGAACGGGTGTCGGCTTCGGTTTTCCCCTGGGGCGCCTTGGCCTGGGCTTCGGCTGGGGCGCGGGAGATTGGCCTCGCCGCCGCCTCGCTCTCCGTGGCCTGCGCGTAGGCGGGGACGTGCATCTTGCCTTCGGGCACGGCGCACTTCCCATCCATTGGAGTCATATCGATGCCGAGTTTGGCAACGAAGATATGGATCAGTTCTGAGCACCAAATAGGTGGCGCCCCATGGAGCGCGCAGGGGACCACGGTCGCGCCCGTGCGACGCCCCGCTGCCTGCGCAGCCAAATCAATAAATTGCGAAGGCAAATCGCAGTGCCATCAGAGTCAGCCGAAAGGCGAGCTCGTGACCCCTGCGGCACGGGGATGCCAATGCATCTAACTGATTTGGCATTTGCTGCCTTGTCAGGGCCCTCTCCGTCGTCGTCGTCCGCCGCCACCTTGGGCTTGCCACCCGCGCGAATGATGGTGCGCTTGCCCAGCAGCTCCTTCATTGTCCATGAAATCTGCCTCTCCTTGTCGTAATCAGACAGGGCGACCCGTCGATGGCGTCGCCCGCCGCCGCCCCTCCGAAGTGTTTGCGACAGCGCTCAGGGAGGCAGATCCTGCTGGACGAAACCATGCGCGCACACTCTGTTTGGCGGACGGAACCTGTCGAGCTTGCGCTGCGAAGGCGCCGCTCCTTGAGGCTCTCTCCTGTGTGCGCGAGCTGCAGGATGCACCTGGTGAGGGTCCCCTTTGGCTCGTCTTCCTGGTCCTCGTCTTCCTCGTTTTCGTCCCTGTCGTCTTCCTCATATTTCTTCTTCCTCGCCTCCTTGGCCGCACTCTCCTTCCATGGTGCCATGAGCTCGTTGGCGTTACCTTTCCGACCGCCATCCAGGGTGATCGCGACCTCGCCGTTTCGAAAATACCCCAGCCCGCCTGATGGCGCACGGGCCTTGAGCACGGCGCGGACAATCTCGCTGTATATTGCATCCCGTGGCGACGGCATGCGAAGCTCGGGCCTACGCCCACTCTCGCCGTGCCCCTCGACGTCGAAGTTATACAGGACAAGGCCCACCGGGTCGCCCCGAATCTCGATCAGCTTGGAGCCCTTGATGGCGTTCTCCAGCTCGGCGCCCGTCTTAGGTTCAGGGATCAGCCTGACGCGCGCCGTTAACTGCTTGTTCGCGAACTTGGTCCACTGCTCTTGCTCGTTCTTGGGCAAGCTCGCGAAGCCTGTCAGAGCCTCCGCCAGTGCTGAGGCATTTGTGGCAGCGGCCGACGCAGCCGCGCCATCCGCGGCGCTGCCCCCAGGGCGCCGCCGGTGGCGACGCTGAACTCCTCTGCCAGCTCCAGCTAGATCTCGTAAAGCTTCCCTTGAAAAGAGTCGTACTCAAGGAACTCGTTGATCTGATGCTTCGACCGAGCTGCATATCTGCATCGCGTGTCCCAGCTCGCGGCGTAGATGGCGCCCCCCCAGGAAGTCGGCAATTCTCAGACCATCAAACCGCCAATTCACAAGGCGCGCGGCGTCCGCAACTTCTCCCGGGCAGGGGGTCATCTTGGCCCGCGCGCTCCCGAAGTCACCAAGCGCGCCCTGCAACCTCTTGACCTGCTCGGTCTGCAGGCGCAGGGGTGGAAACCACGCGCACAGGCAATGCTGCTTCATGTCGAACTTGAGCTTCGGTACATCAATGTTGGACGAACGGCGCTCCTTCATCTCATTGCCTGTCAACTCCCCGAGGCTGACGGGCCCCGCCCTCCACAGATCTGCGACGCCCCAGACCGCGGGCGAGATGCGCCCTGGGGTCCGAGCCCGATCCACGAGAGCTTGGAGCGCTCTGATCGTCTTGAAGGGGTAGTCGCCGAGCATTTTTCCCCTGCCAACTCCAGCCAATGCCTGGCCACCTACCATCCAGGGGAGCAGCCGGCGCCCGCTCCTCGAAGGCGGGGCCCCGCGGCTCGTCGCAGGAGCTGCCTGCGGCCTCGCCGCATCAGCCCGCGGACCCCTCGCCGTCATCTTTCCGCCCGCCTCGGGCCCGCCCCGCAGCCCGCGCCCCGGCGCAAAGCGTCTGCTGGCTCGCGAGGCCAGCTCCAGCTCCTCGCGCCCATCGGGCCCCCCTCAGAGACAACTCCAGGGCGGCCCTCCTCCCGCTCCGCAAAGGCCCTCTGCTTTCGCGCCCGCCTCTCTGGCGCCGTCGGCAAACGCTTCCTCGACGACTCCGCCCGCGCGATCGCCGGCGCGCGAAGTCGCCTCGGCCTCCTGGCCCAAGACGCCCAGCTCGGTCAACGGCGCCACATGGCCCGAGCCCATTCTGGCGCGCGCGGCTGGGCGCCAGACCGCAGCGGCGTCGCGGGCAGCGGCTGCTGCGCGGAAGGCGCGCGGGGGCCACTCCCTGCGACGACTCCTCGCCAGGGCTGCGGCGCCTCCTTTGCCGCCAGGCGCGCCTCCGCGACGACGCGCCCCCCTCGGAGCCGCCCCGCCTTCGCCCGCTTCCCAGCAACCGCCCCCCGCGACTGCGCGACTCGAGCGCCCAGGCGGTGCCCTTTTGCAGCCGACCTCAGCTCCGCGGGCGACGCTTCGCCGATGCAGCCAGCGAGGCCCCCAGCACGGGCGCGCAGGGCCACGTTCCTGCGCAGCCGCTCCAACCACGGCGGCTCGCACCCCCGCCGCGAGCCGCTGAGCTGGAGCGTCGGCAGGGGGACTTCCACCCGGTCGGCCAGCCTTTTGTCCCCAAGCAGCGTTTCGAGGCAGGCCGCGGCTTCCGCCAGCTTGCCCTTGGCGCCCCATAGCTCCTTCGAGAGCCGCTGGGCCAGCCTGTTCGCGGCAATGCGACCTCCGGCCGCGCCGCGCAGGACCTCCCGCGCCATCCTTCCCAAGCGCCCGCACGCCGCGCGCGCCCGAGCCAGCTCGAGCCAAAATGGCTACGGACAACGTTCCTGCGCGGTGTGCCGTGCTCCTGCGTGGTCTGCCATGCTCCTATGCAATATGCCGCGCTCGTGAAATATGCCGCGCGGTTTTGCTCAGCCGCGTTCCTGTGTGATCGGCCGTGCCCCTGTGTGGTCTGCCGTGTTCCTGTGTGGTCTGTCGTGCTCCTGTGTGGTCTGCCGTGTTCCAGTGTGGTCTGCCGTGCTCCTGTGATCTGCCGTGTTCCTGTACGTGGCGTCGAAAACAACTCATACGAGGCTGCATTGGTCGAGGTTGTCTGCAGGGAGAGTCTGATGTTTGAAGAAGCGAAGAGTTCGCGAGCAACTTCAACATATCATTTCCCTCAGGGTGTCTGCAACCAGAACCTCACTGTTTGAGAACGTCGTCGTAGAGTTGATCCCCCAAGATCCCCATCGGGGGAGGATGTATCAGGCGAAACGCGTGTGCTTGCAAAGCCGATGCTGGTAACTTCTAACTTTAGCGAGGGTGCCCCTGGCGAGCTCGTCAGTTTCGACAGTTTTCAGGGAGATCGTGGGATCATCCTGGGACTCATGTGGGGCTCTTGTTAGGCCGCCTTGACTCTCAAAAAGCACATCGAACACTATGTCAGGAACGTGTTGTTTCAGTGTTCAAAACGCCCGAGAGGGTCCGAGGGGTCTCCACGGCAGCCCAAGAGCGCCCCAAGACGCCCAGGATGGCCTGAAGCCTGTCCAAGAGGCCCCAAAGTCCTAAGAGCGCCCCAAGAGGACCCCACAGATGGCCCAAAGAGGCTAAAATCAGTGATGTTCGTCATGTGTTTCGATGGTGTTCGCGTTCTCGTGTTTTCGGGTTTCCGACGCTACAAGATGGCCCCAGAGGGCCCCAAGACCGCCCCAAGACGGCCCATGAGGCCCCCAAGAGCACCAAGACGGTCCAAGAGGGCCCCAAAACGGCCCAAGAGGTACTCAAGATCGCCCAAGAGGGCCCAAAGACGGCCCCGAGAGGGGCCACGAACTGACAATTCGAGCCTTCCGCCCCAAGAGGCCCCCCAGGAGGCCCCAAGAGGCCCCCAAGAAAGACCAAGAAGCCCCCTAGAGGACCTCTAGTGGCCCCACGCGCCCCCCCAAACGGCCTCCAACAGGCATCAAAACTGCCTCCAAGAGGCCCCAGAGAGGCCTTCCACGAGATCCAAATGAACATCCAAGAGGTCCCTGACCCACAACCCAGGCACGGTGGCGGCATGGGCTGAAGGCCAGTATATTAGTACTATTATTAGTATGGTGAATATGGTTACGAATATGTGTATTATAATTGCTATTGCTACTATGACTGTTAATACTACCCGTATTATACTCATTAATACTATGTATCCCTCATGTGTTCCCCGGAAGGTCTTCACACCAGCTGGGGGAACAGAAATCCTGATAGATTGGCCGAGACATGGTCACAGACAGGGATCGCCTTCGATATGCACCATGTTTCCTTTGCAACTGCGCAACGCCTACTCGGATGTGGGGCGGATCCTTTTCAAACCGTGGCTCTCGCGGAACACGTCCTTGAACCTTCTGGTCCTACCTCGCTGCAACTCGTGAAGCTAGAAAGACGACAAGTGGACCCTGTACAAAAACGGATCTGCGCAGGACAGGTAGCGTGAGAGCCACAGGGAGAGGAGGCGATGGCCTAAGCCCTCCTTGGACCAGGTCATCCGCAGGAGCGCGAAGCAAGGGCCGCTGCTCAGGCACTCAGGAATGCCCACCTCAGACGAAAGCATACTGGTGAATGTCAGCCCCAGGGCTTTTCAGGACAAGACCGAAACCTCAGGTTGGGGCATCTGGATACACATTCTGCCCGTGAGTTCGCTCCACAATGGCCAGTGGCACCACCCCCATAGCCTAGCTCCACCACGGCCACTGGCATCAGGTCTCAGCCATACCATTTACTGTAAAGATGTGTCCCGTCTGGGTTCTTGCAGTGCACAATTCCCGCAAGTTGCCCCGCAGTCTCCAGCATTTCGCCGATGACCGCCTCATCCCTGAAGATAGGTTTAGGTACCCCTTGAAGCCTGTGGCGAGCTTGGTCAACCTCCTCCTCCTTGTCCCCCTGCTCCTCCTCCTCATCATCCTCCTCCTTGTCCATCTTCTCCTCCTCCTTCTCCTCCTCCTCGGGGTCCGTCATCACGCGCACCACGTCAGCGCCGCAGTTGTGGGCGAGGCTCCGAGGTATCACCTCCAGTGCGTCCGCCACAGCGCGGTATGCGTACTGGCGCGTGCCCTCGATCAGTTTGGCCTCTTCCAGCGGCGAGGATCCAGGATCGAGAGTCCAGGTCTCTGGAGAGGAGGAGAAACAGAGCGAAGGAAACAGGGAAGAGGGGGAGGGGCAGGGAGAGGGGGGGGAAGGGAGGAGGTGACACGCCTTCTCCTTCATGCGGGCGGCGAGCTCCATCTCCACGGCGCCGCCCCCAGGCAGTAGCCTGGGCTCCAGGATGATGTTCCTGGCGACGTTGAAGGCGTCGTGCAGGTTCCGCTCCTTCCCCTCACTTGCCCCGACCCATGGCCCTCCCACTCGTTCATTTCTCCCTCCCCGACTCCACCCCTCATCCTTCAAGCTCTCCCTCATCAATCGATCCCTCCGCCCCTCCCTCCATCACTTTCTCAGCCCGTTCTCCGTTTCTCCTTCTTCTTTCATACATGTTCATCCTCCTCCTCGTACTCCTCCTACTCGTCCTCCTCCTCCCCGCGTTCCGCCCCCTCCTCCTACTCCTCCTTCGTCTCCTCCTCCTCAGTATCTTCCTCGTCCTCTTCCTCCTCCTCCTACTCCTGCCCATCATGATTACCTTCATCAGTATTCTCTTCATCATAGCCATCATCAGCATCAGCATCCTCATCATCATCAGCATCATCAGCAGCATCATCATCATCATCCGCATCATCAGCATCAGCATCAGCATCAGCATCAGCATCAGCATCAGCATCAGCATCAGCATCAGCATCAGCATCATCATCATCATCATCATCATCATCATCGTCATCAGCATCATCGTAAGCATCATCATCAGTACAATCATCATCATCATCATTATCATTATCATCATCATCATCATCAGCATCATCATCATCAGCAGCATCATCATCGGCATCATCGGCATCATCAGTATCATCATCATCAGCATAATTATCATCATCATCAGCAGCAGCATCATTATCGTCATCATCAGCATCAGCATTCTCTTCATCAGCATCATCATCAGCAGCGCCATCGTCATCAGCATCAGCATTAGCAGCAGTACCGTCATCAGCATCATCAGCAACATCGTCAGCAGCATCATCATCAGCGCCACCACCACCATCATCAGCATCAGATTCAGCATCAGCATCGTCATCATCTTCATCGTCATCATCAGCATCATCAGCATGATCAGCATCATCATCAACATCAGCATCAGCAGCATTATCAGCATCATCATCATCAGCATCATCATCGTCATTATCATCATCAACATACTCATCGTCATCGTTTTCATCGACATCGTCATCGTTATCACCACCATCATCGTCATCGTCATCATCAGCAGCAGCATCATGTCCAAAAGAATCATCACAATCGTAATCATCAGCAATCTTACCATCATCGTCAGCATCAGCATCAGCATCATCAGCATCACCATCATCATCATCGTTATCATCTTCATCATCATCACCGACATCGTCATCGTCATCTTCATTGGCATCATCCGCATAGTCGTCGTCATCATTACCATCATCCCCGTCTTCATCCCCATCCTCATCATCTATATCAGCATCACCATCATCATCAGCATCATCATCATCAACATCCTCAACATCTTCATCATCATCAGCAGCATCATCATCACAATCATCATCATCTCTCCCTCCTACCAGCTCCCTCCCTTCTGCCTCCTGTTCCTCGTCCTCCTCCTCCTTGTCCTGGAGAACCTTCACCTCCTCCTCCTCCTCATCCCGACGCTAGTCCTCTTCCTCTCTCCTCCATCCCCCTCCTCTGGATCGTTCTTGAAACTTCTTCTCCTCCTCCTGCCCCTTCTCCATTCATTTTCCTATCAATAACTCCTCCCTGTCGCACCCCGAGACCAATCGGAAGGGCGGACCAGGCGTCCCGCGTAAGAATGCCTTACCACGTATGACCCTGACGTTGAAAATTGGCGGCAGTTTCACAACTGGAGGTCGGGCCGCTTCCAAAATGTGGCTCTCGCCATCGCGCCGCGAGCACTTGACTTAACCATGTGCAAGAGCTTCACGGGTTGAGGGCAGATAGCTTTCAAAATGTGGCTCTCGCAATCGTGCCTCGCACAATCCTGTAGTTTCACGGGTTGAGGGCGAGTCGGGTTCAAAGTGTGGCTCTCGCCTTAGCGCCGCGCACATTCGGTTAAAACATATCCGGGCGAAAGACCCAAACTATAAGCAGTTGTGGATACGCGCTTGCGAACATCGTTGTCGGTGGAACTCCTTTTGGAGCGACGAACCGCGTGAAGGGTGCGCCGACATGGGTGCAGAAGACGCATGCGAACGGTGCCACTGGGACTTTCGGTGGAACTCGATATGGGGCCACGAAGCGTGTGAGGGGTGCGATGCTGTGCCGTAATGAATGCGGGGGACGCATGCGAAAAAACACGCCACAGGGGACCTGGGTGGAGCTCGCTCAGGGCCCACGAAACTTGCAGAGGGTGTGCCGGAAGTTGTGCAGAAGATGCATGCGAACGGTGCAACTGGGATCTTCGGTTGAATTCCCTACGGGGCCACGAAACGTGTGAAGGGTGCGCCGACATGCGTGGCGGGGACGCATGCGAACGGTAGCACTGGGACCTTCGGTGGAGTTCCCTACGGGGCCACGAAACGTGCGAGGGGTGCACCGGTATGCGTGGCGGGGACGCATGCGAACCGTGCCACTGGGACCTTCAGCGAAGCCCCCTATGAGGCTGAAAACGTGAGAAGGGTGTGCAGACATGGGCGGCGGGGACGCATGCGAACGGTGCCATTGGGACCGCGGGTGAGGACACCTATGCCACGAAGCGTACGAGGGGTGTGTCGACATGGGCGGCGGGGACGCATGCGAACGGTGCCATTGTGACCTTCGGTGGAGTTCCCTATGAGGCCACGAAACGTGTGAGGGGTGTGCCGAAATCGGTGGCGGGGACGCATGCGAACGGTGCCAATGGGACCTTCGTTGTAACTCTCTATTGGGCCACGCAGCGTGCGAGGGGTGTGCTGACACGGTTGACATGCGAAGGGCAGAGGTAGGGATGGGACGGGGGAGGAAGGAGCGGGAGGAGGCGTGAGTGAAGGACGTGGGCGCTGTCTCTACTAAACGAGAACACAACGCCACAGGATGGCTGGGAATTTGCAAGGGCTTCACGGATTGAGAGCGCCAGGGGCGGCCCAAGAGAGCCCCGAGAGGCTATGTTAAAGGTTCCGAGGGGGCGAGGGGAATGTTTGACTCCCCTGTCATTTGAGTTCTTGGTTCCCGAAGACCACAAGAAACGCTTCAGACCCTCCCACCGGGACCCCATAGAGGCCCAAAATGGCTCTCAGAGACCTCTCCAATAGGTCCCTCCGAGGCAGCAAAGACGTTCCGCGAAGCCACGGGGACCACCAAGGCCTCTCCTCTCCCTCCTCCTCCTCCTCCTCCGCCGCTTCCGCCGCTTCCGCACCCGCCACCTCCGATTCCGCCTCTTCCTCCTCCCCCTCCTCCCCCTCTTCCTCCTCCCCCTCTTCCTCCTCCTCCTCTTCCTCCTCCTCCTTCTCCTCCTCCTCATCCTCATCCTCCGCCTCATCCTCCTATTCCGTCTCCTCCTCTTCCTTATTCTTCTTATTATTAGTATTATTATTAGTATTAGAGTTCGTATTCTTATTAGTATTAGTATTCCCCGTCTTATTATTATACTTAATATGACTATTATTTTTTCTTTTGCGCATTACTCATATTATAATTTCTATTCCTCATCCTCCTCCGCTTCATCTTCGTCCTCGTCCTCATCCTCGTCAGCATCATCATCAGCAGCACCATCGTCATCAGCATCAGCACCTGCAAGCAGCATCATCATCAGCATCATCCTCACCATCGTCAGCGTCATCATCACCACCACCATCATCAGCATCAGCCTCAGCATCCTCATCATCATCATCGCCATTATTATCATCAGCGCCAGCATCGTCACTAGCAATCATAAGCATCATAAGCATCATCATCATCATCATCATCATCATCATCATCATCATCATCATCATCATCATCATCATCATATTCAGCATCATCAGCAACAGCATCATCATCAGCACCATCATCATCATCATCAGCATCATCACCATCTTTCTCATACGTATCACCAGTATCAGCAGCACCACCATCATCAGCATCATCCGCAGCATCATCCTCAACATCATCAGTATAATCACCAAAATCATCAGCACAATCACTATCATCAGCATCCGCATCATCAGCAACATCATCATCAGCATCAGCATCGCCATCAGCATCGTCAGCATCATCCGCATCCGCATCATCAGCAGCAACATCATCAGCAGCAGCATCATCATCTGCATAGCCATCATCAGCCTCGTTGTCACTCGTGCTGCCTCCCTCGATCAGCCTCATTGTGTCAGGGTGGGGTCAGCTCGGAAAACTCGATCGAATCGACCGATGCCCTGCTAACGCAGCCGAACTCCCGCTGCTACTGCTCTGGGGGAGAAGCGCTCCTTTCGCTTGGGCCCAATAGCCGGCGCTGCAAATAAACGCGTCAGTCCTGCGAAACAGAGGAAAACGGGTCTTGACCAACAACACTTCACACTCATACAATTATCTCCGGCTAAGCGTGCCTGCGAGCCGACGTTGGCTCAGTACAACAACATATATATGTATATATATATATATATATATATATATATATATACATATACCTATGTGTATACATACACACATATATATATAAACTATGGCGGCGCCGCTCACTCATGAGCGACTGCGCCATGCAATGTCTCATCCCGTCGAGGATCGCCTGGCCGTCAGTGCTCTCGACCGGCTCAAGAGCTCCAGCTTCTGCTTCTCAAAGCGGATCGCCCTGACCTCTGCGCGAATCTCCTTCTCGTCGGACAACCACTTCGCGTCTCGGTCCAAGAGCAGCGTGTCACGCAGGCGGCAGCGCACTTTCTCCCTGTAAAGGTTGGTACCCATAGTCGCGAGCTGATCCGCTGAATGTGCGCATTCTTCAGGGTCAACTACGCACGGGGTCCGTGACTTGCCTGTTCTTTCTCGCTGCTCTTGCCTTTCGGGATATTTCTGCGTCGCGTCTAGCTCTGCGGCAGTTGCTGCGTCCTGCGACCACCGGCTGGCACGCCACGAAGATATTATCTCCTCGCCCCGGCCATGTTCCACCTGCTTGTAGGATGCGCGCTTCAAGCGCTCATGTAGTCTGCGAGCCTTATCCATCGGTAACTCCGTCGTCTTCATTCCTGCCTGTCGATCCTCCGGACAGCCCGGTCTCGCCTGGAATCTCGACCCAATCATCGCCCTCATTCGGGGCAGGGACGTTGTGGCTGGCCTACCACCATCCAGCGCGCCGCGCGCGCCGCCAGAGTTGCACCAGCCCCAGCGGCTCCCCCCCCGATCTCCTCGGTCTCGGCACCCGCGGCGCCCATCATGTAGATCTCCATCGCGTGGTCCAGGCCCGCCCTATCTCCCGCATCCCCCTTCTCTTCCGACTCCACCAGCACGCCCTCGTCCGAAAGAACATTCGTGTCCTCGAGGTGCTCGATGTCCTTGGTCGCGATGCAGCCCACGAAGTATGCATCGCCTTCCCGCGCAGAAAGGCCGGCCGGCACGTCGGCGCCGACGAGGACACTTCGAGCTGCAGCACTCGCCCCTACGACCCTTCAGCTCCATCCGTTGCTCAGAAATCACATGCTCTGCCGCGGGGTCCTCCGTCAAACGGCGCCCGCCCGCCCGGGGCACATACCTCGTGTAGTCACTCGCGCGTCGGCGAGCATCTGTTCGGCGTTCGCCCACTTGCTCACCACGTTGTCCAACTCTACGTCGTTCCTGAATGACTCGATGTCGATGAGCAGCCGCTTCTCGGACGGGACCGCCCCTCGCTTCTGGGGCAGGTCGTAGAGCGACTTGCAGTCCAGGACCTCTACCATCTGGATCGCCCTTACGTCGTCCATGCGGGCCCTGTGGCCCAGTCCATGGTGCAACCCTACAGGTACTGCCTCGGGGATCTTCTGACCCGGGTCAATCCAGACCCGGGTCAGCAGGAAACCAAAAACTGCAATGCAGGAAAAAAAAACTGCAACGCAGGTCCTCGCAAACCCGGGTCAGCCAATAGGCGCGGCCGCCTCGCGGCCACGAACGGCTCCCTAACCCGGGTCAGCCAGAGGGGGTCTTTGCAGGATCCTGCAGGATCCGGCGCCGTGGCTGACCCCCGTTTGCATTGACCCCCGTCTCAAGGCTCCCGACTGCCTCAACATGCCGCCACTCCGGGTCGCCCCCAGCGCTGCCATCGCCTCGGCTGCCAGGATGCTCCGTAACACTGGCTTGACGCAACGCTATCGCCACAACATCAGGGCAACCTTAACAGGCTGCCCGCGTAGGAACTGATCGCCAGTGCTGTCCGCGAGCAGGCTGACAGGCCCGCCTGGCTAGCGGCCTTCGTCTTGCCCACGTTGCCGGGGCCCGAGCCCCCCACTGCCACCGCAATCACGTTGCCCATGTCTAACTTCTGGAAGGTTATGTCCACATGGTCGGTCATGGCGTCGCTCACGAGCTTGTTGTAGTCCAACAGGTCTTGCACCTTCAGGTCGCCGTCGCGAGCCCGAGCCTTGCTTTCCACCAACCGGAACGCAAAGTCCATCCGCGTAGAACGGACCAGCCACTGGATCTGGCCGTTGCCAAGGTGGACCATAGCCCTTTCCTCCGCCGTGGCCTTCGCCTCCTTGGTCTTCCGACGCTCGGCCGAGATGGGAAAATTATCGATGCTCTCCGCGTGCTCCTTCTGGCCGCGTGTGATCGCGCCGTTGTCGTTCTGCTTGAGGAAGCGCCCGCAGTGGTGGAAGCCCGCCTTCGCCGTCTGCCACTTGCTGCAGCAGTGCGCCTTCATCAGTTTGGACACCTGGTTCGCACAGAACTCGGACGATCCCGCGACGAGGTCATCGTCGACGCGTGCCCCGATCAGACCGATCAGCTTTCCCCTGTCACCGCGAAAGCTGAAGAGGGCTGGGCGCAGCTGGGATCTCGAAGCCCCGGTAAGCGATAGGATGGCGCCGCGATGCCCCCCGCACCACAACAGAGGCGCATCGTTCAACCTGTAGATGCCATTATTCGCCTTCAAGATAGCCCCTTCCGGGACGACCGGCCATCCTTGCTCCGGCACCGAAGGCGCGCCGCCCCTGGGAACGCGGAAGTGCACGCGCCTGGGGCCGTCGAGATATCTCCCATTCAAAAACGCCGAACCTACGTCGCCCTGCTCGAGGCCCCAGCCTGGCTGGCTGGCAGTTTCCTGGATGATCACCGCCGCGGCCGCGTCCGCGAGCGTCGGCGCGTTCGTCTGCAACTCGCACGCGAGCAGCCGCTTATCCTTGTGGCCCTGGAGGATGCCCCGCGGCTTCGCCTTCAGCGGGTGTTGCTCGCGCGCGAGACTTCCCCTCGCAGGCCCATTCCTGTCAGTGCGGGCGCGCCTCATGGGCAAGACGTCCGCCTTCTCGACGCCCGCTAGCTCCTCTTCACTCGGCCACTCCACAGCGTCGTACTAAACCCACGTACGCCACTCTTCCAGGTCACTCGTCTCGAATACAGTCTTCCATTATGGCGGGATGCCGCGCAGTTCCTGACCTTTCTTCGGGGCAACCTGATTCTTCGCGGCGTCAATCCCCCCTGCCACACATGCACCCCTCGAGCGATTCTTCGCCTTGAGTAAGAGAACTTCGTCGTCCATCGCGTCGCCCTCGATCCTCGGGACACGACTCTGCTTGAAAAATTCGCGGCGCATGCGAAGGCGTTCGCGATCTGCTTCGAAGTCGTCAGGTAGCGACCGTTTGTAGAGGGGCCCGAGGGCAAGGTTGTGGCGCGGGTTCTGGCCGCCCTTCTCGTTCAGGTCGTTGCCGCGAGGCACTTGGCACAGCAGCCGCGCCCAAGTCCGCGGCGCGCCCCTGCCCGACTGCATTAGGCAAAGGGGGGTCGTTAGCCGTGACATGTTGCATGTCATGTCCATCTCCGGGTGCATCCTCATCTTTGACGCCTCGCACATCGTGTCCATCTCCAGGTAGTGGTAGTACTTCGGGTAGCACTCAAGGTTCAGGTGCATCCTCCTCCTGGGTCTGCTTCTCCCGCCCGGGAGTAGCCTCGGACCTCCTCGGGGGAGGCGGTGGAGGTACTTCGGCCCGCGGCGTCTTGGTCGCCAGCGCGTCGCCCACGGCGCCCTCCTTGTCTGGGTCGCCGTCGCCCTTCTCGCGGCGCCTGTCGCGCTGGCCACCGCCCCCGCCAGGCCCGGGCCCGCGCTCGTCCACGAAGCCCTTCTGGAGGGCAGGCCCCCCGCGCCGCTGCGACAACTGCCTGGCGAGGTCCTCGTTCTCAACCATCTCGGCTTCACCGCGAGGAGGTATGCCGCACCTGCTCGGGCGTCGCGAGAAACAGCGCCCCGCGGTAGCTAAGGCGCGGCCGGGCGTGGCCCTCGGCCGCCAGCGCAATGGCCGGGCCGCGCCGCCCGTGCTCACCCCGGAGCCGCTTCGACTTCACGTGCTTCACCTCGCGCCAATAGGATGCCAGCTGGCCCTGCACGAACGGCCCGCGCGGCCGGCGAACCCGACCAGCCGCGGCCCTGCTCACGGCGTCGTCGCCGTCCAGCTCGAAGAACGCCCGGTTCGCCGCAGCGCGAATCTGCTCGGCCCTCCTGGGGCCATCCTCGAGGAGCGCTGCGCCCCTCGCTGCCAGCTGCCTCCAGTCGCCCCCCATCGCCTCGAGCAGCGAAGCCAGGACGTTGGGCGATCGTCACAATACGTATTGAGAGGGCGTGAAACCATTCCGTCGGACGCGGTCGTTGCACGTGCTCGCATCTCCTCTGCCTCGTCGGGGCAGTTCACGCGCGCTTTTTAAGCATCCTCATCATGCAGAGAGTGGCAAGCCATTCTAGAGTAGTTAACGGCATCGTCGATGTTCTTGGCGCTTTTGGCAAACTTCCGAAAAGCCGTCCCAGAAGTGCATTGCAGCAGGTCGCATGGCTTCTGCAGCTCCGAATTGCCAGCGCCTGAAGCAGAGGGTTCATTGGGGCAGTCGCCACTCGCGGCAGCAGCGGCCAAGCTCCATTCGTCCATGATGGCGTCATGTGCGGCTACATCTGCAGCCTCGGCCCACTCGGTAAGCACCAAATCGAGGTCGGCAGCGTCTGCTGCTGGTTCTGCCTCCAGCGCTGCGTTCCCCCACTCGTCCATGCATGAAGTGACGTCAACATGCCGTGCTCATCGAGCATGCAAGCAAAATGCCCTGACTTCGCCTGAACGTAAATGGATATGGGCGTGATTGATAAGCGTTGAAAGTACAATGCAATGCAATGGGCGCTGCTTTCCAGCAGGATGCCTAGAGCGCATGCGATGCAATCTTACGTTATGCGATGCACTGCGGGCTGTTGGTTGCACTGCTATGCTTTGCAATGATACGCAACTCAATGCAACGCAATGCCGTGCTGCACTGTGTTATGTTATGCGTTGCTACGGACACGGCACGGCACGGCACATTTTGCGCCATCGGTTACGCCAATGGTTGCGCCAAACACCATGGAGCCCTATGCTTTCTCTCCCCCGATCCCTGAACACCTCGCGTGGGCGTCGTCTCTGGATGGGCTGGTGCTGGCGGAGACGCGCGAAGCGCCAGGAATAATCATAAGGAGTGCCCAACGCAGTTGAGACTTGTTTGAGAAGTGTTCGGCGCCGTTTCGAGACTTACTTGAGACATGTTTAGATAAACTTGAGACTTGTTGGAGACTTGTTTGAGACCTGTCTGGGACTTGCTTGAGACTTGTTTTGAGACCTGTTTGACACGTGCTTGGGACTTATTTGAAACATGAGTGAGCCTTGCTTGACACCTCTAAGGGTCCTGTTTGGTACCTTTTTGAGACTGCTGCCACGCAGTGCTAACATCGCCCACACCATTTTTCAACATTCAGATGAAGAGCGACTCGGAAATCGAGTCTCGCACTTGTGTAAGCCTAGGGGCACAACGAGTCGGGAACGTCTAACGCTCCCGACAAATCCAAAGGCGCACCGAACTCCCGAATAACATCGCCGAAGAGAGGCTGGGAAGCGTGGCCATCACCACCCCAGCGAGGCTGAGTGCCATCAGGCTCGCACTCATGAGGAAGACTCTGGAGATGCTCGCTCGCAGCAGGCTGATCCTGAACGCCGACATGAAGTGCGCGACTGAGGGCGTCATCCTGAAGAGTCTGCGTAGCAATCGCGTCTTGCGTACCCGAGGCCTTTGCCACCGTAGGAGTGTGACCGATCACCGCATGCCCCGTCGCCACCTGCGTCACGCGTGGACCCGGCGGCCGTTTGGGAGAGGAAGCCGATGCACCATCATCATGAACAGCTGCCTGAGACTCACGCTCCTGTGACGAGAGCACCTCCTCAGCACGCGACTTGTCAACTGCGTTGCCCTGGGTGCGCGCCTCTTTCACGGCGCTGATTCCATCTGGTGCTTCAGCACGGTCGGGTTCGTCACGCAGCCGTTTGAAGAACTCACGTCGTTCTTGGCTAGTGTCGAGCGCCCTGCCCCGGATCTGCAACCCGGGGGGTTTTCGAGAACCACATTCTTGTTGTGCCCGATTGGAAGCTCCTTCAGGTTGAGTTTGAGCACTGGATATTGAGCGACATCAACTTCAACAGATTCTTTGCCCTCTGAAGAAGCCATTGGCATGAAACAGCCTTTCGGCATCACTATGGACTGAAGCATGCGTGAAAAAAAAAACGAATGCGGACGTGACTGATAAGCGTTGAAAGTAGAGTGCAATGCAATGCGTGCTGCTAACATGCAGGATGCTTGACGCGTGCTGTGTTAGACAGTGGGGCACAATGCTCTGCAATGCAAAAATATGTAATGTGATGTCTATCGTGCTTCGCACGATTATGTTACGCAGCGCAATGTAAGCAATGCTATGCTCTGCGCGATGCTACGACATGGGCACGGCACGGCACAGCACCACTTGTGCAATCGAGCTTCTTGTAGTTGATACAACAGACATTGTGCTGCCTTATGTATTATATTCCCGCCCTCTCTGGGCGTCTCGTCTGGCCGTCGTGTTTGGAGGAGCTGGCGGTGGCGGGGGTGCGCGAAGCGCCAATAATAGACAATATCAAGGAATGCCCAGTGCATGTGAGACTTGTTTGGGGTGTGCACGAGGCTTGTTTGGAGCTGGGTCCAAGCTTCTCCGAAACATGTTCGGGACTTCCTTGATACTTGTTTTGGACGTGCTTGAAACTTGATTGCGCTTTGTTGGAGACCTGTGAGAGACCTGTTTGAGACTGGTGTGGGAAGTGTGAGAGCCTTGTGCGAGACATGTTTGAGACTTGTATGGGGCCTGTTTGAAACCTGTTTGAAACTTGTTTGAGACTTGTTTGGGGCTTGTGCGAGACCTGTTTGAGGCTTGTTCGAGGCTCGTGTGAAGCACGTTTGAAGCTTGTCTGAAACTCGCGCGAGAATTGCCAAATTCTTATACCCCACATCCCCACATACCAACAGTAGTAATGCTATGCTGTACTATACAACGCGCACGTGCCCGCAGAGACCGCCGCGCGTTTCCCGAGCGATTTTGATGTACCATATGGTCGACCACATGGAATGGGCGACCATTGGGGTTGCCATATGTATAAAAAACTGTTTTGGGCGACCATTTGGGCGACCATATGGGTTGCCGTATTTTTTTGGCGACCATTTGGGCGACCATATGGGCGACCACTTTGGCGCCTCCCCCGCTGTTGGGTCCAGGGGCGCCGTGGGCTTAGAGACGCCCCAAGCTTCGGTGAGGGGCGCCTTCCAATGGGGGCGCGCTGACTGGGCGCCCAGCAAGGCACGCGCAAGGATGTAATGGAGGAAACCAGCGTCGCGCAGCCAGACTCCGAAGGTGGCTAACGCTCGCGCCAGGAGCACACCACTTCGGTAGAGCGCGCTCGGAGCCACCCCGGCGCGCGCGCAACACGCAGCTCGAACGCGTCAACCGATCGTGATCTGCGATCGCGGCACTCGGGGGCCAAGTGGGAATCCCGAACGAAAGGCGCGCGAGAGGCGCGGGGCCGCAAGTCGCCAAGCCCGCGGCCAGGCGGCGCGGTGCCGGCTGCTGGGGCAGAAGGGCCCCCAGCGGCGACATGCACGCACAGCCCGCGCGCGCGCCAGAGCAGCAGGGCGGGCGCGGGGCCTCCGCTGCTCCGAAGGGCCACGCGGCCCGTCGAGAGGGCAGCCCGCCGTTCACGCGACGCGAAGTACGGCGGCAACCTCTCCTCGTCGACTCCTGAGCGGATCACGATCTCCGCGCGCGCCACTGCGAAGGAGTCGTCCGTCGCGTCCACGACGCCCCGCGCGGACACCTCGACCTCCGAGGGCACGCAGAGGAGCCCGGCCTCGATGTCGGCCCAGGGAAAGGGGGCAGGCGGACCAGCAGGGCGCGCTTCGCGAGCGTGGGCGCGCAGCTTCGCCCCCAGCTCGGCCGCGTCCTGCCGTTGCGGCATGCTTGGCAAGGGCGTCGGGTGGGACGCGCTGCAGATGGCTCGATACCTGTCGAGCAGCTCCGCAGGTGCCTCTTTGATGGGCCACAGGCGTGGCGGGAGCAGCTCGACGCTCTCGGAGAGGTGCGCAACAGGTCGCAGACGCAGGGCAGGCTGGCCGCGCGACGCCGCTGCGCGACGTTGGCGTCCAAGCCGATGCCCCTGATCCCTCCGACCGCTTTTTCGTCGATATAAGGGCGCCCAGTCAGCCATGGGAAACCACGGCATTCAGCACTCAGGGGTAGCAGCCTCCCAGGCTCCGAGAAAGGCGCGACGCCTCCATCGCCGAAGAGCCGCCGATAACTGCGAAGCACAGCGAGCAGGCATGCGAGATCGTCGATCTCGCGCGGCTCATCCACGCCAGCAGGCGAAGTGCCGCAGCCAGGAAACAGCGTGCTGAAACAATTGTTTACGATCCTCGGAGTACTGCACGACTGTCGCCGGTTCGCCCGCCACCTCCAGCCGCCAGCCGAGCGCCGCGGCCGCGGCGGCTGAAGGGCGATCGGTTCTCGCGAGTCGCCTCGGCCAGCGGGCCAAGGCGCTGGTTGGCTGGGCAGCGACGGCGCGAGCCCTCCCCCACGGCGGCGCAACGCCCTCGCTGGAAGGGCACATGCCAGCCGGCCCAGCGCTCACGACGCCTCGTGAACACCTGCGCGGGACGCCTGCAGCACCGCCCCGCTCCGCGGGGCCCGCAGGAGGCACGCCGTTTGGCTGAGCAGCGACGACGCGAAGGCAGCATGCCGGCCACCCCAGCGCTCGAGGCGCCTCGCGATCGGCTGCGCGAGACACCTGCGGCGCCAACCTGCCTGGCGCTACGAGCCTCACCTCGAAGATGATCCACCCGTGACCTGGAGCGACCCCGACTCCGGCTGGCACCCGAGGACCGAGGAGGCTGCCCGCGAGAAGTGGCATCCGCGGACGCGCCCACAGACCGCTGGGCGGCCTGGACGATCCTGCGCAAGGCCGCCCCATATCCGACCCGCCAGGAGGTCGCGGGCGCCAGGAGGTCGCGGGCCTGAGCGGGGCCCTCGGAGTCGAAGTCCGAGTCGCAGGGATCCGCGGAGCTTCCAGCGCGGGAGGCTTGGGGCGGAGCAGACTCGGCGCGCCTCCGCCGCGGGGGCGTCGCCGGGGACCGCGCCCCGGCGGCCGGCGAGGCGCGCCGCGACCTGCCGCGAGGAGGCGTCGAAGGACCCGCGGCTAGAGCGTCGGCGTCTGCCGACGCCCCTCGGAATCGCGGCCGTAGGGGTTCGGGGACCTTCGGGGAGAAGTCAGGCCCCCGCCCCCGCTCGGCGCCTGCGCGGAAGGACGACTGCGGGACCGCAGGGCAGCGCGCTCCGCCGCGGCGCGACGGTTCGCTGTCCGCCGAGCGCGGCGCCCCGGCGGAGGCGCGGCCCCCCCTCGGGGGCGCGGGGGGCCGCGCGACTCGCCTGACGCTTGGCGGCCGCGCGCTGCTGGCGGCGGGCTCCGGAGGCGTTGGCCGACCCTGGGGCGTGGCCTCCTAGGTTCGGCCGGTCCTCGACGGCCTCGTCGCAGGGGCCGGGCCAAGCCGTCGGTGGACGGCCGCCGATCTCTGCGCGACATGGCGCTGGCAGGATCGTCGGGCGGGCGCGCGTTGGCACGCGAATCAGCCTGGAACTCGACCTCCAGCTCAGCGAGAGATCGCCCCGCAGACGAGGCGGGGACGTCGTCTCCAGCCGCGCGGGCACGACGAGCCAAGCCAGGCCAGCGGGGGGTGCGCCACCTCCGCGTTGTGCAGTACAGCCCTCCTCACTCGGCGAGCGTCGCGGGCGAGCTGGACTGGGCCCGCCCGTCGCTCCCCGCGCGCTTCCCGACTGGCATCCTCCTGGGGCCGACGCGCGCGCGATCCGCGATGGCATCGGCCAGGACACCCCTCGCCGCGGCACGCTGGGAAGCGACGAGCACCTCGGGGCGCGGCGCCCGAGCTGCGAGGCCCGCGCGCGCCTCGCGGAGTGCCTGCAGCTCGAGACGACCAGAACTGCTCAATCGCGGCCAGCTCGGCGTCGGCGGGCGCGGCAGGCAGCCCGAGCGCGCGCGGGCGACGCGGGGCCGGGCGCAGGCGGCTGGCCAGCGGGGCGCCCGAGGCGCCGTGCAAGGCTGAGCGCAAGGCGGTGCGCTCAGCGCGCGCAGACACACGCGGCCTCGTCCAAGGCGGACAGTGCAGGGAAGTGACCGGCAAGCGTCTTGCCTGCGCTCTCCCACCTGCCGCGGCCCTCAGCGCGGGCGAGAACCTGGCCCTCTGCCCCCCCGCCGCCGGAACTCGGGGCCCCCGGAGCGCCACGGCTGCTCTCGTAGTTGAACAGCAACGACATGGCGTCGCACAGCCGCTTGAAGCGCAACTTCCGCTCCTCGGCGTCGGCGGCCGAGCGAGGCGCCCCTCCATTGTCCGGGTGGCAACCCCCGCGCGGCGCGCCGAGGCGCCGCTTCGATGGCGCCGCGGCCCGCTCCGTCGGCGACGCGCAGGGCAGCTCGCGCATCATCCAGCCTGGCAGCTCGGGCGAAGACGCGCTGACCACCGCCGCTCGCGGGTCCCAGTGGCTGCCCGCCACGGCTGGAACGTCTCCAGCCATGGGCGAGCGAGCTCCCGCGCGTCGGATCGGGCGCCGGTGGCGCTCGAGGGGGGACAGGCGAAAGGGGGGCCTCAGGACTGGCACAGTCCCCCGCGACGTCTTCTTCAGCAAGGCGAGAGGGGTCAGCGGCGACGCCGGCGCCGGCGCGCGCGGCCCCAGCGTCGCTCGGGGACAGGGCGTTCCTGGCCCCAAGCTGCCGCAGGAACGGGGCAGCCGGGTCGCGCGCGTCGCCGCCGCCAGGGCCCTCAGAGGCCGGCCCCGCGGCGGACCGTCGGCGGCGGCCGCCCCCGCGCCCGAGGGGGGGGCGGCCGCCCGGCGGAGGCCCGAGGGGCCCAACCCACAAGCCGCAGGCAGGACGAGGAGGCGCGCCCATAGGCAGGTGGGGCACGGGGAGAGAGCATCGGCCTGGGCCACGCAATCGAAGCGATCACCCCCCTCCCGCTCTGCCTCCTCGAGCCCGCGGGGGGGGCTCGAGAAGGGGGCCGGGCCGAACGGTGCCTCGAGGGATCGCCGGCCCGACGAACACCCGTCGGAACGCACATTCCCCCCGCCCGCGCACAGACTGCCCCCGACGATGCACAGCTGCAGCGCGCAAGACATGGGACTAATCGGGAGAGCTGCCGCGCCCAGGGGCCGCAGCTCCGAGAGTCACATCAGACTCCGAGAGGACATGGGCCCGAGAATCGGGCACCCTGATGCAACAATACTTGCGCAAACTCTTGAAGACAGTGGCCCGGAGGATGTTGGTGATCCTAGGCACGCGCAACTGCCATTCGCACGTCAGATGGAGTCGGGAAGCTTCAGAAAACTCCGTCACCCAGTCAGGCGCGACTAAGGGCCCAAGGGAAGGCAGCCCTAAATCGCGACGAAGCTGGGCGAGCTCAGGGCCAGGGGGGGGGCCCTCAGCTCACAACTTGGAGAAAGTCCCGATCGCGGAGCCGAGTGCGCCAGCCCCCGCGCCTGAAACGTCTCCAGAGCTCTGCGGGCAAAGGACTGCTGATGTCCGCGCGGGCTACTCCCCTCGGCAGAGGGAAACGTCCGCACCGAAAACCGCGGAGCAAGGGGCCGCGCGCAGGTCGGCGATGCCGTGAAAGCCTGGAATGCGCAAGCTAGGAGCTCGTCCATGACGGACGGAGGCAACTCATGCTTTGTGTAGTGGCGGGGGGTCAGATCTATAGAACCACCCAAAACAGACACCGATCCCCAACGCAACTCCCCAACGCAACTCCCCAACGCAACTCGCCAGCGCTACTCATGCGAATCATAATGATTTCTTGTGTTCCAGATTGTATTATACATATGGTAGAATCTTTGGTGTTTCGATACATAGATTTTGGATTACACATGTCAGGTCATGACTTGCACCCTGGACAAATGCACACATCCTTTTGAGGCGAGGTCTGATACGTTGACGCATCATGTTGAATGCTGTTGCAAACGGTTTTCAACCTGATTCGTTTACATGTCATGTTGGACGCATGTGAGGCGAATGGGTAAGTCTGGCCATCTGTGAACCGACTGAAGTCGGCCTTGAGCGGTCGGACGCCTGCCTCTTCTGTTCGCACCCTCGCCCTATCCCGCTACAGCTACACAGTATGAATACCAATGCCGTCTCTTCTACGGAGACGCGCAGCGACTGGAAATGCGAGGATCACACATGAGTACTTCGCCGAATGGTCTCATCAACCCACTCGGCGCGAGTGGCTTAGTTCGCCCAGTGTTCTCTTCCAGCCCCTCTGCGAAGGAGTAGCTCTTCCAAAACCCCCGTCTCGGCGCGACACGGCAATTCCCCTAACCCCCCTCTTATCGAGTAGTTCGCCCAAGACGTCTTAGTGCGTATATCTTGCGTGTGTTGAACTCTAACACTCTTCCAACCCCTCCCTTACCTAGTAGCTCTTCCAAAACCCCTCCTTTACCGAGTAGCTCTTCCAACCCCTCCTTTACCTAGTAGCTCTTCCAAAAGCCCATGGGTACCTCTTCCAAGCTGCAACTCCTAGTTTCCTAGAGTGTAGGAGGACGTAGCATAGCATGTCACATGTCTCCCCGCTCCGAGCCACGGCTCCAGCTCAGGTTCGAGAAGTCTGCTTCTAGGGCGTTGTCTTGCCGCGGCGGGGGCGCTTGAGGCCCTTGGGCCGCCCCGCGCCCGCGGCGTCATCTGGCCTGGCCGCCGCGCTCGCCGCCTGGCCCCCCGCCTCGGCTGGCTGCGCATTCGCGGGCTCTGCCTTCGCAGAGCTCGCGCAGACCGCCTTCGCGGCCTCCACGCTCTCCGCTGCCGCTGAACTGGCGTGATCGGCGATGTTCTGAAACTCAGCCCAGAACGAGGCTGGCAGGGCAGGGGCTGCAGCTCTGTGCTTGGCCAGGAAATCTGCTGCCCTCGCGCGGCCGTCCCTGCTCGTGCGGAGCACCGACATCTCCGCCACGCCAGCGATGAACATCGAAGCAACGTTCGCCTTCTGCATCGTGGTGAGCGCCACCGCGACAGCATTCTTAGTGATCTCATTCTCCTCGAGCTTCGGATTGACCTTGAGAAACACGGCTGCCTGGTTCATGGCGATCACCGTCCATTGGACATCGTTGTGGCTAGCGATCACCTTATTCAGTTTGTGGTTGGTCTCCTGTTTGGCGACGGCCTCCATGAACACGCCATTCTCGTCGAAGGCGGCCTCCCAATCTGGAACCGACTTCTTGCAGGTCTCGATGTCCGCGCGAAGCACCCTGCAATACGCCTCCAGGATGGCGTTCGTGACCCGACCGCTGAAGAGGGCCACGAGGCTGCGCCACTGCCGAATCTCAGAGAGCGGCGTACTCATCACGACCCCCAACGTCTCCACCTCGTGGGCCTCCTCGCCAACGACGACGGCCTCGAGCGACACCAGCTCGGTGTAGAAGCGACCAAGGAGGAATGTCAGGCGCTCGAACAGCATGTTCCTGGAGATGCACATTCCCTGGGCGCGGGGCTCGACGAGGTCACGATGCAAGTAGCATGCCACGCATGCAATGTCTTTCGTAGAGCAGATCGCCGACAAGACAGCGAAGACCACGTCGGTGCGCAACGTGCATTTAGAACCGTCCTGGAGGCTGGACGCGGAAACCTCGATCTGCTCAACCTCAGCTTTGCTGCAGAATTTGCGGAGCATCCGCATGGCAGCGTTATGAGTGACAGAGCGGAAAGCTTTGGCATCCGTACCGTCGCCTACGAGCTCGAAACACGAACGGTTGCACACCGTGTCCACGGAAGGATGGGTCAACAATCGCGACAAGACCGAAGCGAGGTCTAGTCCCAGCAACGTGGTCTCCGCAACAGCTGCTAGCTTCATGTCTGACACGATGACTTCACCAAGCCAATGCTGGATGGTCGTCTGCACGTGGCTCTCATACACAGATTCGCCCAGAGAGCGAACAAAGCCACCGAATGCGTCCAACAATGATTGCACGATATCTCCCATCGAGTCGACCATATCTTCACCAAGAACGCGCATGCTAAACCTGGAGGCGATGTCTTGATCATTCGCATGTCTGACGTGCACCTTTGCAAACGAGACCAAACCCATCAGACCCGCCGCCGTGCCACCTGGCACGTTGAGGCGTGAAGGACTGCCACGTACTGGGCACGGGTAAGGCCCTGACCTGCTTTCCCTACACGGGTCACTTGGGGAGGGGTAAGGCTCGGCAGACGGGTCTCGGCCCGTTTGAGAGCCTTCCTCCCGAAGATCGACAATGTCGTCGGAGACATCCCCGCAACGATCACACGCTAGGGGGCCGTATCCTCAGATGCATCATGCTAAAGTTGCGCGTTGCGCCTGATGCATCCTCGGGCAACGGTGGCGTTGAAATCGAGGACCCAACTCTAACCCTCGAAACTTTAAAAGGCGCAGTTTCGCATGAGACATCCTCGAAACGTGGGACGTGTAAAGGGATGCGTCTAGGACCTAGGACGCCGTTCAAAGCGCCATCTGATGACATCAAACGCGGCAGAACATTACGACATGCTTCAAATTTCAAATGCCATTTGATTTGGTTCCATCAGTTTTGTTTGCAACGGAGCGGCTCGCTCGAGACATCCCCTCAAACTTGCATCGGGGTCTTCGGGACGTGAAGACGGAAGGTGCCGCATGCCGCATGTGCCGCATGTGCTTTTTTCTCCCCAGTTTCCCCTCCCCCCCCTACCCCTCATCACCAAAGCCGTCTTCGTCCGCCCCGAAACGGCCGAGATGTCACGCAAGACGGTTTCGGGACCGATGTCGAGCGAGGCCATCGCCAACATCATCTTTGATGGCTTCGTCCGCTCAGAAACGGCAGACGGACCACGCGCGACGCTTCCGAGAAGTGAAGACGGAACGTGTCACATGCGACGGGTCTCATATTACTCTTTCTCATCATCATCGCCGTCTCCGTTCTCCCGTAACGGCCGAGGCGTCACTCATGACAGTTTCGGCGCTTGCCCCGCTGGAGATCACCACCATACCGTATCATCATCATTACCGTCACGGACCGCCATCGTTTGTTTAATGATCACCGCAATCATCATTACCGTCTTCGTCGCATGTGACACTCCTGCCATCGTCATCATGATGATGATGATGATCATCATCATCATCACCACCATCATCATTGCATCATCATCATTACCATCATCATCATCATCATCATCATCATCAACATCATCGTCATCTTCAGCATCACCGCCACCACCATCATTACCGCCACCATCAAGTTTGGAGACGCAATGCGTCTCAAGTTGGAACACTGGCAGCGGACACCAGTGCTTCCTCGCGCAGGCAGCTGGGCAGGCACGGTGGCGGGGCTTGCCGCAGGGAGTGGACGCTTGCTATCGGGCGTCAGCTGCTCGAACCTGGCTGAAGGGGACATGCAGTCGCTCTCGCAGACCTGCGCCCAGGCGATGAGGTAGCTTGCCATATCAAGGAGAACCTTGATGTTCTGCTGCAGCTGCGCCGACGCCTCGCGCGGCAATGGCACTGAGAAGGATTGCAGCTCAGCCGTGATGATATCCTCGCCAATCTTCTTGATCAACACTTCGATCCACTTCTGAACGCAATCAACGACTACCATCGCCGCGGCCCCGAACTCGCCCACTCTTTCCGACAACGTCTTGATGTCGGCAAGCGCCACGGCAGGCAAGTGGCGGGCGACAGGAGCTCCAGACACGACTGGTACGTTGCCCTCCTCGACGGGCTCTCCCTTCACAATGACGTCGCCGCCTCCAGACTCCTCGGCAGTGGCCTGCTTGCCCTCGGAACTCGGCTCATTGGCATCTGTGATCGACCTCAGCTTGTCTACCAGAACGTCGCGAGCATCGGCCACCATGACGAAGTTGGCCCAGCACGACACTCGAAGAGAATTCTCGCAGCCGTCCATCATATCTTGGAGGTGCTCCCGCAACGCACCAGACGACCACCTCGTCGAGCAATCCAAGAGGTCAGATACGCACGACTGCACGTGCGCAATCGTCCTTTGCATGGTAGCCATGTCCACGCGTCTGCCTTCGATGCCATTCATCAGCCAAGCCGCACCATCCTCGATAGCGGGGCCCATGCACTTGATGAAGTACTCCTCCGACGCGCTGAACTTCTGCTCCACGATCTCATCCTCGATGCCCGCCTGCGCTAGCTCTTTAGCGCAGCCCATCGCCAACCTCGTCACCTCGTACCCTGTCTCGGGAAGGCCCGCCATGGCCCTGGCGAAGTCCGACAACGGAGGAGCGTCCGAGCGCGCCGCCGCGATGATGTCTCGGCGCGCCAGCCGAACTTTTGCAACCTCTGGCTTCTTCCTATCATCGTGGGAGGCGCTCTGCCAAATCACCGAACAACTGTGAAGCATGTTGGAGAAAGTCTGGGCGCCGGTCTGCCCGCACATCACGTCGTCCCATTTGGCGCTCACAGCCGCGATCTCCTTGATTAACACATCCACAGACTTCGCATCCTTCATCGCCTCGCAAGGGCAAGGGGGGACATATTGTCGGGGACTGACCTCGGCCTGAAGCCAATGACCCAAGATCAGTTCAGACAAATCAGACGCGTCAACTACCAGGTCAGACACCATTGGACGACCCTGAAGCAATGTTCAAACCAGAACCCAAAGCCAGACAACATCGCCCATGACCCACGAGTAGACATAATCCGACGGGCCTGAAGCCCATGAGCCACCAGCCCCTGGACCTCCTGATCCGAACGCGTCAGCCAGCGCCCGACGCTCGATGAGGGACAGACCCTCATGAGGCCCACGTTCGCATTTTTACCAGGGGTGCTTAGACTGGCGACTTCTCCTAAGCATATCGTTAAACTCCCTGTGCCCGACTTGGGTCTACTCCCTCCTCCACCTCCACCTGCGTCGTCTCCTGCCTGCGCCCCCCCCTATTGGGCCCCTCGGGAGGCCCCCGCCCCACGCGCGAGCCGAGAGAACACAGCCCGACGAGGCCACCCCGACCCAGACGCAAACAGTTGGCCCAGCAATCGCCTTCGCGGGGATCCTGTAGAAGACCTGCTTGAAGCATTCGGACAAGGTCTTGAATACGTGGACGGGCGGCGGCTTGAGCAGCTCGGGAAACATCCGCCACCGTGCCTCGAGGCATGGAGTGGGCGTGTCCCCAAGTACTTTGCCCCATCCCTTGAGCCTCAGTCCCCAGCCCCAAGGGGGCCTGGGCCAGAGCCCAAATTGCAGCATCTCTCGGGGCTCACCGCGTGCTGGCGTGCCCCCCCTGGGGCTTGGCGCAGCCTCTCGCGCGACTTGTTCCGACCCAAGAGGGTCCCGAGATTGGCCAAGAGGGCCCCGAGAGGTTCCCGAGGATTGTCCAAGACGCCCCCGAGTCGCCGACATATCGCCCCAAGACGCCCAACATGGCCCCACGACTGCCGAAGAGGCCTCCAAGACCCAAGATGCCGCCCACGAGGGCCCAACAGGCACCAGTCGTTGATTTTCATTGGTTTCTTCTATGTTGGTTCCCTCATCGCCGTTTCGGCTTTCCGACGCTCCAAGACGGCCCAAGAGCCCCCCAAGATCGTTACACGGCGGCCCACGATGCCCCCAGGGCGTCCCCACGACGGCCCCAAAGGGCACCAAGACGGTCCAAGAGCCGCCCAGGACGACCCAAGGGGCCCCCAAGACAGGCGGAATGAGGGTCTCGGAGTGCGACCAACAACTGGAAACCTTAGCTTTCCGCCCCAAGACGCCTTCCAGGGGGCCCCAAGGGGCCCCAAGGAGGCCCCAGGAGGCTTCCGAACGGCCTTGGGGACGCCCCAAGCAAGAGGCCTAACATATGTCCCAAGACGCTCCAACATGACCCCCAAGAGGCCCCACACTTGCCTACCAGAGGCCCCCCGAGAGGCCAGCCACGAGATCCCAACTAACGTCCATGCGGTCTCTGGCCCTCCCCTAGGCACACGTACCACATGAGGCATACAACGGACATGTGACATGCTTCAAGTGGTACCGAAACAGCATACCGCCGCCATGTTTCAATTGGAATTTGTTGGGTACAATTTGAGGCATACCGACGGCATGCCTACAGTGGTACGTGAGTGGTACCGCTTGGCGCATACAACGGGCATGCCTCAAGTGGTACGCGTTCGGTGCCGCTTCATGCATACTGCCGACATGCCTCAAGTGGTATTTGCTTGGTACCATGTGAGGCATGCGCCCGACGTGCCTCACGTGCATGCACACAGCGGGCATGCGGCATGCCTCAAGTGAGGCTTGTTCGATACCATTTGAGGCGTACCCCCGACATGCCTCGAGTGGTACTTGTTCGGCACCCCTTGGGCATACAGACGGCATCGGCCCCAGACCGACCACCCAAGCACGGTGGCGGGATGTGCCGAAGGCCAGTCAGATATCGAACATGACGTGAGCCCCCTGCTTCTGTGACGCCTTCTTCGCCGTCGCCTTCATCCGTTTCCTCCTCTTCGTACCTGTGTCGTCGCCTTCGTCTGAGCTGCGCTGTTCGTCCTTTGCGTTGGCACCTTTCTCATCATCGTCGGCACTCGCAAGTGTCTTCCAGTACTCCTGGATCTTCCCGTGGGAGATCGCGAGATCCTTGGCGTCCAACGTCGCAAGTGCATCAACAATGCTATTGCCATCGATGAAGGTCTGGACAAAGACAGCGTGGGCGTGCACGGCGGACAGGTCGGGGGCCAGGTCCCGATCTATAGCCTTGAGGAACGCCCTGATGACGTTGAATGGCTTCAGGGTGGCAACTAACTCGGACGACTTGCGGGTATCGAGGTAAGCTTTCAGGCCCTTATGCAACAGAATGGGTGCGGCGGCGCGACTGGCGAGCTGCTTGTAGGCAATCTCCAACTCGAGGTCGACCCCGCCGACGCAGTCGCCCGCGTAGTCCGTGAGGCGGCGCATGAGAGATTGCATGGTGCTTGGGATGTAGGCGTCGAACCACTCCATCGTGGCCAGTCGAACGCAATGGACGTCATTGAGCGTGCCCCGTATCCGACTCAAACCACCACGCACGACGCCGCTCGGCAACTTCGCATCGATGGACCACCTGTGAATTGTCGAGCCATCATCATCGACACCGCCGAGGGCCTGCTCCCGCTGGATCACGCTGTCGTCGGTGTCCCGCGGGCGTGCGATCGAGATGCCTGACTCCAACGCCTCCTGGAGGTCGATTGCAGCTTTCCTGCTGAGCCGTCCTTGCCGCTGGGGCTGCACCGCGTCCGCTACGGCGCATGCGTCACCCCTCGAAGAAGCAGACGGCGACTGCCTCTTCTCGGCCTTCGGGCGCTTGCAAGCGCTGGGAGGCGGGAACGCCGCGGGCGTCCTGGGTGGAATCACATCCGACAGGTGCACGGCTGACTTGCAAGGCATCGGCGTGGGCGGCTCACTCTTCATCTCAACCTGCTCTGCCACCGAGGAACCAGCATCGGCCTCATTCAACCATAATGCATCCTCCACGCCGAAACCGCCAATCGCTGACTGGCTCTCCGTTTTGTCATCGCACATGCCGAGCAGAACTACAAGTGGCGGACAACGCTCGGTCAAGCGTCACTATGCAAGAACTTCTCGAGCCTCGATTGCATCAGTTGGACTTCCATCAACGCTGAGAACGTCGGCTCTCGCTCTTGGACCCCCAGCTGTTACATACTCATTCGACTCTCATCGCCATTGCCATCCGACTCATCATCATTAGCCCCAAGCTTTAGCGACGTCAACCCAAACATATGCAGCTTGGGCCCCAAACAGTAGCATCATGGACCCCAAACAAATATAGCGTGGACCCCAAACAGTAGCAACATAGACCATCGACCCCAAACGGTAGCGCATGGACCCCACACAGTACAGCACAACCCAATACAGCGCGACTCAGGCAAACTCCGGTTTAAGTGCAGTGATGGCGTGCATTGTGTTATGGCGTTGGTAATGCGCATGATTATGGCACTGGTGACGGTGATGGTGATAGACCCGAAGAGGGAGCCTTCGCCACCAACACGGTCACGCTTGAACTTGCCATTCTGGCTCAAACATGTGACTGTGTGGCTAAGATCACCTGCATCCTGCTCAGGCATCCGTGGGGCGGGTTCTCTCCTCCTCGGGAGGGAGGCACCTTTAGGCCATCTTCGAAAGAGCCCTTAGTGAGCTCCGAGGGAAAACCAAGCAGGCGTCAAGCTGGCCCGAACAAGGCACCCAGAGGGTTAACAACAACCGCGCCGAGTTGCGGCGACCTATTAGCAACAACACGTGCTGTGCCAGGCTCGCCCCCACCGCGGGGGCGCCCACCGTCGCCGCCGCGCGAAGATGATGAGAGCGAGCTTGGCACGGCACGTTTCGTTGCTAATAGGCGGCCGCTCAGGGCGACGGCATATTGGCAAAGACCTTTGGGAACGATATGAATGACATCCGCCACCGTGCCTCGCACGTTGGGGCGCGTTAGAAGTTTGACTGTTTTCTGTGTCCTTCTGCGATGGCTTTTACATATTTTCTAGGCCCCCCCCCCGCCCCCCACCGCGCGCGCCGCGGGGTGTCGGTTTGGCTGATCTTTGGGGGGGTGCTTGTGGTGGCGGATCGTCGGGTGTGTTTGTTTTGGCTGATCGTTGGGGGTGTTCGTTGCGCGGCGGATGGCGGATCCTTGGGGGCGATCGGTTTGGCAGGGCTTTGGGGGTGTTCGTGTTGGGCGATCGTTGGGGGTGCTCGTGTTGGCGGATCTTTGGGGGTGCTTGGCTTGGCAGATCGTTGGAGGTGCTCGTTCCGCGGCGGATGTCTGATCCTTGAGAGTGCTCGTTTTAGCTGATACGTGGGGGTGCTCGTTTTGGCGGGTCCCTGGGGGTGCTCGTTTTGGCGGGTCGATGGGGGTGTTTGTTTTGGCTGATATTTGAGGTCCTCGTTCCGTGGCGGATGGCTGATATTTGGGAGGTGCTCGGTTTGGAGGATGTGTGGTGGTGCTCGTTGTGGTTGCCCGTTGATGGTGTTTGTAGTGGCGGGTCGTTGAGGGTGCTCTTTCCGTGGGGGGTGGCGGACCCTTGGGGGTGCTCGTTTTGGCGGGTCGTTGGGGGTGCTCTTGATGGTGGATGGTTGGGGGTGCGCGTTCGGTAGCGCGCTCGGTTTGGCTGATATGGTTGGGGTGCTCGTGTTGGCTGATCTTTGGGGGTGTTTGTTTTCGTGGATCTCTGGGGGTGCTCGTTCCGCGGCGGGTGGCGGATCCGTGGGGGGGGGGGGGGCGCTCGGTGTGGCGGGTTTTTGGAGGCGCTCGTTTGGTTGATCTTTGGGGGTGTTCGTTCTGCGGCGGATCACAGGCAGGTAGGAGGAGGAGGAGGAGGAGGAAGACAATCACGTGCTCAACCGAGCCTGCGCTGAACGCTGAACGATCCCCAAACAGCCCACCCAATCTAATTGGCCGCAAACGACTGCTGTGCCAGCAGCGGCAATGGCGAGAAGCTCGGAACTGGAACGTGAGCACGCGTCCTGCCCTCGTCCCACCCCTGACCCTAATCGTTAAATGCTATATACGACGATCGTGCTCGCGATGCTCATCGTCCGCCGCCTTCCCACCTCCCCATGCCGCAGAAAAAAAAAGCAGGCGACGCTGGTACCCAGCATGCAGCTGAGTTGCTAACTAAACGGGCTCTTCTCGCACGGCAGAGCAAACCGAGACGCCGCGCCCCTGAGCTGATGGCCGACCATTCTGAAGGGGCATTCGGAAGACTCTTGCTGCTGATTCGCCTCGGGTGCATTCCCGAGCAATGTCCAGCGGCGCTTCTTAGGCAAAGGCAAAGGCGACGGGCTCTTCGGATCGCACGGCAGATCGCCACCGTCCGCAAACCGAGCCAACATCATGTCGCTGCACCCTTCCTTCGACGGGGCCGCACCTGAGCTCGAAAACTTGATCGGTGTCTCAAGCCGTTCAGCCGAACACGGCGGAGGAATTGTGAGGAATCTGAAGCCTTCACGCGTCTCCTTGACAGGGCTGTCCTCTACCTGCACGACATCGTCACTCAGGTTCTGACAGGGCCGCTGCGGCGAATCAGATCGTTCGCTATCAGTCTTAGCACACTCCTCATGCAGCCGCTGGGCAGGCTCGGGACGATACTCAGGCTCCTTCGCAACGGGACGAGAAAAACACAGATTCGCATCGAATCGCAACGGTCCTACTTGAGGAAGGGTCGGGACGTCAGGCCCAGCAGGGTCAAGGCGGCCTGCAGTCACGAGTTCCGAATACCTCGAACTGCTCTCGACGCTGTTGTCGACTCTCCCAGTCCAGCCCGATTCCACGATTGCAGAGGGCACTTCCATAGGAACGTGTTCTGGCTCATCAACCTTTCCTCCGACAAGCAATAGCGTTGCTGGAATCTCGATGTCGATGCGCTTCTCGAATCCAACGGGCTGGCCTGGAAGAGTGGCCACGAGCTGAAGGCCCCCAACAAGCTCAAAGCCCATCGAAGAAGATGCCATGCGCGAGTTTAGGCAAGCTAGATGGACAATGCAATGCCGAATAACTGACACAACGCGCCCAAATCTAAGCCGTAAACATGGGCTACGAGTTGGGAGATCAGCTGCGAAACCATTAGGGTACCAGGTACTTCGTTGCCAGACCACCCCGTACATCATTAAACCTAGTCCGGTTTGGTCGCACGGGCCCTAAACAGACCCCAGACATTGCCAGCATTGAACCCAACCAGTACCAGCGGCGACCCCAAACAGCATTAGCGTGAACGCCACATTGGAGAAGCAATGGCCCCAAACAGTATGAGTATCAAATGCAAGAGTGGACCCCAAACAGTAGCAGCGTGACCTCAAGCAGCAACGGCGCGAACACCGTGCTGGAACAGCATTGACCCCAAACGCTATGAGTATAAAGTGCCAGTGACAACCCCAAACACTAGCAGCGTGGACCACCAAGTAAGAGCAGCGACGAAACCGTTCGGACCACCAAGTAAGAGCGGCGCCGAAACAATTCACCCGAAACGATTGACCTCAAATATTGCGAACCCCAGACAGTGGGCATCGCACAATGCACATCAACTCTGGGCGGCGGACGGCAGCTAGCAAAACAGAACCCATATCCTCAATGCTCCTCGCTCCTCGGCCTCTCCTCGCCCCCTCGCTCCCACGCCCTCCTAGGCTCACACAGCGAAGGAACATTCTCGCTCGGGCTTCATCAAACACTTAAACAGCTCGTCTGAGCTCAAACCGATGCCTCCTGCGAAGCCGTCAGGTGGCTGGGCGGCGCTGCAACGAGCCTGGAGCGGATGCCGTCAGCACTATGCGAGGCACTTCGCATTGAGGAGCAAGGCGGAGCAGATAGAACGACGTGGCACGATTGAGAAACATGAACATGACATGATATGGTAGCACGCTTTAGTTGAGGAGGCGCCGAGGAGGACACGACTGAAGATGATTGGGGAAGGCTGAACCGCATCCGCGAGCCAACAGCTCGACAAAACATTGCCACCGCCTACACCATCCAGCTCACTCGCTCTCTGAAGACGAGGTCTCCTCATCTGGATCTGCGGCGCCCTGCGCCACCTCCGCGTCGGGCTGCTCACATGAAAGCGTGCTGATATCCTGGTGCGCAATCGCCTTGACGCGCAAGTGGGCGCTCTTGCTTGGGATCGCGCACTCCCTGCCGCGGATCTGGGATGCCGTTGCTATCAGCTATCACGCGACCTCCTCCCCCTCCTCCTCTTTTTCCTTCACATCCTCCTTATCCTCCTTCTCCTCCTCATCCTCATCATCATCATCGTCCACCGCCTCACCCTCCTCCTCGCCCAGAAACGTTAAACGTGCGATCCTTCACCGTTTTCTGCGGCGAAGGGAGCACGTGGTTCGCCCTGAGCTTCACGATCCCAGGGATGATGATCCCACCGCGGGTGGTGATCTCCCTGATGGTCACCGCCCGAAGCGCCGACATGACGCGCGCCACGTCTTCAGCAGTCACATGGTGGAGACAGAAGGTGGAAAACAACAAACAGGGGACCTGCCAGTCGCATCGCCATACTTCGAGCTGAAGTTCGAAGTGTGATGATGCGGCTGGCAGGCAATACCCACAGCAGCAGCTGCAACTAGGCGTGGGGCGTGGGCACTGTTGCACTCCCTCTGGCACCTTGGCCATGCGCTCGCCAGGTGCTGCCCAAACGGTAGCAGTCTCCTCGCTGATCGCCGACGTCAGCTGGTGGCGAGGCATCACCCACCGATGCGTAGGAAGTGGCCTCGCTGGCGCCGCTGCTGCTGGAGCTGGCGCCGCGCCCGCCGCAGCCGCTGCAGCTGGCGCCGCCATCGTGGAGCGTAAAACGTGGTGAAGCGTGAAGCAGTCAACCGAAGCTCCCTGGAGCACCTGCGAAAGGAAAGCTCGAGCCTGGGAGCTCTGGCAGGCCAGGACCACCTTGTCATAAGTCATAAGTATCCTCTTTTCGAGTTCTCACTCCTTCACCCCTCCATCCCTCCCCCCTTTCCCTCGCGGGCCCAACATCAAGACTGTGCACTGCACGCGGCATTACAACATGACAAACGCATGCGACCATGACATGGCATGCGCACGACCATGACATGCACAGGGTACCGCGCATGACATGCCATGCACAGACAGACCAAAACAGTAACACATTACTACTACTACGACCATCGCTACTACTACTACTACTGTTTGTTCTTCTACTACTGTTATTTCTACTACTACTGTTACTACTATACCAAACATACGACAGTAAAGCCTAATTAATCGCACGCTGAAGCCAACATGGGGACAACTACCATGGGGAAGCATGCGGGAACGAATAAACATAATGCGAGTAATAAGGGTATCTTGGGAACCATAGCAGACCGCAGGGGGGGGCGGCAATGGGGCTTCACGGGGAGCAACGGGCGGCTACGAGGAATCGTCACGGAAACGCAGAAAACTCTGAGACGATATGGTAAGAGGCCCGACCCCGCGCAAGAAGGGACGACTCGATTAGTCTGGGACACTAAGACACCAATGCGATATCGACATACAGTAAACGCACACCACTGCCCTGGTAAAGATGATGGCGCCGACGCGCCGAAAAAAAAAAAAAAAAAAAAAAAAAAAAAAAAAAAAAAAAAAAAAAAACAACTCGCTCGATGCGGTGGAACGTTACGGACCCCGTGCGAAATGGCAGACGGCGGGGACAACGGCGGCGGGGGACGACGGTAAATTGCTACGCGTGCGACGTTACCAACGAAGGCCGATCGCGTAGTTTTGGGCCGCCCGCACAGGCGAACTCTCGTTTCCAAACAATGGCGAGGGAGGCGGGGGAGGGAGCGGCGGGGGAGCTTGCGCATATGAAAAAAAAATGCCTGGGCCCTGAGGTGCTTCGCATAATACTTACGACATATGATCGTTCCGCGCGCGCAGCGCGCGAAACGGTTTGCAATATTTACTATTCACGGTCGTTTAAGACAGAGGGGGAGGGCGCGCGTGCGTTTGTGGTGGTGGTGGTGGTGGTGGGTGGGTGGGGGGTACTTTGCAATATTTTTGATGGCAGAAAAAAACCTTGAGTTACTTTGCAAAGTTTAGGATGGCACGGCGCGCGCAGGCGGTAAAGCTGCCTGGCAGGGGCGGAGAGAGAGGGAAAACAAGGGTGGGGTTACGGCGGAGGGGGGGGGCAAGGGTTGGATACGCACCGAGACGGCAAGCTGCCTCGAGCGCCCCAGAGGGTGGTGGAGAGGGGAGGAGGGAGCGGCAGGGGAGCTTACAATTAAAAAATAGCAATTGCGTGGGCCCTGAGGTGCTTCGCGCAATACGTACGGTTCACGACCGTTTCGCGCGCGAAGCGCGCGAAACGGTTTGCAATATTTGCGATTCAACGGTACTTTGCAATATTTTTGATGGCGGAAGACTTTGCAAAGTTTCGGATGGCACGGCGCGCGCAGGCGGCGCGTGCCTGGCAGGGGCGGAGAGAGAGGGAAAACAAGGGTGGGGTTACGGCGGGGGGGGGGGGGCAAGGGTTGGATACGCACCGAGACGGCAAGCTGCCTCGAGCGCCCCAGAGGGTGGTGGAGATGGGAGGAGGGAGCGGCAGGGGAGCTTACAATTAAACAAATAGCAATTGCGTGGGCCCTGAGGTGCTTCGCGCAATACGTACGGTTCACGACCGTTTCGCGCGCGAAGCGCGCGAAACGGTTTGCAATATTTGCGATTCAACGGCCGTTTGCGGAAGAGGGGGAGGCAGCGCGTGCGCGCGCGGGGGAGGGCGTGGATACTTTGCAATGTTTACGATGGCGGAATCGGCCCTGTGCAATTTGCGGATGGCACGGCACGCAGGCGGCAACGCTGCCTTGCAGGAGTGGGGGAGGGGAGGGGAGGGGAGGGGGAGGGGTTAAGTGTGGGGAAGCGGAAAATCGGATGCGCACCGCGACGACAAGCTGCCTCATGGGTACCTCAGAGGGTTGCGGAGGGGAGGAGGGCGGTGAGAGGGGGTGCTCAAGGGCGCCTCAGGAATTGGGGGAGGTGGATGGAGGGGGGAGAAGGGGGGGGGCGCGGCCGCGGAGCGAGGGCGGGGGCCACCTCAGAGGGGGCGAAGTGAAGGAGCCATTTCGCTCGGCAGCGCCAGACCGAAGTTGCGTTCGCGAGTTGGTCCGCAAAGTTGCGTTGGTGAGTTGCGTTGGCGAGTTGCGTTGGCGAGTTGAGTTGGCGAGTTGCGTTGGCGAGTTGCGTTGGCGAGTTGCGTTGGGGAGTTGCGTTGGTGAGTTGCGTTGGCGAGTTGAGTTGGCGAGTTGCGTTGGCGAGTTGAGTTGGCGAGTTGAGTTGGCGAGTTGCGTTGGCGAGTTGAGTTGGCGAGTTGCGTTGGCGAGTTGAGTTGGCGAGTTGCGTTGGCGAGTTGAGTTGGCGAGTTGAGTTGGCGAGTTGAGTTCGCGGTGGCCCGGGTGGCCTTCCCAATGGAAATCCTTTAGTGCACCCGCGCGAGTTGCGTTGGCGAGTTGCGTTGGCGAGTTGAGTTGGTGAGTTGCGTTGGCGAGTTGAGTTGGCGAGTTGCGTTGGCGAGTTGAGTTGGCGAGTTGAGTTGGTGAGTTGCGTTGGTGAGTTGAGTTGGTGAGTTGCGTTGATGAGTTGAGTTGGTGAGTTGCGTTGACGAGTTGAGTTGGCGAGTTGCGTTCGCGCGAAGTTGCGTTGGCGCTGCCGCTTCGCTCCACCATCCAACTTCGGGCTTCAGACTTCGCTCCGCCGTTTCGCTCGCCCCCGCCAACTTCGCTCCCTCCTCCACTTTCTACTCGCAACTTCGCTCCCCCATCCAAACTGCCGAGCGCCCAGGCGAGCGGCGAACCGACTTCGCCCCCGCCGACGCGCGTGCCCACCTTCGCTCCGCAGCCAGGCCCCTCTCACCTCGCGCCACCCCTCCGCCCCCCTCCCCCCCCTCCACCTTCCCCGCACCCCTACGCCCCCCCCCCTTCACCACCCCCCGCCCCTTCCCGCCTCGCCCCACCCCCACCCCGCCCACCCAGCCACCCCTTTCCCCCCTCCCTCCCACCCGCACATCACCCCACCACAGCCCAACCCCACGGCGCGCCGCCCCCTCACCCTACCCCCCTCTCAATTCACCCACCCACCCACCCACCCACTCTTCACCCCTCCACCACCGCCACCCGCTCCATCCCGCCCTCGCGTATGTCCCAGATGACCGCGCGACGAATTACCCTGCCAAATCGACACGAACAGTCAGTCTGCATGCAACGTAAACCGTCTACCAACGTTTCGTCTCGGCGCCAAGTGGTTCTGATTCTCCAGGCCGAACGCGATCGCCAACAGGGGCTTCGCGTCGCGCCACCGATACAGAGTCCCAAACTCAGCGAGCAAGTGTGCCACGGACTACGAGCGCATCTGCAAGCCCGTTGCGCCTCGGGCAGCGCCAAGCTGGGCGGCGAGAGAGGCCGCGTCGCTCGGCGGCGCGTGCTTGCGGTCTCCGGAAAACATCAAGTTGTGGCAACCTCTGGGGATGAAGGTGCTTGAAGGGGGCGCGGCTCGTGATTCATGAAACTTTAGCGCTCCTCCTCCCCCTCCTTATCCTCCTCCTCCTCCCTCTCCTCCTCCTCCTCCTCCTCCTCCTCCTTTCTCCTCCTCCTCGTCCTCGGTCCTTCCTGCTTTCCTTCTCCTCCTCCTCTCCTCCTCCTCCTCCCCCCCTCTCTCCCTCTCCTCCTCCTCCCCCTGCCGCCTCCTCCTCATCCTCCTCATCCTCCTCGCTCTTCCTCCTCCTCCAGCCTCCTCCTTCCTCCTCCTCCTCCTCCTCCCTCCTCTCCTCCTCCCTCCTCCTCCTTCTCTCTTTCCTCTTGGTTCCCCCCCCCCCCCCCCCCCCCCCCCCCCCCCCTCGCCTCCCGCATTCGCGGGCTTGGCGCTCGCGCTGGCAGCGAATCCCGAGAACGCACGAAACGCGAACGTACACACAGAGAACCAGACAATGCGCCCTCCCCCATCACCGACCTGCCCCTATCCCCCTGACCGCCGACCAATCGGCCGCGCGCCGTCGATGGCCGCCTCTGCAGCGTTGCTGCCGCCGCTGCCACAACTGCCGCCGTTGCGGCCGCGGCCGCCGCGGCCGCGGTTTCTGCTGCCGCCGCGACCGCGAACGCGGTTCCCACGGACGCTGCCGCGTCTGCCGCGGCCACGGCGGGCCCAGCGCCGCCGCTGCGGTTGCCGCGCCTGCGGCAGCCTCAAAGGGCCGCCTGCGCGGATGCGTCCGCCGCTTGGTGCGCGTTCCTGCTGCCAGCGAGTCCTGCTTCCAGGATTGCGAATCTCTGGGCGTCGCCCTCGGGCCACGCCACCTCGCTCTTCGCGGCGCCGAATGGGGCCCCCTCGTCGATGGGGCAGCGAGCGCGCGTTGCTGCGTCGACGGCGGCGCAGAAGGACTTGGGGCCCTCGCGGGCGCCGCCCTGCGCGAATCCGCGCGCGCTGGCTGCGCGGCGCAGCTTGCCGCCGCGACGACGGGCGCGCTCGCCCTGGGGGCGCCCCGTTCGCTCAACGTACTTCTGGGGCGGAGCCACTTGGGCCAATTGGGAAGCGTCCGTGGGACCGCGTGCTCGAACTCGTCGCCGCGGCGCTGCGCCAGCCGAACGCGCGCGTCGCGCCGCGGAAAGAAACTCGACAAAGCCTCAATTGGGGCCGCCGCGCCGCGGCAAAGCGCCCCGAGCTCCGACGTGGCAGCTGGCCCGCATAAGTGCAGCCAGGCCGAACCCTCAACCGAAGTCGATGAGGGTCACCTGGCCGCCGCGGGGGTCCAGCAGGAGGTCCGTGGACCCTGCCCGCAGAGTGCCACCTCTGATGGCAGGGCTGGCCGCGCGGGTCAAACGAATTGGTGCGTGTCAGTGCGCGAATTGGTGGTGGCGTGTGTTGTTGTTCTGGTCTCGGTGGTGGCGACGGTCATGATGGTGGCGATGGTGGTGGTGCGCGTTGCGGCTGTGGCGTCGGCGGCGGTGGCGCTGGGTTGCTGGTCGTTTGCTCCAACGCGCCCGCCCGACATAGGACGCCCTGATGACATCGAGGGACCATCGTCGGAATGGGTTGCAAGCATGTGCGGGGAAGACGTCGGCAACGCACGTTGGCCATAAAAAAACGTCGCTGCGCAAGCGCTGCGCAGAGGCGACGGTGCCGAGCCTCCATCCCATCTCGCAGCGCGAAACTGCAGGTGACAAGGCCGTGGGGCGTCGAGCCTCGGCCCTAAATCGCGACGTCGACCCTCGGCCCATCTCGCGGGGCCTCTGCTATTGCCTCGGCACCTTTCTCGCGAGGCCACATGAGGCGCGCGCGCGCGCCCTCGTGGCGCGCGCGCGCCAGAGAACGTCGACAGGTGAAACGAGGGCTGCAAAGGGGTGGGGTGGGGTGGGGTGGGGTGGTTTGGGTGTGGTGGTGGTGGTGGTGGTGGGTGGTGGTGGTGGTGGTGGGTGGTGGTGATGCGGTGTGGTTGGGGTGCGTGGTGTTGTGTGTGTGTGTGTGTGGTGGTGTGTGTGTGGTGGGTGTGTGTGTGTGTGTGTGTGTGTGTTGTTGTGTAGTGTTGTGTATGGTGTGTTGTGTGTGTGTGTTGTGTGTGGTGTGTGTGTGTGGTGTGTGTGTGTGGTGTGTGTGTTGTGTGTGTGTGTGTGTATGTGGGGGGGGGGGAGGGGGGGGGGGGGGGGGGGGGGGGGGGGGGGGGGGGGGGGGGGGTGAGGGGGAGGGAACGGCGATGGGGGAAGAACGGGGGGGGGGGGGGGGCGGAGAGAGGAGGGGGAGGGGGGGACAATGAGGAGAGGAGTAAGCAATGAAAGAAGGATGGAAACTGAGGGGCATTGAGGAGCGGCGGAAATGGTTGGAGGGTAAGAACCGAGGAATGCGGAATACGAGGGGTGCCAAACACAGGAGCGGATAAAGGAAAAAGAAAAGAAACAAAAGAAGAAAATGTAATAAAAAAGGGGTAGAGATGGAACGAACAAGAAGAAGAAGAAGAAGAAGAAACGGGGGACAAGGAGGGACAGGAACAGAAAGGACGAAGGAAGGAAGCGGGGGGAGGGAACAGCGAGGAGAAAGAAGGAAGGAGGAAGGAAGATGAAGGAATGGGATGAGGGGGGAAAGCCCAGGGATGATAATAGAGAAAAAAGGGCGGAGGGAGGAGGGAGGAGGGAGGGCGAAGGGGGAAGGATGGTGGATGTAGGCTGAGGGAGGGGGGAAGAAGTGGAGAAAGACGAAGGGGGGGGGGGAGGATAGGGAGAACGAGGGGAAAAGGAGGAGGGGGAGGAGCAGGAGGAGGAGGAGGAAGACACAGAGGAACAGTGAGGAGGAACAGGCACGACACTGTCATCAGGGACACGGGGAACAACAAGGAGGAAGGATGGAGGAGGAGGAACAGGAGGAGAAAGGAGGAAGGTTGGAGGAATGATCAGGGAGAATTGAGGAGGGAGGAGGGGTGAGGGAGGAAGGAAGATGGAGGGAGGAGAGGTGAGGACGGAAAAGGCAGGGGGGGGTGAGGGAGGAGGAGGATGAGGATGAGGAGGAAGAGGGAGAGGAGGGGGGATGATGGGGAGGAGGAGGAGGAGGAACTGGAGAAGGAGGGGGGGGGGGGAGCAGGAGGAAAAGGAGGATTGCATCCAGAAGGCTTTACCCTGCTGTGCGCGGTCGTTGCGCCGACGGCGCGCCGGCGCCAACGCGGGGCGCGCGATCGGACGACGACGGGCGACAACGACGACGGACGACGACGATTGACGAAGACGATCGACGACGACATGCGACGACCGACGGGCGACGAATGACCGACGGACGACGCTGAACGACGCATGACCGACGAACGAACGACGAACGAACGATCACGCGGGACGACGGACGAGTGGCGACAAAAGGTTGCGGGGGCGGATGGGCGGGTGGGCAGGGGCAGGTGGGTGACGAAATTGATGTTTTTAGAGTGGGCGCATTGGGGGTACTAAGGTAACACGACGGTCGGATCTAAACAGATACATGAAACTTGTTACCACAGGCTACACTATAGATACATACCGACACCTACGGATAATGATATACATGCAGGTGCTAAATACAACAACCATCTGTTTGCTACACATACTTGGGTACAACGGTGCAAACCGAAACATAACATGACAGTTACGAGTGGACGCACACGATCATATCGAGACACCACCACTGACACATAACATTGTTACACATGCCACGTACACACATAGACACACAACCCTCTATACATTACATAGTTCCTTGTGTGAGGTTATTGGATTTTGTTTTAGGGCAGAACCCACTTCCCCCTCCCCTCCCTCCCCACGCGCGCGCCTCGAGAACCGCGGAGGTCACTCTTTTTGGCACCCCCCGCGGGGGCCGTGGCTGAGGGGGGGGGGTCCAAGGGATTACCATTGTCTACACCCCTCGCGAGGATCGTGGCCTCAGCCGTGCTGCGCCATTTCCCCCATGAGTTTGGGGAGATCTATGGTTCGACGCACCTCGCGAAGATCTGAGCCTCCGAGTGGGGGGCCGATATCGCCCACCCCCCTCTCCCGCCCCAAGATACCGCCAAATGCCCTCCAAGAGGCCCCGGGGACCGCCAAGGAGCCCCAAGATGCCCCAAAGAGGCGCCCGCGAGACGCCAAAGAGGCCCCGTGAGGCACCGCACCTGCTTCCAAGAGGCTTCCAGATGCCTCGAGTCTGCCTCGCAGGGGCCCTGCAGAGGCCAACCACGAGCTCCCAACCAACACCCGCGACGCCTCTGACCCATCGCCCAGGCACAGCGACAGGGGCTGCCGCAAGCCATGTGGATCGAATGTTACACGTTACACGTAACATACCGTAGATGAACACACTTACACGCACATACACATCTACATGCACATGCATATACACACACACATACATGCAAACAGCATCACCTACAGACATACACACATACACATACAGACATATAGCTACATGTATCTACATGCACAAACATGCATACATGCGGAAATACGCATTCAGAACATGCAAGCCCAATTTGTGCGAACAGAGACGCACACCGAAGCATGAGTGGCACTGCGAATCCCTCATTGTCACTGCGTGCGCCCACTTGGCTTCTGGAAACTAACCCCTCCATGGAGCATCGTTCCTGGATAGATGAACGCCGTTTCTGGATGGGCTGGTGATGTCGCTTCGGGGTGGGCCAGGGCAGGCTGGCATCGCTTCTGGATGGGCTTGGCTGGCATCGTTTCTGGATAGGTTGGCAACTGGCATTGCCTCTGAATGGGCTGGGCTGGCATCGCCTCTGGATGAGCTGGCTCGACCGCTGTTCTTCGGGTCCCAGCGGCTGGGCTGACAGTTCAATATCTGCAGTTCCGAGGCTGGACGGCTGGCGACATCGGAGAATCGTTTCTGGATGGGCCACCGTTTCTGGAAGACCTGATGGGGGGCTCTTTGATGTTTTCACCAGGAGGCGCAGGTGCCGCTTTGGCTGTGGCCTTCTTGTTCACGTACCACCTGTCTTTGGCCAGCTGCGCGCGCCGCTGCATGAGCTCTCGCCGCTCCGCGGCGGACGCGCCAGGGGCTGCTGCTGGCACCTCGAACAGCCAGGTCTTCAAGACCTCGTCCGATGGGCACCGACTCTCGCCGATGCACAGCCTGCAGCCAGCATGCATACCCGCCACCGTGCCTCGAGGCACGGAGTGGGCGTGCCGTCGGGCTTTCTGCCGCATCCCTTGAATTTCAGGCCTCAACCCCGAGGAATCATCCAGGGGACCAGCGCCCAACTTGTAAAATATCTCTGGTCCACCCGCGTGCAGGCGCATCACTATGCATCAAGTGGTACGTGATCGGTACCACTGGAAGCATACTGACGGCATGCCCCAAGTGGTACTTCATCGGTCCCACTTGAGGCATACAACGGGCATGCCTCAAGTGCTACCTACTCGGTACCACTTGAGGCATATTGCCAACATGCTTCAAGTGGTATGTTGCTCGGTACCACTTGAGGCACATTGGCGACATGCTCCGAATGGTACTTGGTCGGTACAACTTGAGGCATGCAACGGCCATGTCCCAAGTGACACGTATTCGGTACCACTTGAGGCATATTGCAGAGATGCTTCAAGTGGTACTTGTTCCGCTGGCGAGGCGCAGCGGAGGGCGGGGCACACTGCCGACATATGCCCCCGACCGACAACTCAGGCGCGGTGGCGGGATGCGCCGAAGGCCAGTATGATAGCAATTCACTGTCACGCTGTTGACAGGATGACCGCGCAAAATGCGCAACACCTGGCGACCATCCATGTGGAAGTATCCACTCGGCGTCGGGCCAACGAGATCATGCGGCCCTGGCGGCGGCGGCGGGAGCGGTGCCGCAGGCGCGGGCGGCTCCTCGGCCTCGCCAGGCTCAGGCCCCAGGCCGACGTCAGCAGCGCCGTCTGCCGCTCCAGCTGCGATCTCATCGGGCACTTCAGCTGGTACCCCAAGAAGCTCAGCACCGCGAGCATCGTCATGCTCGTCCAAGTCCCCGCCGTCCTCGCCGACCAGTCCTGGAGGGTGCCCCTCGATGACGCCGTCCTCCAAGCCGAACGTGTCGCCCAGCTCCTCCATGCCGTCGAGGTCGGCATCCTCGGCCTCGTGTTCCAGCATGTCCATCTCCTCGCCAATCGCCGCGCCAGCTGGTAGCAAGTCGTCGACCAACGGCGGCATGTCAACGTCGTCGACGTCGCCGTGGGCGTCGGGGCCGCCGCCGAGACCCTCGCCATCTACGGCTCCGTGGCCGCGGCCTCTGCCCGCGCCCCCTCCGCGGCGGCCGCCGCGCCCGGCGCCGCGCCCAGCGCCGCGCCCAGCGCCGCGCCCAACACCGCGCCCAGGAGGCGCCTCGAAGAGGTCGCTGGTGTTCAGCCTCCCCAGGTCGGACGCAGAAGGCCCACGGCTGCTGGGGCTCTGGTGCCCGAACGGGCGCGTCATCCCCGCCCTCCACAGCTCACCCTGCAAGTGCACAGCTGAGATCCTGCTCCACTTCAGACTGTTATCAACATCGACATCCACGTCGTAATCCACTAAGTACAAATCCATGTCGATCAGGTTCCGAACCAACTTCAGTACAAAGTGATATGAATATTCATAGGCAATACAACGAAATCGACCAGCGCTCCTACAGTTCTGAACATCGATCTCCACAAGACACAGCGTGTGTAGCACGTCGCTGTGGGCATTCGCTCTCACTTGGAACGTGTTCGGTGCGATATCAAACACCTTGGGTCGATGGGCAACCTAGGAGCACAGCGCGCGGCGCCCTTAAGGAGGATGAGGCGGAGAAGGAGGATGGGGAGGAAGGGAAAGGGTTTCTTAGGCGGCGTCTTGGCTTCAATCTCGCCCCCCCGCTCCCCGAACCGTGGGCCATGGGTGGTCACCAAGAGGGAGCGGCATGATTCATCATGGACACTGGTGTCTACCGCGGCTCTCCTGAGAGCCTGAGGGCGCTCTTGGGCGGGGGCGGAGGAGGAGGGGGAGGGGGGGGGGGAAGAGGAGGAGGGGGAGGAGACGGAGGAGGAGGACGAGGAGGATGGGCGAGGATGGGCGAGGAGGAGGAGGAGGAGGAGGAGGAGGAGGAGGAGGAGGAGGGAGATGAGGAGGACCCCAAGACCGTGATATTGTGATGCTATGCTGTCCCAAGAGCCCAAGATGGTCGCAAGACGGCGTCACAGGCGGCGCCCCCCGATAGCCCCCCCCCAAAAAAAAACGGCGCGCAGACTGCCACCTCGAGAGCCTTCAGAGCGTGCTCAGAACCCCTTTTATTACAATTTGACTCCCCCCGTGGAATTCCGTGGCCAAGGCAACTCGTTCGGATGTCGGTCGTTCATGGATGGGCTGACAGGGGTACATGTCTCATGTCGTTTCTGATGGGCTGGGGCATTGGCAATATCGTCTCTGGATGGGATTGGTCGTTAGTGGATGGGCTGACGGGGATGCACTAGCGGACGTCGGGCACATCAGATTTCTGGATGGGCAGTGGTCGTTTCTGGATGGGCTTAGGGAGGGCGGTTACATATTAGCGGACGCATCACCTTCGGATTGTAAAACGTGCCCGAAATGATACCCACGAAGCGCATTCGGCTGGCTGGGTTCTCCAGTGAACGGCCCTCCACCATGATCATCACGTCGCCGACATCGGCGGCGGGTCTCGTTAAACGCGCCAGGAGGTTGTGAATGCCATTTTCTACCAAATGGAACTGCTGAACGTTTGGCACCGTTGCCCGAGGAACAGGCCGAGCGTTCCTGCCGCAGCCCCACAGGCTGAAGTCTGGAAGGTCAGGGATGGGCTCAGCGCGGACGACCAGGTCGTCGGCAGCATCGCACTCGAAGTCTTCCTGCTAGGCGGAAGCATCCGAATGCGATCTGCTGATCCTTCTCTTACTCTTCCTCCTTCTCCTCTTTCTCCTCCTCCTCCTCCCTCCCATCCAGCCTCGATCCCCCTCCCTCCCCCCTCCTACTCCTCCACGTGCCCCTCCTACTCCTCCTCCCCCTCCTCCTCCCGTGCCACCGTGAAGTTTGCAAAATTGTACACCCGCATGTCCTTGGTCGGCCAACCGTGCAATTGATGTTACTCGTAGAACTCCTCGCAGGAGATCGGGGACGAGCGGCAACCTCGACCCCAGGAAGTGGCATGCGCGGGCGCCTGGGCATCAGCGGGCGCCATCTCTGCAGGCGTGTTCTGCCAATCCTCGAAGGCCTCGTGGTGAGCGTCATGATTCATGAGCTGCCACTGTTCCCTGAGCCTGCTGCGAGCCGTGCTCAGCTCCTCGGGCGTCAAGGCGGAGCCCTTCGCCCTCTTCAGACTCGCCAACGTCTTGTTCAATTCCAGCATGTACGGGCTCAATCCGCGCCGACGGGGTGGCAGAGGTCCGCCGCCGTCGCCGCCGCCAGGTGGCCCGCCGCCGCCATCGGCCCCGCCAGCTCCCACCGCCCTCGCGCCCGGCAGGATGGAGGCGTTCGCCAGCACGATCTCCACGGGGCGGTCGACGGCCACGGGCTCAGGCGCCGCGGCGCTCGCAGCAGCGCCATCGGGCCCACCTGCAATTGGAAGAAACTCAGGCCGAGCAGCGGCAATGAGTGGCTGCGCCTGCACTCGAAGGTCCGACGACTTCAGGGCTGCATCTCGCTTCATGCTCAATGGGTCGACGCCGCCGCATTTCTTGTGCACGGCGAGTGCCTGCTGCAGCAGCTGCTCCCTGGACGCCCCGCCGAAGACGCGACCTGGCGCACGATGCACTCGACCAGCCTGAATCTCCGCGTTGAGCCTCTCGATGATGTCGGTGGAGAATCCGAACGTGCGGAAATCAGCCAGCAATGTTTTCCTGCGCGCCTCACTCATCAGCAGAGGCACGGTGTTGAAGCGGTGCTTCACGCCGTGCGCGTGCACGCCGAGCTCCTCGCGCGATGCATCGAGCAGCCGCCGCGCAACATCCCTGCGCTGCTCTTCCGATGAGTGGGCGCTGCAAAGCGTGAAGAGCGGGCGCGGCCAGCTCGAGCACCGAAGATCCCACCTTCGGCTGATCGCAGAACCCAGGCGAAGGATGCATGAACGCGCGAAGCGCGCATAGCCAGGGCCCCTCATCGGCGCATGGGCTGCGTCGAGGATAACCAGCGGATCCCTCTCGCCGCCATGAAGCCACGATTCAAGTACATGCAATAACTCTGACAAACAGTGGCCGAGCAAACTATCCGCCACCGCTGGCACTTGGGCCGCGATGTCGTGCTGTCTGGTGCGGATGATGGTAGTCTTCTACCCCCCTCTGCACGCGCTTCCGCGCGCCCGCGTGCCCCCCCTGGAAATGGGCGCATCGCCTGAGACATCCTCGCCACATCGGGAAGTTGCGTAGGGGGAGGGGACACGCCTTGTCACATGTGACACCAATGGCACATTTCGACATCACGTCTCGGAAGCGTCACGCGCGGTACCTCCGCCGCGTCTGAGCGGGAGAGGCGCCGAGGGCGGGGCAGGCGCCAGCGCCGTCATGTGTGACGAATCGGCCGTTCGAGGCGGACGAACACGGGGACCGCGTCGCCTAGGCCCGTGGAAACAAATAACAGTTCCAAAGGCCAGTGTTCAGGCGTCTATTTCAAACCGACCCGAGATGAACTCCAATATTGCAGAAGAACGCGGCATTATTGTAACGCCAATGTGCGTTGACACCGCCAGTGCTGCATACGTGTTTCGCCTGAGACACCACCTAATAATAACTTCGGCCCCTGGAAAAGTAAAGACGGACGGGCCGCATATGACAACTCTTCTCTCCTTGCCCCCCCCCCGCCGCCCCCCTCCCCTCCCCGCCCCCCCCGCGCCCTGTGCGACGTTCCGATGGCCAGGCCTTAGATTTCAATGCCGCATGCGTCAGAGAATGTCTCGGGCGAAACGGGCGAATGTCTACTTCGTTGCTTCTTCCTCTCCCTCCTCCTCCTCTTCCTCCCCCTCCTCCTCCCCATCCTCCTCCTCCTCCTCCCCTTTCTCCCCCCCATCGTCGTCACCGTCGTCGTTTTCCTGAAGCAGCCGAAGTGACTAAGTGTCACGTGCTACTGTTTCGGCGCCTCCCTCGCGGGAGAATCACCATCGTCATCGCCGCGGTTACCGTTTTCGCAGCAGCAGAAGCCATCATCATCATCATCATCATCAGCATCATCATCATCATCATCATCCCCGCCGTCTTCGTCACATGCAATACCCCTGCCGTCATAACAATCACCAGTGGTGGCCGTCATGGCTGCAGAGGTATTATCGTAGTTTGAAAAACCAAACGCGTCACTTGTAAAACGCACGCGCCCCCTAGCGCAAAAACCACCGACGCGGCTGGGCTGGCACGGTGGCGGGAGCAGCCGCAGGCAATCATATCATCTGGGTCCAGGAGACACTCGAATTTGCTGCGGGCGTCGTCATCCGCGGGCCATGGGTCGCCCAAAAGTGGGTACAACAAACGCCTGTCGATGATGTCCACGGAAACCGTGAGCAAGGCCAGCTCTGGAAAAGTCTTGGGGTCATCAAAATACACGCCCACCCGTGACAGCCGCGACGCATTCACCTCAGCGACGTGCGATTGACATGCCTCGCCGTCGGCGGATTGCGGCATCTCGCTGGCGGCGCCAGGTTTTCTGATCGAACACGGGAACGCCTTCACGCCGATATTGTACACGATTCGCCTCAGCAGCAACTGTTTCATATTGACCAAGGCGTGCGTCCATCTGATTTCTGCTGGAATAGGGCCCCCGCCGCCATACAGCGCATTCGTGACCGAACGAACTGTTCTGTCGTAGCAAGTGTCGGCGTCCCTGCAACACGGCCTGCCAGTTGGCCCGCCCCAGCAATAATGCACCCAATCTCCGTGGAGATCCCCGTTGACCATTCTCATCAATTCACCCGGGTCCTGTACCCTGCGAGACACCTTGCCGTTGGCGCGCTTGTGGTGGTCCGCATCTGGGCGGAAGAGAACATTGATGCACTTGGACAGCGGGCAGGCAATGCCGTCTGGCGGCGGGCCGAGGACCCGTCGCTTGAGCATCTTCTGCACCAGCACTTCGATCGACTCGCATATGCTGGTCCGCACGCCGTCAAGGCGAAGCAAGTTGGCTAAGCTGAAGAGGCGCATTGCGTGGTGCTTGAGCGGTGCAACTTGCAATTTTGTGCGATGTTCTAAGTGCACGCCACCCGTCTCTGGGAACACAAGAAGCCGACCACTGCTGCGCGGAAGCACCATCGTTTCCCATTGGTGACAGAATTGTTTCATCAAGAGGATGTTCCCGGACGCCTTGACACCAGTCAGAGACATCGTGAAGGACGAGAACGAACGCAACAACCGATCAATATTCTCCACGGCGTTGAACTGGAATGGCCGCGGGATTGCCTTCAACACAGCGGGTAGGATCGCATTGGCTGAAGTGCCGCTCACCTTCATCGGGTTGACAAGGACCTGCTCGCAGAACGATCGGCTGATCGCGCTCTCGTCGTTGATGTGGTTGGCCAAGGTCAGCCTGGCGTAACCCCGCTGGCAGATAGTCTGAATGCTCGTGGTTGTCTTCCTGCGGCGGCACCCCATCTTCGGATATGCTGCGAATTTGCAGTTGACCTCGTCCCACAAATGAGCATATGACATGTGGACGAACCGATTGCTGGCACACGGGTGCTGCAAAGCCTTCTCACCGCCGCGGAGGACGTGCTCCACGCCATCATCCTGTCTGGCCTTGATCACGCGGGCTGCGGCGCACACCAACCGCCGAATGTCGATGCCAATGTTCAGCGTGCCCAGGCGTCTGGCAAAGACAATCCTGCTCAAGAAGGTGAAATGTGCTGGTCGGAGGTCGTCCTTTTTGATCCTGCCGACGTGTTTCACGGGCCGCCCGAACAATTGGGCGCATGCAGGGATCAACGTACAAGCCGTGTGCATGTCCCCTTTGAGCTGTTCAAAGTCTTGGCGGAGCTTCGGCTCGCGGCTCTGGGCGCACAACAACATCTTCTTGGAAGGAGCGTGGCTCATGAGCTCGGGCGTCCTTCTCTTGAGATCGAGGCGGGCAGGGGGCGCTGGCGCTGGAAGCGCCAGAGGCGGCGGCACGGCAATGTGATCATCGCCGTCTGCATCTGGAGGGCCGCCTGCAACCAAACCCCCGATCGCCAACGGCATCGGCACATCCTCGATGCGTTGGTCCATGCTGGGTGCGACACAGAAACTGAAGCCTCAACGCAGGGCAGGGGGCCTCAAGCACTGCAAGCTGGAAGCAGGATCTCCTCGGTTTGAGCCAAAACGGCAATACCATCACACCGTCACATCACCACATCAACATTGAACGTATCATCTGAGCATGGTCGTTGTCCACTGCCCATGCCGAACCCCATGCCGAGACGTAGCAAACACTGTTTGAAGAGAGGTTGCAAGCACTGCATGGGGAAACGCTGCAAGCACTGCGCCGAACATAGTACAAACGACGTTTTGTAGTAGAATTGCAAGCGCTGGCTCGGACACTGCGCCAATATAGACTATGCCCACTTTGGTAGGCATCAACATGTGCCTGATTGATGACTGCTGGCGGGGGCATGTGAAGGAGGAGGAGGATGAGGAGGAGGGTGGGGATTCCAATAAAGAGTTTGAGACTGAGGGGGAGGAGGAAGAAGAGGAGGAGGGGGAGGAGGAGCAGGAGGAGCAGGAAGAGGATGAGGATACGGATGATGCAACGGAGAAGAAGGAACGGGGGGGGAAGGGGGAGGAGAAGGAGGAGACGGAAGACGGTGATGATGACGATGGTGACGATGGTGGTTATAACGATGTTAACGGTGAGTCCTTCTGAGAGCGCCACGGGGGCATTGTTTCCACCGCTGGGTCGCAGAGACACTGCGCACGCTGTAAGACGCCCCACGCCCCGCAGGACACTGCAAGCACTGAAAGGCACTAGTGAGACGTTGCAAGCACAGCCTGGACGATTCAAGCACTGTTTGAAGAGCCGCTGCAAGCACTGAGAGGGGAACACTGGCAAGCACTGTTGCCGAGGACGCTGCAGGCACTGTTTTTGGAAAAGCTGCAAGCACTGTTTGAGACACGTTGCAAGGACTGCCCGGGACATGTTGTAAGATCTGTTTGGGGAAGTGTTACACGTAAGAAACGTTGGTTGAAACGGGGGGGGGGGGGGCTAAATAATGAGACGAACTGGGGTACTGGGCACGTGAAGACGGGGGGCGGGGATGAACGAGGGAACAGGGGGGCATAATGCGAGGGAGCTAGTTTTTTGCGAGGTCGCGTAGCTCAGCGGTCAGGGCACCGACGCGGAACACAAGGGATTGCCATTTGTCAAACGAATCAAAACTCAACTGGTGCCGCCACCCTGCGCGCCGCATACGGCGGCTTCGACGCAGGCAGTGTCAAGCGGGCCGCGGGAACAACACGGCTGCAATGATGCAAGAGCGGCGCAATTGCGCGACGAAAACAAAGCATCGCGCCCCGCGTCGCTGCCCTGCTAAAGCGACGGGGCACAAACAAACAGGAGCGACCAAGCGTTGGGTGGGGCGCGCGCCCACGGCAAACAAACGATAACTTTCCGCGCAACTAACGCGGGCCTCTGCTGAGACCCGCGGCCCCCATCGCAAAACTTGACCACGAACCACGCAAACCACTGCCGACGCCGCGAGCAGCGAGGATCGCCCGCAGACAATTCACGAACAGATTACACAACTGGCGCGTCAATTGCGATACAGCTAGCGGATGTCAGACGCAAGGGCGGGGTAGACAGTCGAAGCACCAATGCCACTGTCATTCAGGGCGGACGCAGAAGACAAGAGTCGCACCAGCGAGCGGCGCATCGACAATGATGCCCCTACCGCCGTTGGCGGCAGAGGCATGGAGCGAGGGGGCGGCGCGCGCCGACTCTCAACGAGACGCTGCCCCGAACTCAACCGACACACTCGCGTCTCGTAGCAAGCGCGCCGCAGTTGCACATAGAAACGGGTGGCTCGCACGCGCGCAACAAATGCGAATCGCAGGCAAACGTGGATCAGATCGTGCTGCTTCTAAGACAAACATGCAAGTTGCAACGAAAAACACATGAATATTGCATGTAGTTCGCATACCAAGAAGTTGGATGGTGGAGCGAAATGACCCTGCAACTTCCTCGATTTCCTCCATTCTATAGAAACCACCGAACTCTGACCCCCACGGCTACACAACTCATGCTCAGTCTTGCCATCATGCGCAATCCGCGACAGGAGCGTGTAGACGCGCGCGAGGGAACACATTGGACGGCGGAACAGAAACACCTGCACCCAGCAGCCGGCGAGAGACGCCATCAGGGCACGCGTCGAGGAGCCGAGGTACACTTGGATTGAGGCCAGCCTGCAGAGGGCGACCGCGCGGACGAAAGGGGCGCGCGCGATCCCGATCCGCCCTCCGACCTCGGCCCCCGCGACGACCGCGTGGGCCGCGCCGCGGGCGCGCTTCCCCGGGCGCTGAATCAAGCCCGCCCGCAGATAGCCACGGTCGCACGCATCGAAGACTTCCCGAACGCGGCGGCAGGGATCGTCGGGGCGCGGGGCGGACCCGCGCCACGAGAGCTTCTGAAAGCCCGCGTGATCATCAATGTTCAGCATCTCGACGAAGCTACCCCTAGGAAAAGGCCTTCGGAAAGTGACAGCGGCGCACCGCCTGCTCGCGGCGCCGGAAAGCGCCGAGAAGCTGCGGAGGACCCCTTCGTGAGCCGCGTTGGCGATCTCGACGGCCGCATTGTCGCCGACGGCAAGAGCATCGAGGCAGGGCGCGACAGCTGCGCCTGCCAGCTCGGAGCGCCAGGCTCGGAAGGACTTGACGAGGCCCCCCCGGCAACCCGACCCGCAACGCGTTCCTGCGGGCGCGAGCGGGCGGGACACGGAAAGTGTCATAAACCTCCCTCAAACCCTTACAAGAGACATCCATTCCCCAGGGCTGAGTCCGAATCGGCATGACGGAACCCCCTGGCACAGTCGTTGAGCGCCCGAAGAGACAGAGCAGCAACGGCTGTTGACGACCGCAGGGTCAAGAATCAAGCGATCGAGCTCGCTGCCCTGCTGGCCCGCGGGGCACTCTGTCCATGAAAGCCCCATGGCGCCAGGGCCCAGAAATACCAGGCGCGCGATCGGATCGGAAAGAAAGGGAGCGGGATCAAACGTGGGGGAATAATCCCACTTGATGCGGGGCGCCTTGACCTCGAGGTCGAGAGGCTCGACGCGGGCGGGGCCCCGCGACGCCGCGGCGGCGCGTGGCCCAGGCGCAGAGGGCGCAGATGAGGGACGCTGTCGCGCGGGCGCCGGGGCGGCCGAGGAGGAGGTGAAGGAGATCTCCGGAGCTGCAACTGGGGTAGCCAGACCATGGGGCGAGACCCCGGCAGCGTCGAACTTCGCGAAAGCTCGACCTGTGTCGCTCTCGCCGCCGCGGGCAAGGCGAACTGCAATCCGGCGCAGCCGCTCGATGCGGCAGCGAACGCCCTCCGGGCACGGCGAGACCGTCGCTCGCACGAGGCTCGGCTGGCCAAGGTTGAGCCAGTTTAGCGCAATCACGGTGCGCTGCGCAAGTGCGCGAGCGGCGCGCCTTAGACGCAACCGCCCGGCGCGCGGCCGACCAGGGAGGCGGGCGGCGGCAAGATAAGTGGAACGAAAGGGCACGGCCATGGATCGCGGGGAAGCGGCCCGGCGAGAGAACCGCCCCGGCCCGACGGGCGTTGCGATGGGCGAAAGAAAGAAGCCAGAGAACACCGTGGACCCATCCCGACCTGGGCCATAGCAGCCCCCCAGTGGGCCACGTCGATGTTCGCACCTGGATATAAGCGTAGCAAGGCAGACATGTCTGCGACGAAGGGGGCGGTCTGATCGGCCGAAGCCGAGGCGAGCGGGGGGGCAGGGCGCGCGCTGCTTCGCGGCGGGAGCACGGAAACCACTGGAAGCCGGGGAAAAGCAGGGCGGCCCCCCCGACGCAGGGGCAGGCGAAGGCCTCTCAGCGTCCGCGGAGGCGTCGCCGAGGGCAGGCGGGCCAATGGGGGTCCGCAGAGGCAACTGCGCCAGGAGCTGGCGAGCGCAGATCGCGCCGGTCGAACGAATCGAGCCTCCCCCCGCGGCGGCGCAAAGCCCTCGCTGGGAGAGCGCATGCACGCCAGTGCGACCTCGCTCCGCCCAGGCACTCCCGACGGCAGCAGCGGGCGAGGGAGGGGGGCTGCGAAGGCGAAAATGGCCAAAAGAACGCAAGGGCGAAAGAGGACCCGCATCCAGCGGCGGGGCGCGCTTTCCCCCGCGGCGGCGCATCGCCCTCGCTGGAAGAGCCCGCCCCAACCTCCGCGACCGAACTCGGACTCAACGCGCCCACTCGGCCTCGCGGCGGCTCGGCGCCCGCCTCCGCCTTGGGCGGAGTCGAGCCTTCGGGCTCCGGCATCTGCTTTGCCTCCGCCCTCGGCTTGAGGATTGGGGCCTTCGAAGCCGCCGCCCGCTCCGAGCCCGGGCGGGAACGGAAGGGAGACAGCTCCTCCACGCGCCCCCCCCCCCCCATGGGCCGACAGCCAGAGCGCGCCCGCCGGCGGCGAGAACAGGCCGTGAGCCTCCCGTTGCGCGCGCCGGCGCGTCACGCGCGTCGGCCTGCCCTCCGGGCCTGCCAGGGGCCGCGCCGCCTCGTGGCGCCCGCGACCCCCGGCCGGCCGATCCACAAACGTGCGCTGGCAAGATAGCAGGGCCTGGACACGCCACGCGCCCCCCTGTTCGCTGGCTCGCCAGAGCTCGGCACTCAGCCGCTCGAAGTGGGCCGGCAGCTCGCGGGTCGACGTCCGACTGCCCAAGGGACTCTGCTCCCAGAAAAAACCGGAACATAGCCATGGGCGTCGAGTCCTCCAGGCGAATCCTCAAGGCGCTGGCCAAGCCCCCCTGCGTCAGCTCGCTGACTCGAGGCCCGCGCTGAGCGAGCGCTCGCTGCCGCTCGCGACGTCGAGCGACGCCCCGCATCTGAGTCATCGCGGACGCGCCCTCTGCGGGAAGACTCCGCTGTGGCGGCGACGGCTCGGTGAGCGAGCCCGGCGGAGGATGGGGCGCCGCTCGAAGGGCCCGCTAGCGCGCGAGAGCCTCTCGCAGGCGCGCCAGCGCGAGGTCCCGCGTCGATGGCGGAGTCGCAGCTGGGTCCGCAGCTGGGCCGAGGGCCCTCCCGCGGCGGCCTCCTCGGCGACGGCGGGCCCCGGGCCGGGCAGAGGGCCCCGGGGGCGGCCCTCCCGGCAGCGTGGCCAGCGGCGGCGGGGCCCTGACCGACGCGCTCGCGGACCGCGGGGCCCCCCGCGCTGCCGCCAGCCCGGAGGCGGGGGCGCCCGTCTTGGCCTGCGCCCGCTGCGGGGCGGGAGGGGCCCGAAGCTACGCAGGTCGCGCAGCGGGATCCCCAGGCGAGCGGCCACGTCCTCGAACAGCCGAAGGGCGTCGCGGCGAAGCAAGTGGGCCTCCCAGGGGGGGGCCGCCAGTGGCAGCACGGGGGCCCGGTGCTGAAGGGCCGCCTGGGCCGCCATCATCGCGCGCATCTCGGCCGCGACCTCTGCTCTGGTCACGGGGGCACCGTCGCCCATGGGCGCGACCGCTCGACTGGGAGCTCGCGGCTGCGCGGCCGGGACGGGAGAGGCTGCGAGCCCTGCGCATGCCCGGGGCGCCGCGGAGGAGGGGTCGTCACTGGGGCCGCAGGCTCGCGTTCAGCGTCGCCTGCCTCCCCCGGATGGACCCGATCTCCGCGGCGCCCTCCGACCCTGCGTGCGCGGAGTCGCTCGCTCGGCCCCTGTCAGGTCCTCGTCACCATCTGCAGGGGAGGCACCGTGGAAGGTGGCGAACTGCTCGCGGAGCGAGCTGACCACGGACGGACGCGGCAATTAGATTAGGCTCGACTCCGTGTGGTCGCGCAAGGGGCGAGGTCGGCTGGCAGAGCCGCGGGCAGGGGTGACATGGATTCGAGCTCCAGTTCGTCGACGTGCAAGTCGATCACCAGGACGGAAGCCGCGGTGACCATCGCGCGGAAGGCTGCCCCGAGGAGGGGCACGTCCAGCACCGAGTGCGGGCCCAGCAGCCCGGTGAAACCCTCCGCCTCCGCGGCCGCCAGTTCGGCAGCCGAGGGGAAGGATAAGCAGCACGCCACCATCTCGCTGCGCAAGCGGTTTGGTGGCGAAGCTGCGGCCCCCCTCGTCGAGCCGCCACCTGGCGTAGCTCGTCGCAGATGGCATCTCGAAGGGATGCAGCTCGGGCCACACGGGGCCATCTGGAAACGCTGGCACGGCAGCCGTCGCCTCCAGCGTTCAGGGGCAGACGCGCCCGCCGAACCTCGCGTCGGGCCCGCAGCGGAGCCGACAGCGCGCCTTTGGCGGAGGAGCCCGCGCGGGCGGCCCGAAGGCCGACCCGAGGGGACTAGCCCCGAAACGGCGACGCGGGCCGGAAGGCCCGACGCCGCGGAGCCGCGCGAGGCGGCTTGGGGGCCAGGGCCGTAGGCCATGGCCCGAGCAGATGCCCTCGCGGACGCTGGGGTAGGCGCACCCAGCGCGCGGCGAACGCGAGCCAGGTACGGGCCCGCGCAGCGGACCGCCTGGCCCGCGAGACAGCAACCCCCGCAGAAGCTGCAGCAAACGGCCACTCCCAAGAGCGAGAGGACCGTCGCGAGCAGCATAGGTAAGAGACCCCGCCGCTCAAGCCAACCGCCAGCCCGGGGCAGACGGTGGGACAGGAGGCGGAACCCACGGGAGCAGGGCACTCCGCCGTTCCGAAGCCCGCCGCCTGAAACGGCCAGGAAGACCCGAAGGCTGGGGCCTCCTGGTCCGTCAAAGGCAGTGGTCGGCCAGCGAGCCGTTCGAAGAGCGCGGCGCGCAGACCCTGGTACAGCACAGCACCGCCCGCCTCCACCAACCGCTCAACGGCGCGCTGCATCAGCGCGCCGCGGGCCGAAGGGGGGGCGGGGCGGCCACTGGGCCCCAACACTGCAGAGACCGCGGGGGGGGAGTCGTAGAGAATATGAGGAGCAGGCAGCATCGTGATGCAGGAAACACTCCCCGATGACATAAGCGTGACAGGTCAACATGTGTCCAAGAGGACCCAAGAAGATCCCCATAGAGCCAAAACGGCGCAAGGTCAACCTGCTCGACCTACCCTTTGACGACTCATGAAACACGTGTTCCCACGGCGGCTGTCGCACTGTATATTTCTACGCTGCCCGCATCAAGGCAACTCAACTGGCGATGGTGTCTGGATGGGTTGGTGGGCTTCATGGACTGCGAACGGTTCCTTTTTCAAAATGTGGCTCTTGCCTTAGCGCCGCACACATTCGTTTACACATTGTTCACGGGTTCCCATGCTTAACGCACCAGCAATGTAGTGTTGGTATGATTCAAGATTGTCAGGACGCATCAATTACATTGAATCGCGGTGTGGAAGTCCCAGGTCTGGCGTTCCGGTACGACTCAGGATCGTCAGGACGCAACAGTCAGGTACTTTCGTGACGTTGAAGTCTTGAGAATGGTGTTTGACACGCTTCAAGCTCGTCTCCTAACGGGGCACTTCATCCAATGGAAATGAATCCGTGCAATGGCCTATGAAATGAAGTTTGGCGAGAGGGTTGATTCCAACGTCGTTGATGGACCTTGGGTATGCACTGGTCCACCTCTTCCTCCTCCCCCTCCTCCTCCTCGACCTCCTCCTCCTCCTCCTCCTCCCCCATCCCCCAGCATCCCCCCTCCATCTTCCCCGGGTTTCCATCTCGTTCAGCACGTCACGCGAGGCGCCCCGCAAGATCACCGAGCAGGCCTTGGGCTCCTGCCGTCGGGAAGGGGGGTCGGGGCGGAGAATTCCGTGTCCTCCATGGGGGGCGCCGGCCGATGCGCCCCCACAGGTGATGGAGACCCGCCCGTGCCTTTAGTGACAGCTGTGATGATCTTCCCTTTCCTCCTCTCCCTCCCCCTCCTCCCTCGTCTCCCTCCCTCCTCCCTCCTCCCTCCTCCCTCCTCCGTCCTTCCCTTTGCTTTCCAGGTGATGTACGATGCCGGGGTCCCCAAGCCGGCTCACCTGAGCACACCCTACGCGCCCAGGATCACAAGGCCATGCCATCGTTCAGATGCACGTGGTGCCCCCAGAGCTTTCCCAAGGTCAAAGGAGTCAAGCAACACACCGCTCGAGAGCACTGGCCTTTCGTTCACAAGGAACGGACTCACCTAGGAGTTACTCGGACGTGTCCATGTTGTTTGACCACGTTCGCCGAGCGGAAGCCGTTGGTGGAACATCTCGCCTGTTCGTCGCCCAGATACGCAGTAGTGATGCTCAGCTCACTGTCGGGATGCAGCGTCTATCAGAGAGAGGCGCTCAACGTTGAAGCAGCCAACGCAGCAGCCAAACAGCGAGCAACAGGCCCAGGTAGATGGCGCCCCGAGCTCCCAGCTATGCAACTACGTGGTCATGCTAAAACCCAGGCTATTCAGGATCCTGTTGTTCGTGATGTGGTTTTCCGACTGACAAATTCTAAGGCCCGCGAAGTTTTGGTGCGAAGGGATTGGGCTTTTTCAGAAGAGGCGGCTACCACAATGTTGGATTTATCCAGGGCCGGGGATCATGTGCCCTCGGACCCCGATGACAGATTCTGGACATACAGGCCCCAAGCTTTCCAAAATGTGTCCGCCGAACTCTTCCCTTACATACTATGCAACCCGAAGTTTGTTGTGCTCAACCTGTTTTGCGTGAGACACAGGTCAGGAGATGTACAGAGGCATCTTTCTTCGGCCCATCCCATGCCCCATTACGAAATGTTCGGTTTATCTCTCGATATCACGATCGATGCGATCAATGGGGATCTCACGGCCGCCTCCACCATCGAGTTTTGGATAAGACATATCCGAGACAGGCGCGTGGCCCTGCGAGACTTGGGGTGCGGCGCGGTGGCAAGAGGGCCCCCCCCTCCTTAGGACGGTTCAAGATTGATGGGGAGTCCCAGATTGCGTGCCCAGGCATCAGGAGCAGCTCCGCACAGGAGGGCTACTGTCGCAATCTCTGGTCAAGATGTTGTGTGAGCACTTGCAAGCAGGGACTGGGGAATGGATGGAGCAACCAATCCCTGCCCTTTGGGCCCCCTCAGCACCCACCTCTTGGAGGTGGCCTCCGCTTGTGGCTGTAGTTCCCTCCCCCGTAGCTACGGCCACGGACTTTGATCAGTGCGAGCACCAGCAAGAAGACACTAACATGTCCACGATAGGTCGCGCGCCTACGCGCCTGATGGGCATCATAATGCCCAAGCTCCCAGAAGACCTCAAGAGTACCCCGGGTAGAGGCAAATGCTCCCACGGGAACGAAGCCCACCGTACTCTCCTAGGACGGAGGAGCGACGGTTCTTAGCACACGCATACCAAGAAGACCTATTCAAGTCACCTCTGCCTGCCATTGCGGAATCCGTTTTGGGGAGCGCGTTGCAGCTAACGGCTCCCGCAGATGAAACAGATTTGTGTTCAAACTCGACAGAGCCGACGTCACAGATGTGCTTAAGCCGTTCTTTGTGCCCTGGTCCCCAGAATGCGACGTGAATTTGACACTTGTCCCTGATTTCGCAGGAAACCCGTTGAGGTCGTGCCTACGAGTGGACCTCCTCGGATTGCCGCCGACAAAGCCGTCGCCAGGACCCGCCAGGAGGCGCGAGCGCAGGAGCGCGCTCGACGCGAGCATCAGTCCCGCGCCCCATGGACCGCCACAGGCGGTTGCCTCCGTCGCTCGGGCCTCTTCAGCGAGGCCTAGGAGGCGCGTCCCTCGTTTCTATCTGTTTTGTTTGTTAGTCGTTTTTTTCCTCTCTCTCTCTATATATATATGCCATCCACCTAAGCACGCGAACTCGCCATGCCACCGTCCGACAACGACCTTCCTCCATCTCCTCCTTCTTCCTCCTCCTCATCCTGAGGAGCCAGGAGGGGATGAGAGGAGAGGGAGGAGGAGGAGGGGGAGGAGGAGGAGGAGGAGGAGGACATGAGGAGGAGGAGGAGGAGGAAGAAGATCGAGGATCGAGGTTCGAAGACCAAAATGTTTGGAAATGTGTTCGACTTTTTCGAACCTCCTGGAGCCTCCGAAGGCCTCCAGGAATCTGCCCAAAAACCTCTGAAAACCTCTTGAGACGTCCAAAGACCTCCGGAGACCTCTGGGGGCCCGGAGGGAGGAGAGAGGGGGGAGGGAGGAGAGAGGAAGAAGGGAGGATGGGGAAAAGATGGCAAGGAGCACGAGGAAGATGAGGCGGGGGAAAAAGAAAAAGAAGAGGATGACTAGGAGGAACAAGGAACATAGAAAGAAGAAGTGGAGCAGGAGAAAGAGGAAGAAGAGGAGGAGCCGTGGCATCACAACTTGTCAATCAATTATCCTGGCAAAAGACCCAAACATACGCAGTTGTGGCTACCGTAACTATGAATATCGCATTCGGTGGAGCTCCTAATAGGGGCACGAAACGTGTGAGGGGTGCGTCGACATGGACGCCATGCGCCCTGTCCCAATTGGGCCTTCGATGGAGTTCCCCGTGGGGCCACGAGACGTGTGAGGGGGGTGCCGACATGGGCGGCGGGGACGCATGCGAACATGCCCACTGAAGCCTTCGGCGGAGGACTCAATGGGACCACGAAACGTGTGTCTTGGCAGACTTTGGCGCGGGGACGCATGCGGATTTTCCTACTAGGGCCTTCAGTGGAGCTCCACATGGGGCCAGGAGACGTGGACGGCGGGGCGCCACGCGCCGTGTGCCAGTGACTGCGCCCTTTGATGGAACTTCAAACGGGACGAAACGGGCGCCGAAATGGGCGGCGGGGACGTAGGCGAACATGACCACCGGGGCCTTCGGTGGAGCTCCCCATTGAACCAAGAAAACGCGTGAGGGATGTGCCGAAACGTGCGGCGAGGGCGCGGGCAGCGACGTTGCCCCGAGAGGGCCCCGACATGGCCCAAGTAGGCTGCCAAAATGCTCACATATCGTCGGATCCGCGACTGCATTTCTGGTTGACGGCTGGGCCTGCTCAGGCCGATGCCGATCTTCAGCTTGACGGCTGCCACTCTGTTGTACCTGTGCGTGCTCCCATATTTCCCTGATGAGTGCTACTCCACAGGGCGTCGTTCCTGGATGGGTTTGTGGGGATAAGCCAAGCGTCAAGAATTAAATCGGGCGACCGTGAGGAGCCTAAGGGCGGGTCGGAAGGGCGGTACACTCATGCGGCAGGGTCGGGCGGAGGGGGCCAGGTCGGGCGGGCGGGACATCGAAGCGGGCGGACAAACTTGCAAAAGAACGAACAACTGGACCAAACGGGCGGGTCGTGCAGGCGGAATCTAACGGATGGGCCGGGCGAGCGGAACATTTTTGTTCAACCATCCCCGGTTGAAATGTTCAGGTTGGGGTTGCTCGGGGCTCTCGGGGGCACCCAGCCGCCACGGGGGGTCCCAGCGGTGCTTGGAGGCACATCCACATCAATGAACTCCACGCGAGGAACCGACCGCATCGTGAGCCGTCTCACGAGGGCAGACGGGCGATCAGACCAGGCAGCTGAAAGCGTGCGGTGGCGACGAGAGGAGACTCTCAGCCGCGCTTCAAAATGCTGAGCAGAGGATCCAGCAAACGCCAATCTCCGAGCGTTCCGCGCAATCAAAAAGGCATCACAGTATGCAGCACGCAGCAGTTGAACTTCAAGAGGTGCAGGGAAGATGAGAATGAGCAGGCAAAACCAACATGGGCGCCTCGAGGGCTCACTAGAGCGAAACATGATTGCGCGAGTTTTGGGCAGATCGTGGGAGTTCCAGGCGAGAGCGGCAGCGCTTCAGAAGTTGGAGGAAGTCCTGGGCGGAAGTGCAATTCCTGATTACGTGAACGCAATGTCCCAGTAATTGTCAAGCGACTCCCGTGCGGCGAGAGCGCGATTCCCGAGCGACGAGAGCGCGATGCTTCAATAAATGCCGATTCCCGAGGGAAGGGCAAGGAATTCCCGAGTGATATCCGGCATAAATAGCGAGGAGGCATCAAGCGGGAGCCGTTGCTGTGGTAGCCGGGGGCCCAGGGGAGCAGCGTCAGCTTTAATGTCTTCTCTGGTTACGCCAGACGTGGCATTTCAATTGAAAAACACGGATGGACAGTGCAACAAAGAACTCAACGCTCGCAAGACCCCTTCTGTCACAGAGTTCTGAACCTACTTCAGACCTCACATTCTGCAACCCATGAAGTCGGAGAGCGGATAGCTTGAGCACATGCTCAAACAGCTCCTCAAAAGGTGTTTGAGTAGACTCAGCAGCAGCCCAGGCGCCAGATCAGTATCGCAGATGGCTGCGTTTCTGTGCAGTCAGTAAGACAATGCGTGGCGAAAGCAACGGCACAATTCGAGCTTCACAGCACGTGCACACACGAAGACACCATTGCAGCAGAAGACCCCAAAAAGCTTTACACTGTTACGCGATGGGGGGCCACGTTGACAGGGGGGCCACGACGGAGGCCGCCATGGGGTGCCGCGAAGGGGCCACGATGGGGGGCACAATGGAGGCCACGATGGGGGCCCGCGACGGGTGGCCACGATGGGGAGCTACGATGAGGGGCCACAACAGGGGGGCACGATGGGAGGCCACGAGGGGGGGGGGGGGTCACGATGGGGGGCTACGATCGGGGACCACCATGGAGAGCCAACGATGGGGTGCCAACGACGGGACACCGAGCTCGGGGGCGGGCTCCCTCACTGGGCGCTCGAAGACATGTGGAAGAAACTTACAGACAAACTGCGTAGAGAAACTCGACGACCCCGTTGGGTCTCTTCTGCACGCGAGATACTTGCAACTCCCCAAACCCCTCCTCTGGGAGCCCCGTCAGGCCGCGCCTGGATTGGTCCAGTTGTGCCAGAGGGGCCACCAAGGGCTTCCAAGAAAACACACGAAAAAACAGCAAACAAGGGTTGAACTCCGCACTCCTTACACTCAGTAATGAAGGTGAAGTACTCGTCTCCAATCTGCTTGATCTTGAAGAGGCCAGCTCCCGTGCCAATGGAATGTTCTGTCAACTCCTCGGTCCGATTGCAGATGGAAGCGCCCGTGACGCGGGCGATGCGGTTGTTGTCGGTCTTGCGAACACGCCTGATGACCGAAATGTTTGCCTTCAGCAAGAAATGCTGCGCCAGATCGGAAACCCCCTTTTCGGTAATGACGACGTCAGGCTTGATCTTGACAACGTCCTCGCACATCTTCCGGATCTCCTCTTCCTCCTAGAAGGGGGACGAAATCTTCCGATTCGGAAGTCTGATGGAGAACTCTAGCACCCCTTCCCGCAAACGCGTGCAGCACACTGGAGTGCAGCTCGCGCCAGCCCGTTTCGAGACGAGCGAGCTTACATCTGTCGAACTGACGTGAGCCCACCGCAGATTTTGTTGGGGATCGATGCCCAGCAGTAGGCAGCAAACGAATGTGCGCAAAGAAATACCCACGACACGCAAAACAACTGAGGGGGGGCTACTGTTGCTGAGACGATAGCAGCCCGCCCGCTGCTAGAGCGCAGCTGGAAAAGCCCGTATGCACGAGGAAAGACTGGCGCCATGGCCGCATGACCAACTATTTCAATTCCCGCATGGCAGGCGTGCCTTTCCCTCCATCCCTCCTACTCAAACCTGCAAGTCATCATCCCCCTCCTCATCATCATAACCATCAGCATCACCAGCATCACTAACATCATCATCAGCATCATCACCATCATCATCGACCTCATCCACCCTCATGACTGCTCTTCGTGTTCTTCCTGCTCCTCCATTCCTCTCCGTATAAATAACTCCTCCCTGAAACACCCCGAAGCCAGTCGAAAGGGCGGGCCGGGAGTTTCGGCTGAGACTTCGTACGCACCTATGACCCTGAAGCTGCAATAGTGGCAACAGCTTCACAGATGGAAGGCGGGTGGTTTTCAAAATGTGGTTCTCGCCTTAACGCCGCGCACAGTTGTTCTAAAAACTTGCCATCGGATTTCACATTTTGAGGGCGGGTCGTTTTCACAATGCGGCTCTCGCCTAGGGCCGCCCACATTGGTTAACAATCTGCACAAACTTCACGGATTGAGGACAAGTCGTTCTCAAAATGTGGCTCTCGCCTTAGCGCCGCGCCGATTGCTTTGCTTAAACCATTTGCCAAAGTTTCGCCAATTGAAAGCGATTCCTTTTTCAAAGTGCGGTTCGCGCCCTAGCGCCGCGCACACTCGTCTTACACATATGTATGCAAGAATCCCACGGATTCCAATGGTCAACGTGCCAGGACATGTGTCTTGAAGGACTCACGACTGTGAGGGCGAACCAGTTACGATAATTTGCGGTGTCGAAGTCCCAGGAATGGTGTTTTGGTACGATTCCGGATCGTCAAGACGCAACACTCATGTTGATCCGTGGCGTTGGAGTCCCAAGAATCGATTTTCCCAGCGAAGCATTTCCCTCAGTGGACATGAACCCTTGTAGCGGCCTACTCATACGAAGCTTGGAGAGAGTGTTTATACCAACATAGTTGATGAATCTCGGGTATTCACTGGTCGTCTTCCTGTTCCTCCTCCTCCCCTTCCTCCTCCGCCTCCTCCTCCTCCCCCGCTACTCCTCCTCATCGTCATGGTAACCACGAGAATGTTCATCATCATCTTCACCACCATTAGCACAGTTGTCATAATCACGATCATCATCATCACCATCAGCATCATCGTCATACTCATCATCGCCACCACCATGAAGCATCATCACCGTCATCATCATCGTAGGTATCAGCATCAGCATCAACATCATCACCACAATCAACCTCACCAACATCAGCATCATCATCACCACAATCATGATCATAGGCATCATCATGATTATCAACATCATCAGGTGTCATCATCATCAGGTGTCATCATCATCATCATCATCATCATCATCATCATCATCATCATCATCATCATATTCATCATCAGCATCACCATCCTCAACAACTCCATCATCATCACGACCACCAACATCACCGTCATCATCAGCATCATCAGCATCATCAGCATCATCGTCACCAGCATCATCAGCATCGTCAACAACAGGAACATCATCATCATCATCATCATCATCATCATCATCATCATCATCATCATCATCATCATCATCATCATGCTCCAGAAGGAGCGCCCCCATGAGCAGGGGTCGGGCCAAAGCGCCCCCCCTGGTGCAGGCGGGGGGGCACCAGGCCTTCGGGATTCAAGCCCCCGCGCCTGGGCGTTCCTTCCAAGGGGCCCGCCATGTCCCGTGTCCTCACCCAGGGCGGTGCGGGAGTTCACTCCCCGCACCCGCCGCCTTGAAGCGCGATCGGCGGTCCGTCTTCCCCCCCTTTCGTTCGCTGTCGTCCGTCGCTCGTCGGCGTGTCGTGGGCTTCTCGGCCCCGGGTCCAAAACCTTGTCCCGGGTCCTTTGGGCGAGCGGTGGCCCTGTGCCCGCTCTGCACCGACGCCGCTGGTCTTTCCCCCCTCGTGGGAATGGTGCAGAGGAAGGCGGGGACCGAAACCACCGCGCGGTGAGCGGTCGGCCGCGCCGCGAGAGAGCGGCCAGAGGCGGCGCCGCCAGCCTGGCGGCACGGGCTGCGCTGCACCCCTGCCAAAAAACATCATCATCACCACCACCACCACCTCAACCATAACCACCATCATCATCAGCAGCATCAGCATCAGCATCAGCATCAGCATCAACATCAGCATCAGCATCAGCATCAGCATAAGCATCAGCATCAGCATCAGCATCAGCATCATCATCATCATCATCATCATCATCATCATAAACATAATGATCAACATCATCATCATCGTCATCATCAGCATCACCACCACCACCTCAACCATAACCGTGATCATCATCATCATCATCATCATCACCATCATCATCATAACCATCATCATCAGCATCATCATCATCGTCAGCATCATCAACAGCAGCAGCATCAGCATCATCAGCATGATCATCAGCATCATCATCAGTATCAGCATCAGCATCATCAGCATCGTCATCATGCTCGTCTTCATCGTTATCATTACCACAAACAGGCTCATCATCGTCCATATTCGCATCAGCAGCGGCATCAGCATCATGATCATCATTATCATCAGCAGCAGCAGCAGCCGTAGCATGATTATTCTCCCGCTCGCGCGCTAGCGAGCTGTCTCCGAGCGCGGCCGCGGCGTGCGCGCGCGGGGCGGCCCAAAATGGGCAGGCCCGTCCCGCGCGCTCAAGCCGGGGCGCCGCGCGTCAGACGGTGGAGTCCGTCTGGTCGCCGATGTCGGCGAGGCAGCGCCCGTCAGCCTTAGAGTGGGAGAGGAGGGAGGGGGGCAGAGAAGCTGCGGAGACAGCAGGAGCTTGCTCACAGAGAATAGAAGAAGCATTCTCCCGCTCGCGCGCTAGCGAGCTGTCTCCGAGCGCGGCCGCGGCGTGCGCGCGCGGGGCGGCCCAAAATGGGCAGGCCCGTCCCGCGCGCTCAAGCCGGGGCGCCGCGCGTCAGACGGTGGAGTCCGTCTGGTCGCCGATGTCGGCGAGGCAGCCATACCCGTGCTCAAGGACCTTGCGAAGTGACAAGGTTTTGGCGGGCGGCCGCAAGCAGGGCAGGCCAAGCGGCGGGGCCGACTTGGAGGAACGAAGCGACAAGGCGGTCGCTGGCGGTGGCGAAGAACAAGATACGAGCCCGTGCGTGCTCGGGCAGCGCAGCAAGAACTGTGGAGGCGGCGGCGGCTTGCAGGTAGCGCTCGGCACTGGAAGCTTGACGCCAGCGCCCTCGCCAGAAGACGCGGGGGACGTCTTCCGTAGCGATATAGAAGTCTGTTGCGCCAGAGCCCCGCAGACAAGCGGGCGTCAGGTTGAGCCCCTGACCTGCTTTGGCAAGAGGGACGCCCAGAGCCAAAAGCAGATGATTCCACCGAGTACGGAAGCCGCTCGCGCCGAAGGGGGCGAGAGGATCGGTGGAAGCCAACCTCCCAAACACTTGATTCAATACCTTCACCGTGCCCCGATCGGAGCAGCGAGCATGTTGCGTCGGGTACGTTCTTCTGGTCTTTGGAACAAGAATCGAAAGAAAAGCATCCCCTTCAACTTCGAGACGGTCGCATGGAAGCGACAGGTCACAGCGGCGTGACGCCAGCAGTTCGCCAGGCCTGAGGAACATCGTGAAGCCCATGAGCAGCAGGGCCGCCATCACCGGCCAGTCCCAGGCGAGACAGAGCCCGACCATGGCGCGCAGCAGCGCGCGTGGCAAGGGGGGACGGAGCTTTGGCGGCTCCGCAAGCTTCCATTGTTTCGCTACGTCCCAAGCTTCTGTCAGAAAGGCCTTCCAATGCGGATGGGCGCTTTGGATTCCCAAGATGGCATGGACCAAAATATAATGAGGGAAACCTGCATCATGAAGCCACACGCCGAAGGTCGCGAGGAAACGGGCGAGAAGTATCCCGCTTCGGTAAAGTGTGGCGGGTGGCACGCCAGTGTGTTCTGCTAACCACAGCTCGAAGGCATCAATCGATCTCGAGCGACGGTCGAGATACGCGGAGGTGAGGTGAGAATCGCGCACGAAGGGAGTGCGCGGAGGGCGAGCGGGCGCGGACGGCGCAGCCCGACTAAGCCCTTGGCCTGCGGTCGGCGCCGCGGCTCCCAGAGAGATGCAGAGGCCGCAGACGCACCACAGGATGAGCGCAGGGCGGCCAGGGCTTGGAGAGCTGATCAGCGTGGCGGCCCTCCTGCGCCTGGACGCGTAGAAGGGCGGAACGAGGGCGTCCCGCCCGTCGGTCTCGAACCCCGACGCCTCCGCCAGCATCGCCCGCGCCGAGCTGAAGGATCCGCCCATGTTACGGTAGGCACGGCGAGCCCCTGCTTCGATCTCGGCTGGCAGAGCGTCCCCTCCCTCGAGGGTCGCCCAGTCAAAAGGCGGGCGCGGCTCGGCACGCGCAGCCGCGGCTGCTTCGGCGAGCTCGGAACGAGCTGCCGAGGACGTGAAGCCCGAATGATGTGGAACGGGCACCACCTCCGCGAAGGCGTCGAGGATCTCGGACGGAGGGGAGTGGGATCCCCACAGCGCTGCTGGGATGGCGCCGTGACTGTCCTGCACATGGTACAGAAGGTCGAAAAGGCAGGCCAATTTGCCCGCGCGCCGCCGCTGCTCGATCTTTGAGCCGAGCCCGATGCCACGGATGGCGCCCGCCCCCATGGCTTGGAGGTCAGCATGCGCGGGGATAGCCTCGGGCTCGACGA